CTGGGACATTTGGTCACTGGGACATTTGGTCACTGGGACAATTGATCTCTGGACAATTGATCATTGTGACAATTGATCATTTGGACGATTGATCATTGGACATTTGGTCACTGGGACAATTGATCACTTTACAATTGATCATTGGGACAATTGATCATTGGACATTTGGGTCAGGAAGGGGGGGGAATTCAAAGGTCAAAGTCTAGGTCAACGTCTAAGGAAGCCTATGCCTAGTGCCCTACTGTCTACACCTATTGAATAAGAACCCGTGCCTTTGGATATAACTGGGAGGTATGAAAGCCTGATCCTATGGAGAGGTCTTTTAAAAAAGGGGAGGCGATCATTTTTGGTGCCAGATTTTCAGTGTGGGATTTTTAGTGTGTGACAGTCAGGGACAATTGGTCACTGGGACATTTGGTCACTGGGACATTTGGTCACTGGGACATTTGGTCACTGGGACAATTGATCTCTGGACAATTGATCATTGTGACAATTGATCATTTGGACGATTGATCATTGGACATTTGGTCACTGGGACAATTGATCACTTTACAATTGATCATTGGGACAATTGATCATTGGACATTTGGGTCAGGAAGGGGGGGGAATTCAAAGGTCAAAGTCTAGGTCAACGTCTAAGGAAGCCTATGCCTAGTGCCCTACTGTCTACACCTATTGAATAAGAACCCGTGCCTTTGGATATAACTGGGAGGTATGAAAGCCTGATCCTATGGAGAGGTCTTTTAAAAAAGGGGAGGCGATCATTTTTGGTGCCAGATTTTCAGTGTGGGATTTTTAGTGTGTGACAGTCAGGGACAATTGGTCACTGGGACATTTGGTCACTGGGACATTTGGTCACTGGGACATTTGGTCACTGGGACAATTGATCTCTGGACAATTGATCATTGTGACAATTGATCATTTGGACGATTGATCATTGGACATTTGGTCACTGGGACAATTGATCACTTTACAATTGATCATTGGGACAATTGATCATTGGACATTTGGGTCAGGAAGGGGGGGGAATTCAAAGGTCAAAGTCTAGGTCAACGTCTAAGGAAGCCTATGCCTAGTGCCCTACTGTCTACACCTATTGAATAAGAACCCGTGCCTTTGGATATAACTGGGAGGTATGAAAGCCTGATCCTATGGAGAGGTCTTTTAAAAAAGGGGAGGCGATCATTTTTGGTGCCAGATTTTCAGTGTGGGATTTTTAGTGTGTGACAGTCAGGGACAATTGGTCACTGGGACATTTGGTCACTGGGACATTTGGTCACTGGGACATTTGGTCACTGGGACAATTGATCTCTGGACAATTGATCATTGTGACAATTGATCATTTGGACGATTGATCATTGGACATTTGGTCACTGGGACAATTGATCACTTTACAATTGATCATTGGGACAATTGATCATTGGACATTTGGGTCAGGAAGGGGGGGGAATTCAAAGGTCAAAGTCTAGGTCAACGTCTAAGGAAGCCTATGCCTAGTGCCCTACTGTCTACACCTATTGAATAAGAACCCGTGCCTTTGGATATAACTGGGAGGTATGAAAGCCTGATCCTATGGAGAGGTCTTTTAAAAAAGGGGAGGCGATCATTTTTGGTGCCAGATTTTCAGTGTGGGATTTTTAGTGTGTGACAGTCAGGGACAATTGGTCACTGGGACATTTGGTCACTGGGACATTTGGTCACTGGGACATTTGGTCACTGGGACAATTGATCTCTGGACAATTGATCATTGTGACAATTGATCATTTGGACGATTGATCATTGGACATTTGGTCACTGGGACAATTGATCACTTTACAATTGATCATTGGGACAATTGATCATTGGACATTTGGGTCAGGAAGGGGGGGGAATTCAAAGGTCAAAGTCTAGGTCAACGTCTAAGGAAGCCTATGCCTAGTGCCCTACTGTCTACACCTATTGAATAAGAACCCGTGCCTTTGGATATAACTGGGAGGTATGAAAGCCTGATCCTATGGAGAGGTCTTTTAAAAAAGGGGAGGCGATCATTTTTGGTGCCAGATTTTCAGTGTGGGATTTTTAGTGTGTGACAGTCAGGGACAATTGGTCACTGGGACATTTGGTCACTGGGACATTTGGTCACTGGGACATTTGGTCACTGGGACAATTGATCTCTGGACAATTGATCATTGTGACAATTGATCATTTGGACGATTGATCATTGGACATTTGGTCACTGGGACAATTGATCACTTTACAATTGATCATTGGGACAATTGATCATTGGACATTTGGGTCAGGAAGGGGGGGGAATTCAAAGGTCAAAGTCTAGGTCAACGTCTAAGGAAGCCTATGCCTAGTGCCCTACTGTCTACACCTATTGAATAAGAACCCGTGCCTTTGGATATAACTGGGAGGTATGAAAGCCTGATCCTATGGAGAGGTCTTTTAAAAAAGGGGAGGCGATCATTTTTGGTGCCAGATTTTCAGTGTGGGATTTTTAGTGTGTGACAGTCAGGGACAATTGGTCACTGGGACATTTGGTCACTGGGACATTTGGTCACTGGGACATTTGGTCACTGGGACAATTGATCTCTGGACAATTGATCATTGTGACAATTGATCATTTGGACGATTGATCATTGGACATTTGGTCACTGGGACAATTGATCACTTTACAATTGATCATTGGGACAATTGATCATTGGACATTTGGGTCAGGAAGGGGGGGGAATTCAAAGGTCAAAGTCTAGGTCAACGTCTAAGGAAGCCTATGCCTAGTGCCCTACTGTCTACACCTATTGAATAAGAACCCGTGCCTTTGGATATAACTGGGAGGTATGAAAGCCTGATCCTATGGAGAGGTCTTTTAAAAAAGGGGAGGCGATCATTTTTGGTGCCAGATTTTCAGTGTGGGATTTTTAGTGTGTGACAGTCAGGGACAATTGGTCACTGGGACATTTGGTCACTGGGACATTTGGTCACTGGGACATTTGGTCACTGGGACAATTGATCTCTGGACAATTGATCATTGTGACAATTGATCATTTGGACGATTGATCATTGGACATTTGGTCACTGGGACAATTGATCACTTTACAATTGATCATTGGGACAATTGATCATTGGACATTTGGGTCAGGAAGGGGGGGGAATTCAAAGGTCAAAGTCTAGGTCAACGTCTAAGGAAGCCTATGCCTAGTGCCCTACTGTCTACACCTATTGAATAAGAACCCGTGCCTTTGGATATAACTGGGAGGTATGAAAGCCTGATCCTATGGAGAGGTCTTTTAAAAAAGGGGAGGCGATCATTTTTGGTGCCAGATTTTCAGTGTGGGATTTTTAGTGTGTGACAGTCAGGGACAATTGGTCACTGGGACATTTGGTCACTGGGACATTTGGTCACTGGGACATTTGGTCACTGGGACAATTGATCTCTGGACAATTGATCATTGTGACAATTGATCATTTGGACGATTGATCATTGGACATTTGGTCACTGGGACAATTGATCACTTTACAATTGATCATTGGGACAATTGATCATTGGACATTTGGGTCAGGAAGGGGGGGGAATTCAAAGGTCAAAGTCTAGGTCAACGTCTAAGGAAGCCTATGCCTAGTGCCCTACTGTCTACACCTATTGAATAAGAACCCGTGCCTTTGGATATAACTGGGAGGTATGAAAGCCTGATCCTATGGAGAGGATTTTTGAAAAAGGGGGGTCGGTCATTTTTGGTGCCAGATTTTCATTGTTGGTCATTTTTAATTCGTGATTTTCAGTGTGGGACATTTTCAATGTGCGATGTTTTGAATGTGGGGTCAAAGTCAAAAATCCTCATCTATAAAAATACAGTAATTAGGAACAGAACCGGATCCAGTCTCAAATTTGGTATAAAAATTTGCCGGATTCGTTTACCGGACCAGATCTGGACCGATTTTTTCGGAATCATTTCGTTGCCTCATCCAAATAACATTTAAATTTTTGTGATAAATAATTTTTCATCTTTTTTTAGATTTTTGGAATTAGATTTGCTAATTTAAATTTCTAGGTATATATTGCATTTTTCTTGCATAGTTTTTTCATATCTTATACATAGTAAATATTTTGCATTTATAGTCCATGAAAATCCAGTCTCTACAGATGTAATATTAAATACTTCTTTATATTCTTGAGTTTTGTTATTGGACTAATTTTAAAAAACCTCTTACTATTCTAATGAAATCGTACAATTTTGCCTTTCGTGTATTGTACATAAGTGCATTTGGCACTTGAAATTTGATATTTCATTCATATTTGACTCTTTTTTATTGCAATTGCTCATGCCATCTTGAAATGTAAAATTGAGTCGTGAGAGAATATAGCCCGCAAAAAATGCCGTTTTTGGAAAAAATTGTGTTTTATTCGGAAGCTTATCCAATTTCGTGTAAATAAAAACAGCTTTAAACTTTCAATAAAAAACGTCTGGACGTTCTTATAATAAATATTTACGAGAATAAGCATTAACAGATAAAAATGGTATTTTTTTGGCGACGATACCTCAATCCGTTTAACGTATATTTTCCAACCAGCCAGTAAAAAAATCAAAATCAATCCGTAGCTTCTCTCTTTTTATTTCTTACTCTTTATATTTACTGGAATTTTGAGCAGAGATTATGGCCAGGCGGCATATTGGTTCTATCCTCATAAAAAGGTCTAGAGCAGTCATTATTTTATGTTTTGCTTTTGTTTATTTCCTTCCCATTTTCCTCAAAATCAGCTCTTGCAAGTTTGTTTGCTTCACCTAAAATATCACTTTTCAACTAATCGCCTCTAATGATGTTCAATCGTTTATTTTTAAATTGAATGACATTCTGTTTTAATTTAGAAATTTATCAATAAGTTATTAAATATGCATATATTTAAGATTATAAACTAAATATAATGAACTAATGGATATTATATTTTGACAAAGCTTTGCAAATGTTTTCGCAATTTTATTCCTTAGTTTTCCTTATTACTCTATTCTTTGTATTCCATCTACCGACTCTCTGTCTTAAACTGGAATTATTTCAATTTTCTGATGAATTACAACCAAGAATTTCTTTTTTTCAACATCCTATAAATCTCAAATTAGAAAATGCAATGCGTGAACTTCATCGTATAAATACAGATCGGGATACAATTAGTGTGAATAAAAAGCGTAGAGCTTTAAAACGTTAGTTTTAAATGTTAGATTTTGATAAACTCATTTAATATGGGATAACACAATTTGACACGGATATATAGAATTGAATAGAAACTTATTAGTTAATGGATTCAATACTGCAAAACGTAGACATATTTTGGTTCTTGACGCTGGTACAAGCATCAACGGGAGTCGTTGCATAATCAGTGCCGATCAAGCCGTACACTTTTGCGGATTTGCGGAAGAAGGTTCGACAAAAGTATTTATAATTGCTGGATTTTGCTTTTAATTGGTGTTTCGTTTATAATTTAATTTGTTTGTTGGTGTTTGTTTTGGCGTTCTGTTTTTAATGCTTAATACAGTGTCTCTAACTTTTTGAAACATTAAATAGCTCTAATTCAAGCGATTTAAATTTTTGTACAAGGAAATGATTACTCTCTCTGATAGCCCGTTTGCCTTAAAGCTTTTTTAAATATCTAGCTCTCAATCGTCTCAAGCAAATTACATCAGTTAAATTTTTCTTAATTGTTTTAAATTGCCGTACATTTAATTATTTTTCGTGATGTCTTGTTTCTTTAAATTAACTTTCTTATAGTCTTCTTTTCCAGTTAAAAGAAATATTTTAAAATTTCAGTAAATGAACCACCAATTCTGCCACATCTTAACGGAATTTGTCAAAAGAGTTTAAAAAGCGAGCGAAATATATGCTATCCTCGCTATGAGGTATGGTATACATTAATTTAAATTTTAAAACTTATTCATTTAAAAGGAGTTGGACAGTAGCTGTACAGATGCAGCAACTAGCAATGAACGCTCGGGTTTAGTCGCTCCACCTGTCATTCCAAATGCTTTGTAATGTGTCAATTAAATTTAGTTATCCTTTTATTTTAGTGTACAAGTGATGGCCTTTGTCCCTCCAGACAATCTAAAAAGATTAATACGACAATATTATCGTAATCATGGAAAGCCCTATCCAAGGAACGAAACTGAAATTTATAGGTCCTTAATTATTTTTTATTTTTAAATCATATTTTAGTGCTCGCTCTTTTCTTTTTGTTAAATACGGATGTGATCCAGGATATGAATTGCAAGATGAGGCTGATACTATGTTTTGCCGTGATCGGGTTTGGGTGCAGACCCCTCCTATCTGCAAGGGGAAAGGTCTTTGCGAGGTGGATAATGGCGGATGTTCCCATTCCTGTTTGCAAATTTTTATCCATTTGACACATGAATTTCTAGGCATTTCATTCGAACAAAATAGAACTTTGGAATGCCGTTGTCCAAGAGGTTTAGTTTTAGATGCGAACGGAAAAACTTGCATCAAACCAGTTCCTAAAAGTTTATGTCGAAAGGTTTTTAACTTTATTTTATGTAACCTTTCTCCTTTAGCTTGCCGGATGCGTTTGTTCACCAGTAGATGAAAAGCAACTAAGTTGCTCTTGTCCGAACTCCGAAAAATGTCTGCTTGTGCATGGACGGCCGAAAGTATATCTGGACCCGCCTCCCGACTACCAAGTTAGATAGTTGTTTCTTAATTAGTTACAAACTACAAGGTGGAACCTGGAGGCAACTTGAATATTACTTGTTCTGCAGTAGCTTTTCCTTTCCCGGAGATTGTCTGGGAACGGGAACAAGAAGATACAACCCGAGGAAGAGCTGATGTTCATCTTACAACTACAGGAACTAATATACGAAGCGAGCAATTACTTATCATTAAACAGGTTCGCAAATGTTCGTTGGTTAAAGTATAACTTTTTTAGATATATAAGAATACTAACTTTACTTGTCATGCTCACAATGAAATCGGCGAAACAAGTCGTCTCGTGCGAGTAGTGGTTACCGGCCCAGGTTCTGCACCGGTTCTGAGGCAATTGACAGCTGGAAGGTAAACTGAGATTAGTAATATCTTATAAAATTCTTGACATGGTTTTGAGAACACGTATTGAAGTTCACTGGGAGAAACCTCATGTTATCAATCGGCCACTTACTGCTTATGCTTTATATTTCACCACTGATCCAATGCTTCCTATTAAAAGTAAGAGGATAGCTAAAATTTTATCTAGTGTTTTGTTTTTCTTTTAAGGTTGGTCTCAAGTGAATGTTTCCGCACCAGCAATTTCTCACGTCATCAATGGTCTCAATTCGGACACGCTCTATACCATTCGAGTTAGAGCTCACGATTCAATGGGACCTGGCAAATTATCTAATCCTGTTTCTGTGCGCACTCTCCCTCCTGCTATAAGGCCATTTGTGTTTATCCCGGAGGGCACAGAACTACGTGTGGCGCCACGAATACCATTTACTATTAATTGTAACTTGAGCCGAGGCGAACCAATTCCTGATGTAAAAAGTATACTAAATAGATTAATATAAAATAAAATTATAGATGTATTGGGAGTCTCGTAGTCGGAATATTAGTATTGCACAACAAGGCAGACACATTGCATTACAACACTCTGGATTATATGAGGTTTTTAAAATATTAAGGGAAGTACTATTGACTATTTGATTATTCTCTTCCCAGAATAGTGAATTCTTCTGTGTTGCAGAAAACGAGGCTGGAAGGACTATTCAGAAGGTAAATAAAAATAAAATCCTATAAATAACACGGCATCTTAATTTCAAATTGAAAATAATCACCTTAACTTTGACTACATTAATGTTTAAAATACTTCGCAGATTTTTGTACTAGTAACAGGACCCAGTCAACCTGAACGTATTCGCTATCACACTGATGGAGATACAATTTTCCTTCAATGGGAGGAGCCTCGAATCACTAATGGACCAATTGTTGACTATGAAGTCTTTTACATTCCAAGCGTTGATGCTCGTAAACCAGATCAAGAATGGACGGTCCAGAGAAGTGGAGGTCCATCAGAAAGGACGTTAACATTACGTCCTTTACGTGAGCAGACAGAATATATGGTTAAAGTCAGGGCACTGAACAGGAATGGGCCAGGCCTTTTTAGCCTTCCATTTACGGTAAATAGATTTTTAGAGAGTTTAAGTAGTCTGAATATTTAATTTTTAGTCAAGAACATGGTTGGCACCACGTCTACCAATAGTTCATACCGTTCCTTCCCATCAAGTTGAAAAAAGGCCAAGTCAAGAAGGTTTTGACGTTCTTTGTGAGGCGGAGGGAGTGCCTATACCTAAAATTCTCTGGTGGTGGGAGAATAGACCCATTGAGGATGGAAGTGGTGGATTTCGTATTGTTGACATAGCGTCATTAGATGAACAGGTCAAAAGCCAACAAAGACTTTTATTTCAGTCAACCACCCGATCAGGAATATTGAAATGCCAGGCATTAAATTTTAGTAAATTTAAAATATAGAAATTTAAGGCAATTAATGAAAGAGGAATATCTGAAGCTCAAATCAAGATGATCATTTTAGGTCCGGGAAGTCCTCCAGACAAAATAAGTGTTCGTCCAGTTTTAGGTGAATCTTAATTGTGTATATGACATACTTATAAATAGTTTTCAGATGGATTTAGTGTTCATTGGGAGCCCCCCTTAATTCCTAATGGTGATGTACTTGGTTATTCAATTTATTGGAGCAGTAATCCAGACGCTGACCTGGCCGAATGGGTTTAGTTTATTTTAAACCTACGTACATACTATATCTTATTCTAAATTTCAATTTATTTTAGTCACAAAAAAATTTTGATTCTGATGCTCGTGGTGCCACCATTACCGATCAGCAGGAACAAACGCCTTATGTCATCCGTCTTCAGGCTTTTGGAAGTCACGGACCTGGTTTAATCTCGCCAAGTTATGAAGTAGTTACTGGCCTGAAGCATATTCCTTTGAATGTTTCCATTCGTATACTCTCGCCATCAGTTCTACCAGAAGAAAAGGAAGGAGGAACTTTAGTTGACCCTGACCAAGCTATTAGTTTTGAATGTGTTACTGATGGAAGACCTCAACCAGTTGTTTCTTGGTCTTGGGTTAGTATATTATAAATCTAAGATTTTAAAGATTTATTAAAGATTCCATTTGGTAATACTAGCGTTGGCTCTTCTCATTTAACGTTAAAACCTGATCCATCTACCTTTCATCGTTTCATTAGTGCCCCTGCAGAGGCGCGAACTTTGACAAGCAGAACTTTGGTTGGTTGAATAATGATAAAAATAATAACAAAATTCGTAGATTTGTGAGGCGCGCAACGACCAAGGTCAAGTCCGGGATGGGCATATTTTTCGAGTATTAAGACCTGGTGGACCTCCTGTAGAGCTTGGTTCTTTGGTAAGTTTTTTCAGAATTACTTGAAGAACTTGTGATTATTTAATTTTCTAGAAATTCAGAAAAAATTTTTTATTAAATTTTATTATTTTTAGGTTGAAATTGACAACAGTATAATACTAAATTGGAGCCCTCCAATTCATCCAAATGAAAATCTAACTGGCTATATTGTTTACATCTCCCCAGATCCTAATCTTCCTCTCGAACAATGGAGAGTGTATGTCCTGTTACTTTTAACTTTTAATAATTCAAAAATAACAGATTCACAGTAGACGCAAAACAACCACAGCTTACTTTACCTCGAGGTGAATTACAGCCCCAAACCCCTTACTATGTTCGAGTATCTGCTGAAAATCCGCATGGCCGAGGCCAGCTCTCTGATATATCCCGCTTTGTGACACTCAGTGGTGCTCCTATTGACGTTCCAACGGATCTGTCTGTCCATGTTGAGCCTGATAATACTATTCGCGCCAGTTGGATTCCACCCAGCCAACCAAACGGAGAATTAAAACATTACACGGTTGTGTTATTTTTTTGAAATTTCTATTTATATTCTTTTTATCATAGGTTTACTTTATAGCGGAAGATAAAGCTTTAGAGATGCCTGATGCTGATGAAAAATATCACCGCTGGCCGAATGTACAAGTACCTGCAAAAGGAGACGATATTGGCCAAGTAATACTTGACAGGGATACTCACGTTATTCTGCCAAATACTGTATATCGAATAAGAGTAACTGCTTCAAATGAGCTCAGCGAAGGTCCAGCTACACCAAAAACGTTCTTTCGTACAGGATCTGGCGAAGTGGCACCATCATTAAAGCTTGAACCTCCAGATAATCCGGCGAGTGTAAAACCTTTGGAAGACTATTCGGTAATTAATTTGTTGATATAATAATTTATAACGTTTACAAATATAAAATTATTCTTTAGGTTATTTGTGTAGGTACAGGTATCCCAGCCCCGGACGTTTGGTGGACCCTTGGCACAGAAGTTAACCGTCAGCAAGGAGGTTCTCAATTAAGACTTAGTAAGCTTAGCAAGGATATTGTTGCTGTTTGTCATGCGCAAAACAATGCTGGAGTAGAAGAGTTAACTCTCAATGTTCAAGTTAGAGGTCCAGGCACTCCTCCAAATGAAATTGTTGCTATTCCATTACCTTCGCAAATACTTTCCATTGAGTGGGCGCCGCCTGATGAACCCAACGGAAAAGTGTGATTTTAGGCTTTCTCTTTCCAATATTTCTAATTTAGCTAACTGGTTACGTTTTGCATTATGCTGAGGTACCTGATGAGAAGACTGCACCAGCGGATGATGATTGGAATACGGTCCGCGTTGGTCCAGATGCAAACAAATATCAATTAGAGGCTTTAAAGGCTAAGGTATTGCTCATAATTTAAAGAGTCCACTTAGTTTTTAAACTTACAGACGAACTATTGGGTTAGACTACAAGCAATTTCAGATCGAGGGGAGGGCATTATCTCGGGTAAACATTATAATTATCTAATATTTAGATTACTATATATGTACATGTGTAAATTTGACAATTATTAACGTCTCTAATTTTACGATTTGAGTCATACTTTTATTTCTAGACCCAGTAAAGACACGTACACTCCCTTTGGCACCAAAGGCACCAGATGTAATGCCAATTGAAGTGCACCCAAATAATACCGGCAAGTTACATTTCTTAATTGAAATTTACCCATACATACATATTATACAATTTAAGTTCTTGTTAAATTCACACCTTCTGATGATCCAGAGGAGGAGGGCAAAAAAGTTTACACATTTCTTGAATTAAGAGTATGTATATTTTAGGTAAAAAGCTATAAAATAATATACACCAACGAAGACCCAACACTAGAAGATACTAAATGGAAGGAGGTAATTAATATAAACTTAAAAATCTTGAAAATCCTGTTTCGCTTACAGATTATTTGGGACATACCGCAAGGAGTTGATCCGAGTAAACAATTGCAAGTTTTCATTGAAGGTTCTTACTTGGATCCAAAAACAAAGTAGGCAAAACCTTATTCCAATTAATAAGGTTTTTTCTTTGCGAGTTATATAAAGTATCGCAAGGAAGCTCATTAATTCTATTTGGTACTTAATTTTATAATTCATATATTTTATTTATAAGGTACCATGTTAAGGTGATCCCGATTGGTGTGGTTGGTTTTTGATTTTTCCTTTTACTTTTATATTATAATACAAAAGATCGAAGGTCCTCCTTCTGAATCACAAGATTTTGACACTCAAACTGGTGTTGTTCCACCTGATCAGCCTCTTATTCATGTAGATACGGATATTCTTAAAGTGCCAGCCGGAACAGATTACACCGTTGAATGGTTATTTATGAAAAATGAAATTTAAGAAATGAAATTAACTTTTCAGCTCAGCAAATGGTTATCCCCCTCCCAAAGTATTCTGGACAGATGTTGATGGAAATGTGGTCTGTTTAAAGGATCAAAAATAAAAAAATTAACAGAAATATGAATCACAAATAAACCTTCATTGCAAATTAGTAGCCATAGATAATCAGTCCGTCTCAAACTTAAAGGTCAGCGAAGGTTCTATGCTTCGAGTGTTCGACATCCGCCAGAGCACAGACTATCTTTGTGTGGCTGAAAATCTTGGTGGCAGAAAAGAAACTTCATTCCGCATTTTTGTCTCTGGGCCGGGATCAGCGCCGGAAATGAGTTTATCTATCACAAAGCCAAAAAGTATACTCGCTAAATGGGATCCACCCACTTTGCCTAATGGAAATATCACTCGCTATATTGTTTACTACACACCGCTTGATGATCAGACAATGGACCTCCTTATTGGGCAAGTTCCTGCCAAACCTATTTCAGAATGGATAAGTGCTCATCTTTTGGGACCAGCTGCCACTGGACCAGGCCAGAAGCAAGCGTTGCTCACAGATTTTATTGAGGTATATTTCTCTAATGAAAATTTTAATATTCTTGAATCAAATTAAATTGCTTTTCCTTTAGGCTGATACTGCATATGCTGTTGTGGTTCAAGCAGAAAATCAGGACGGGCCTGGTCCTTACTCCATTCAACATAAGTGAGGATATGATAATTTTTAAATTATTGAAATTTAAAAATAATTATATTTAATCGATAATTAAATATAAATTTACTTTTTCTAAGCATTCGTACAATGTCAAGAAGCAGATCTTCCCCACCTACACATGTATCTGTAGAGCCAATTAATCAAACAAGTGTAGAAGTTCATTGGCGCTTAGAAGTTAAAAATGGCGAAGAGAGCCCAATTGGTTATGAAGTGATTTTTAAATTTTAAATTTTGCTGTCAGAATTATTATTTTTTACTTGTAGATTTACTTCGTACCTGCAGAAAAAGAAATTGAAGAAGATGAGTTGCTTAGTATTCCAAGCTGGACACGTGTCAATGTTCTTGATCCATCAAAGAATAGTCATATGATTTGGAATATGTTTGAGCCAGATTCTGAATATGTTTTCAAAATTAGAGCTTTGTAAGTTTACTCAATTAAACATTTTATCTTATTTTTTGAAGGTATCAAAGTGGACCGGGCATTTTCTCAGAGCCGTAAGAATTTTTACAACACTAATATATAATTTTAATTATAAAAATTAGTTGTATTGCCAAAACTTTGCCTGATGGAGATGCTCCATTCCTTGTTTTCTGAATTTTTTATTCCAATAATTATCTCATATTATAGGTAGTTTCAGCTGGAGGCCGTGGAACGGAAGGACTTTCGTAAGAACTTTATATTTTTCTCCATTATTTATTTTCAAAAATATTAGCGTTATTCGCCTTCTGCCCGGTAGTGATTATACTGTTTTTTGCCGTGCTAGCGGTAGACCTCAACCTGCTGTTCGTTGGATCCGCGGTGGTGAGATTCCAATTGATCCATCAACTGTTAAGGAGGATGAAACGGGAACAAAATGGTTTGATTTATGTAACACTTAGCTCAGATGATAAAAAAATTGTAAAATTGTTAGCTCAAATTATTAAAAAATTTTCTAAAAAATTCTACAATAATGAAACTCATTTTTAGGTCTCTATCATTGGAAAATTTTACCGAACCTAGTATATTTAATTGCGTTGCTCGAAACCCTCTCGGTGCTGCAAATTGGACAATTCAACTAGAAATGGTACAGGACCTCCGACCAGACTGGCTATCTAAATTAGTGAGGCCTGAAGTACATAATGGACAGCTTTTACTACATTTCCCTGATTCACTCCCCGATTCATTACGCCGACCCAATCAATGGACTTTGCGATATTCTGATAATCCAAGCAAAGAGAAAATACTTTGGAGTGTACTCGAAAGCGAAGATCGCCCTTTAACAGTAAAAATATTTTCATTTTCTTTATATATTTTTTTAGAGTATTTATATATTTTTTAGAGTATTTTTTTAGAGTATTTTTTTTTAGAGTATTCCAATTAAAAGTCCTGCTGATCCAATGCAGGTAAATTTAGGAATGTTTTCTCATTAGATTTAATTTTCTATTCAGCCTGGTCTAAGTTATCATTTGGTAATTGAAAACCCAACGGAAGGCGTTAGATCTCCAGTTTTGACATTATTGGTACCAAAAGCGCCTTCAGAATTAAGAGTTGGCTCAAATATAAACGATGAAATGGTATGCACATATTTAATTAATTAATAATTTGAATGTTAAAAATTAATTATATTTAGGTTGTTGATTTTCGACCAGCAATTACTTCATCTCTTGTTGAACAATATTTAGTCAAGGTATGTTTAACTGTAATTATGTATAATCTCCAGAAACATTTTTCAGTATTGGCCAGCGGACAAGGACGTTAGTGCGACCGTAGCTCCAGAATCTGTTATTCAAACTATATCCATTCCTGGTGATCAGCCTGTCACTGGCATTCGCGTTCCTGATCTTCCTCGAGATTCTGAATTTTATTTTCAAGCCGTTGCTATTTTATCTGATGGTCAGGAATTAGCCAGCACTCCTGTGATAATTAGAACCCCGGCGAAAGAAATTCGTTGCGATTGTTCACATGCATGCCGGTTGCTGGAGACTGATTCAGTTGAGGTTAGAATTGAGTGTTATTGTCCTGCCGGGTGGCTACTATCTTCAGACGGAAGGACTTGCATGCAGATTGAACCAACTACAGGGCCTGCTCTTGAAGTATAAATTTTCTATTAACTAAATTTATATTTAATCAAAAGATTTCGCCCACTTTCGAGCTTCTTCCAGAACAGGCTCTTGAAGGAAAAGTACCTTTAATTAGTCAAATAACTCCTTTGCAACCTTTGATTGAAGTAACCGCTTCTTCGCCTTTACCTACAGATGAATATGGAAATTTGATTATTGCCGATTTAGAGGATCATATTCCACCACATATTTTACCAACAGATGCAGTTGGACGTGAAATTCGTCCAGTAGTATTTTTCAATGGAACAAAACTACGCTTAAATGAAGACGGAAATTATTTAGATCCATTGGGCAGAATTGTAGCCAGGGATGAGGAACAACGGGCATTGGGGCCAGATGGACAGTTATTGAAATTAGATGTCAATGGGAATTACGTCTATCCATTATTGGACAAGTAATTCTATTTTAAGGTCCTGTCTAATTTTCTATTACAAGATATGGTGAGCCAATCCCAACTGATGACAGTCTTCGACCATTATTTGAAGTTGTTGATGAAGAAGGAGTTCACTGGCCAAGTTAGTTTAATCAACTGCTGATAATAAAATATCAATCGATTATTTAAACATTAAGATAATATAAACAATGGCAGTAATGAAAAATTTTCAGGAGACAATAAAGGCCATGTTCTGGGGCCCAACAACCGTCCTATCCCTACTGATATAACTGGACAATTTATTGGACCCGGTAGTTCTCCACTTCCAACTAACTTCTATGGTCAATTTTTAATGTCACGAAGAGAAGATTTGGTTGTGCCAACGGATGCACTTGGTTACCCCATTTATCAAGTGGTAATTGTTAGTTTTTCGTAAAAACCGTGATATGTAAACAAATTTTAAGGTTTATCCTGATGGCCAACCACTTCCAACATTGATGTCCGGGCAATTTATTAATCCAGAGAGAGGTGTAGAATTTATGAAGGACGATCAAGGCATACCTTTAGACTCCCAAGGAAATCACCTTAAACAAGACGAGAAAGGGAATTTTGTTTTCCAGCCTGTTATTGATCGTTATCCAGATAAGGATTTGCCCGAGAAAATAACTGAAGAAGCTTCTATCGAACAATCAACATTACCAACGGATTGGACTCCCGGACAAAAATTTGAAACGGTAATCTTTTTTGAGTTCAAGTTCATTTCACTTTTATTTCTAGACTAAATTGACGCCTATTTCTGGTCGACCGGACAAGGTGGTTGATGGGCATGGACAGCCCCTCTCTACAAGTTTAGATGGCCTTTTACTCGGGCCAGATGGTTCACCCCTTCCTACGGATGCAGAAGGACAATTTGTTTTATCATGGGGACAGGAGAGAGAAGAGCTTCCTTCTGAACCAACAGCTCCTATTTCGGAAATTGGTCCAGATGGATTACCACAACCAGATGCTGATCGACAACAAATACATCCTGCCTTTCCTGAAAGCAAGGACCAACCTTCGTTGGAGAGTGAGATGAAATGTAATTTGAAAGAAGCTGTTCTCGATATTTTGGTCAGCATACATATATAAATCGCGTTAACATTTTCTCCTTCTTAGATTGCATTTAATAGTGAATTAATTCAACCTTATGGCGAACATTTACGTCGCGCTATGACTGAATTATTGAGCCATCTTGACTTAGCTGGTTATATTTTTAGAAATAATTTTTATTTTAAAACAATTTTAGCTGATATTGCACGTGTTGGCATTCTTCACTTTGGTAAAAGTGTGATCATTCCCGTGAGTCTTGGAGGATATCATGAGTATGTTTGCGATAGAGATTTGACGAATATAAACTTTACTTGAATACATATGTAGTACAAAAATATTAAAAATCAATTTCAAGGATTAACCAAATGCTCGACCAAATTGACCGAATGCAATCTGCCTCCTCAGCACTGGGAGTACCTGATGTTTCAGCCGTTTACCATGCAGCCATACAACAATTTAGCAGTTTTGGCCGTAACCAAAACATTCCAAAAATTCTACTTGTGTTTAGTTCAGGAGAAGATATGTATGTTAGAAAACGGGGAATTAAAATAATTTTTCTGCTTTTGTAGATTTTCTGATACTACTGCAAGGGACTTACTTGCTTCTCACGATATTTTTATTATTCTAGTCGGTCCGAGTAGTTATGACTCAGAAATAGTTGAAGAAAGCAGTGAACATGTGCTTGTTAATAGGGTTAATTAAATAAAACACCTATTTTTAATCTAATTTATTCAGTGGGAATTACTGGATGGCAATCGACTTGCCAACTATCTGGAAGCAGCTTGTGCGCGTAAGGCGCTTAAATTACCGAAATCACGAACAAAATTTGTAACCGGGAAAGATACTAAAGAAATTAGTACTATACCCCCAATCATTTTTCCACAAATAGGTATGTGTAAGAATTTAAGGAATTTAACTTTCCTAATCTTTTATAGTACCCAGTTCAGTTGATCATTGTTTGGCACTCCAAGCCCGCAGTAGTATCGTTCTAATGGTTGAAACTTCCCAAGAAAGTTCTAGCCTACATTCTGAATTAAGACAGGTATAAATCAAAAGTATTAATTCATTTCTAAAATGATTTTTCCAGATACTTCTTCAATTTATCCATGGATATATAAAAGAAAAAAATCCACAAATTGGCATTCTATACTATGGTGATACAGTTGATATTGGAGTTGATGTTGACCAACACAATTATAACGAATTAGAAGTTTCTGTTAAGGTAATTAGGAAAACGTAAAATCGGTACATGCGTACGGGGGTGAAAAATACATCTGTAAAAATAAATTTTAAGGAAATGCATTTTATCGGAGGTGTATCCAATCCTTTGCTTGCTATCCGGACTGCTCCGAAATTGTTGGTCAAACTTGGTACCGACACTATTAAACTTGTTATACACATTCATCGGAACAAGCTTAAACGTGAACATGAAAGCGAGGTAAGGAGAAATACATTTAGATAAATTCATAAAATAAATGCAGTAAAATCATGTTTATTAATTTTAGGTAAACAAAATTGTAAAATCAGAGAATATTGCTTTGTTGGATCTTTTTTATGAGCGTTGGTCTCTACTGAAAAATTCTGAGCCTTTTTGGAGTCAAAAAATTTGCATGTTAGAAGCGTTAATTGAAAGGCTTGAGAATACTGTACCCGGAGATATTGATAAAATAGTTTTCGAGCATTCAACTGAACAGCCACTCAAAAAGACACATCATGCAATAACTTGGCCAGTAACTACACCTGTAACGATTGAACCAAGGTATGATTTGTGTATTATTGATTTTTATTTGTTATTTAAGAATTTTGCCAACTGATCATATGGTTTCGTCCTTTCCAGTATTGGGACCTGATGGTCAACTAAGACCAACAGATTCTGGAGGGAATTATCTTGATTTGGAAGGTTTAAACGAATATACATATTATATGTCTATTAAACGTTTTACTTAAAAAATAACTTTAAGGTTATCCTCTTCCATTGGACGAGTTAGGAAGGCCGATTGACTCAGAAGGAAGATTATTACCAACAGATTCTCAAGGCCATTTTCTTCTTCATAGCACTAGACCTGATCAAGTTCTTGCTACTCGAATACCACAATCATCTCCATTGCCAACAGATGAGTTAGGGCATGTCTCAAAAGGTAGAAAAGCTGTTATAATTTCTAGTAAATATAACAATTTTTCAATTTCCATCAGACCGTGAACCCGAGGTTGGTAGAGGAGAAATGGCATTGCCAACAGATCAGACAGGAAAATTCATCCATCCTGTAATTGACTCTAATACCGGCGAGCCATTGTTGACTGATCAACTTGGAAGGTAAATAACACATGAAATTCTCACATTTTATCTGCACCTTTTTAGATATTTGGATATCAACGGTGAATTATTACCAATGGACGATTTTGGTCGTCCATTAGATCCTATTAATGGCCGATTATTACCTACTAATGAATTTGGCCAATATATTTATACTGCACCTACTCTGACCTCAAGGTTTCTTCATTCTAATGAATATATAACTAGAAATTTCCTTATATCCCAGAGTATCTTCAATGCCAGAAATTGGACCTTATCAAAGTCCAATACCGGGGAAAACCAAATTTCCCAAAGACGAATTTAGTGCAGAAAGAATTCCCGTCGTTGACAAATTTGGTTTGTTTTAGATTTGGACATGGAACGTTTAAACATACTGTTAATTTAGGCAAACCGCTACCTACAGATCAATCAGGACAATATTTGGGTAATTAATTATGATATTTCAAAAATTATATTTATTCTCTAATTCAAATTGGCTTGAATAGGGAAGACATTCAGATATCCAATAAAATATATACGTCAATAAAAAATTTTCAGGAGATAATAATGAGCCACTTCCACTGGACAGCTGGTCAAGACCTCTTGATGTGGATGGATTGACTCCATTACCAACAAATAGGCACGGTCAATTTGTCTATACTCCTGCCGAAATAACTCCAACAATTTCTGGCCCATTATCTCCTTCTCCCATTCCAACTGATCAATGGGGTATTCCTATCACCCCTGACGAAGGAGAATCCACTATTCAATTATTGCCAACGGACGGAACAGGAAAGGAAATATTTCCAGTGATTAGTGCTCAAAACGGACTCCTGCTTCCACGAAATTCAGAAGGTCGTTATCTGGGTGCTCGGAATGAGGTAATGCGCATATTTTATTAATCATAAATAGTATTTATTTTAATAATCATCTTAGCTAATCCCTATTGACGATTTTGGACGTCCACTAGATTCTCTTGGGCGAGTATTACCTATAAACGAATTTGGCCAATTCATTTATACCGAGACATACAAAGAAATAACCCCAACTCTTAACTATGCTGAGGAAATGGATGGACAAAAACAACCAATTTGGCTATCGCCCGATTCTGGCCAACGACGAAGAAATGGAAGTTCTGACGGGCATTGTTTCATTGAAAATTTCATCGAACTTTTGCTAATGTAAGAATTAATTGCTTTAAATAAAATTTAATCTCAAAAAATTCTAATCAAAGTTGATGAGCATTTTTAAATAGACAATTTTAGATTTGACACAAGTGCAAATGTGAAGATTCTTGATTATCGGATGATGAAAGAATCGATCAAGGTATCAATTGTTTTAAAATTGTCTTTATCTTCTGCCCAATTGTCTATTGGCCTTTTGTGCATTTGTCTATTGGTCTCCTGACCTATTGTCTCATTGATTGTTTTATCCCTGGCAAATAATATTTGCTAAATTAAATTATTCCAAAAGAAAAATATCTTTAGACTCATTTGGTAGAGTCACATGAGTCTTCCCTTTTACACATTCCCGAATCGATCTCTACTTGTGTCAAAATAAAAATATTATTTTAATTTAGGGTTTTCTTCTTGATCATTTTGACTTGCGACCGAATCTTGGGGTGAGAGTAGGACTCTTAAAATATGGTGATAGTGTTGAAGTTCCTGTTGCTTTGGGCGACTATGACAGTGAAGCCGAATTATTAGCGAGGATTGGTGAAACGAGACGTAGGTTTTTTATGATATTTTGATAAAGTTATGCCATAATTTATATTCTTAAATTCATAGGATTGAAAGGTGAACCAAATTTACCTCTTGCACTAAGGGAGGCGGCAGGAGAATTTCAATTGTCTGGTAAGCTGTAGTTTAAAGCCAAGAAAATGGCCAAAAAATTTATGCTTATTAACTTTCTAACTGCATAGGTGCGGGTGATGCGCTTCGGATAGTTCTTGTGTGGAAAAGTGGCAATTCAAGTGATTCTGATATTATTCAAATACAAGCGGCAGCTGACACTCTTCGACAACAATATGGAGCTAAAATTCTAGCCATAACAGCTGCGGGTCATTATAGTAATGGAGATATTGCATTAACCGGCGCAGAAGAATTAATATTTGCATTTGATGGATGGAGGGAAGCTAAACCTAAACGATTAGCGGAAGTAGCCGATAAAATTTGCGAGGTTTGCTACTTTTCAAAAATAAATTAATTATATGCATTTCCTAGTTTATGGTGCCAACTTCCATTATGCCAAGTTGGCCATCATTTCGACCTAAAAATACTCTGCCCCCAAAAATTACTTTGTATCCAAGAGATTGTCGTCGCATTGATTACCCGTTAGAGTTTATTATTGTTTTGGATGCAGCGAACTTTGATCGTTCCCAATTCAGCAAAATTCTTGAAAGCTTAGCCACTTTGGTAGATGAATCTTTTAATCTATCGCCTGATGTTGTACGTGTTGGACTAATTGTTTACAGGTTGACTTGTTTTTTTGCCTCCTTAATTATAAATGTTCCAGTGACAAGGTTGCTGTTCCGGTGGCCCTTGGCAATTACGACGATAAGATTGAATTGTTATCCAAAATGAGTGCATCTCCGTTATTTTCCGACCCTCCGGCTATTGCTCTTCGTGGTTTGGAGGCAGCTGGTCAACAATTTAGGTTACATTCCCGGCCAAAAGCCAGCCGTGTTTTGTTGATGGTTACTAACGGAAAGCATAGGTAATAAGTAAAATTTTTTAAAATTTATTCTTCAATGTTCAGAGGAAATGCCGCACCCCTGGGACAGGAACTGCGAGAAAATCTTCATGTAGAAATCTATTCTGTAGCAATTGGCGCCTCTTCGGAGCAATTGGCATCTCTTCAGCGAGTTATTGGGGGTCCAAAACTTGCTGCTGAACGAATGCTTCAATTAGATTCTGTTGATGAATTATCTGATCCTAGTAAACTGGCTTTTCTTCGCCGTTCACTTTGTTCAAGTATGGAAAGTGAAATGACAACTCAAGAATGGAAACATTAAGGAATAAATTTTTAAAAATTCGCTGTGGTATAAACAAACTTTTATTGTTTGCATAAATTTTATTTCAATTAATCTAACAAGTAAAAGCGAACAAAGTTAAAAAACAAGCACGAAACAAAAGAATAAGCTTGAAAATTTATCCATTTTATTCTTTTCTTTTTGTTTATCTTTGTCAATTACTTAAATGTTTAGCGAAAAATTTGACAATAAAAAATAAAGTATTTAGCGTGCTTGTTCAATTACAACCACTCTTTCTAATCAATATTATGTTATAAGAGTGGTTGAAGTGGGAGACAAAAACGCAAACTACTAGCTAGCGCCTTCTCGGTTCTGTGAAACTCGAGAGAGTTGGCCAATAAAAATGCGAATCGTGGCAAGTGCCTAACTGACAACTAGCTGTCTATTACTGCCATTTTTGTTAGGCAGTCATGAAACAAAGACTTATATTATTCACGGCCTGAGCGGCTTCTCTCTTCTTACCCAACCTCGCTTGCGATGCTGTACCTAAGGTTTCCTCTCATCAAAGCATATATAGTTACTACATATTTCCACAAATAAAAATGCGCTAGTTGCGTATGTGTATGTACCTTTGTAATCCTTATTTTTATCGTTTTAGCTATGCTTATCCAGTATCCTTTTTGCCATTCAAATTTTAATTCTTTTGTTTTCTTAACTTTTCTTAATTTAGGAAGAAGGGCAAACAGATAAAAATTGAGTGAACCAAAAACTTATGGTTATATTATCCTGAGCTAACGTGCATTTCTAGTATTAATTACGCTGTGTCAAACCAAGCATTGTCCAAAAAAGCTGCTACCACGGCTTCCAATAATAGCCATAACGGAGGCCGATTTCCTCTTTGCGCCTGGCTTTGTTGTTCTAGCTCTTGCTGTTCGGCCAGCGAAACGGAGGATGGTGTCGGTGACAAAAGAATGGGAGAAATGGAAGAGGAAGAATTTGAACAACAACGTCAACAAAATAGTATTGCGGCAGCATCTTCCAATTTTGAAGTGACTGGTGCATCAGGGAATAATATAGGTAAAAAATTTTCTTATTTCAATATTTCGCATTTAAATTTATTTAAGCATCTAGAAAACACTCACCAGGAATGGATTCACTACAACATGCAAAAACTCCTTGTAGAAAAGTATCTCCGACTGTTTCCTTTGGACCCCAAACTATCACTGCCGCTTCTTCAATCAAAGGTTCTCCTATTCTAAGCAGTAGAACAACGAAAAGGAGCACTGTCGATGTCCTTCACCGGTTTGCTCAAGATCTTTGCGCAGTGAATAGCTCAGGAAGACGTGCCAAATTTCACAAATTTTCGTTAGGTGAAGAAAGGTGGAAATGGAATTCTTTGGACGGGAATACTTGTGAGCCTAGGTTAGTTTAAATTTTTACATGCTTTACTGGGCACGTGTATCGGTCGGCCGATTTTTACGGCGTTTTTGTGGACTTTTTTAAAAGAATAGTCAAACACATTAATTTTATCTTTTTATTGTTAGAACGAGCAAGTCATTGCCTATTTCCGGTCGTCCTTCTTCAGCCCACCACACTCAACATAATCATAACTACCAACATTTAAATAATTTGTTACCTGGAAGAGATTTGGTATGTTCACCAACGCCAATTGCGGAAGATGGTCCAATTTCGTGGCAGCCTGGATTTGCTGAAGTATTGGGTATGTAAAATATTAAATACGAATAACTTTTAAATGAACATGTTAAAATAATTAAATTTGGACATTGTATACTTATACGTATGTAAATTTTTTCTGTCCAAAATAGCCAAACGGGGAACTACCCTTTCTCATCTCTCAACAGCATAAATACTGCCAACAACCACCTACCCACGGCTGTCATCAATTTATTGATTCAATCCCCTCCAATCAATTTTACACTTTCCTTTTCATTTTTACATTTTTCTTTTAAAAAAATTCTTTATTAAACACTCAAAACCCATGAATGACGAAAATATTAAGATAACAATTCTTAAATATGTCGTTATGATTTTTTCTATTTTCTTTGGCTTCATCCTTTCCTTATTCCTTCTTTTTTATTTATTGGCCTCCTTTGTTATTATTATGTCCTGCTATTGTGTCCTTATTCTCCGCATGGAAAGTTATCGAATTTTTCATAGAAAAACCAATGATAGAAGGTTGAAAATAAAAAAGTGGGCGAAATAACTACACATATGTAATTCCTTACTAAATTTTCTTAAATTCTCCTCGCTTTTACAACAACGTTTTGTCCTCATATTGGGTTAGGGTATTAGCTAAATTACAGACATGAAACTAAAGCGTTTTGTGAAATTAAATTGCCGCCAAACCTGAAATTTTATAACTTAAACTCAAGTCGAATAGATTTTCTCTATATTTCAATTCAGTTTTTGACTTTTCCTTTTATTTTCATAATTTTTCAACCAAAATTTCTGTTTATTCGTTCTTTGCTTTCATAGGCTTACTATGCCAATTTTTTAAATAAATAAAGGGAGGAAAATTTTTTAAAGAAAAAGTACTTAACTTTAGTTTTCTTATTTGTTCATTTCTTTCCTTTTCTTCCACAAACAAATCATTGGCAGCCGTTATTTCCCTTTAAACACAATTAAAGATCAACATTTCATTTTCCTCTCTCCTTTCTATTCTTCTCGTTTAACATGTGTTTCCAATTTTTTTTATTTTTTTCATTTATCATTTCAACAAGACTTTATTTCCAGCTGTTTACTATGTATCTATACATTTCTAAGGGAAGCCGAAAGGTGCGCTTCTCTTGACAAATAATAACTTCAAGCTTCTAAAAAGTTTTCTCCCTTTCTCCAACTTGTCATCAACTTAAGTAATCACAAAAAATGGCCGATCAATTCATCACTCGACTGTCAATAAACACGCCGAAAGGTTCAACTATTCAAGCGCCAGCATCTCCGGATATTTCATTAGAAAATTTAAACACTGAAAATCTTCAAAAGGAAGACATATCATTGCCCAACTTTATGCATGATCCTTGCACACAGGCTGATTTTACTACAAATGCAGAGATGAAACGTGGACAACAATTTAATGGACCCGTTCGTGAATGTCCTAAAACTAGGAAAGCAAGTTTAATGCCGCCGCTTACTGAAGAGGATCTTAGAATTAGCGGAATGGTTTGTAATGAGGATAAGTCTTTACTTTTCAAATGTTTTCCAGGGCCATAAAGATCCAGAAAGTGTTGCCCAACTTTTTGGAGAAGATTTTGCTTCTCGCTTCTGCTTAGGTCCATTACTTTTACCACATGAGATTCGAGATAGCTCCGTACCTCATGGTGTACCAACTGTCAAGATACGCCGTCGAATGACTGCTCAAAATTCCGTTGATCTTCCGAATGCTGATTCGGTTGTTGCACTTTCACCATTTGCACCAAAATTTCCAAGTGTACCATGCTGCAATACTAAAGAAGAACTTGTTATTTCTTCATATTCTGATTGTGAGCATTCTCCACAACTTCCATCTCCTTCGAATCAATGGCTGACAACTCCTTTAAATTACCCTACAAGTTCTATTCCCGGTGTGGTTCAAAACCCGCCATTACCTTTTCCTGTTGAATTAAAATGGACTGCCGATGGACGAACAAAAATGACATCGTTTGTGAGGCCAAAATCTGGCGAATTTTATTTGGGTTATTTCCTATTTTTTAATTCTATAAAAATTTATAAATTTGTTCAAATAATTTAATATGACTTATAAATTTTTTAAATTTTTAACAGATATGGCTGCTTTGCATCCTGATCTCTTGCAATTCCAGCTGGCACTAAATGATTGGGTTAGTTTTTCGTTTTTTCGATAATATCCCTATCTTATAGATCAAACGTCAATGTAGGATTCGCGGTTCCGCTCTCTTATTAAGTTCACAGGAGCAAAATAGCACTCATTGTCAAGTCTGCGGTGATCAGCTATTGGAAGTACCTTTACAATGCGTTAGTTAACTATCGCACACTTTAAAATTATTGTTCTTATTTAGGGCGATGCTGACTTTCTTTTTACTCTGTTGAGGGCGGGTGCAAATCAATCTGATAATTACGACAAAAACAACATAAAACATGAAGATCTGAAAGGAGAGGAAATAGGGGCCAATACTTTTGTGCTTGCACGTGTGGAACTCTTGGAGGAGGTATAAATTTTATCTTTTATCCTAACTTAGGTTTAGATAGGGTTTCTAGGTTAAAATTTTTAACTTTTCCTCCCCCTTTAGCGCGAATAATTTTTTTATAATTTTAAAGTAATACAAGAGATCGGTTTAGAATCTTTCCTTCTACTCTCACTGTGTCTTTCTTGACTGACAAATTCGTGCCTTACTAAATGTTGACATTGGTTGCTCCCACAATTCCGTAACAGCATTGCCTCAGCTGTAATACTTCAAATCTTAGTACATTTATTTCCTGCCTCAAACGAGCATTTTCCCTTTCTAGTTCGTTGTTCCTTTGTTGAATTTCATCCTCCTTGCGTCGGCGTAGTTCTCGGCTTAGAATAAAATATTAATTAGAAGAGGCATCAAATTGGTTTTTATTGAAACCTCCTACGCGCTGAATCATTATTTTTCCGTCTTCTTTCTTTATAGGCCTGAAAGCAAAAAATTTTTCGGAGCAAAATATTTTAAATTTTACTTCGTCTTTCTTTTCATCAGGAACCGGTCTGCTGGGCCTTTTATTTGCCGAGCGTATCCTCCCTATACCATTTTCCGATGCTGCACTAAAAGCTGACTGTACAAATTTTTGTAGATTCTGGTTTTGGTACGAATGGGAGACGAATGTTGGTATATTTGGAATAGCATATTGTGGAGATATAATCTTTGTCTTGAATTTTAAAATTAGAACAATAAGGGAGATTATTTTTGATTAAGATCGTCACAATACCTCTGGTTTAAGTGCCATCATTGCCGGACTTGGTTGGGTAGAAGCAAATGATGAAGACTGTACCGAGGATGGCGACGCGTACAGCGATCCAGAATCAGGGAACCATAAGTTTTGAGCAGTTGCTGAGCCGGAGATCATGTTAATCATGAAAGGGATGAGAGAAAGAATCAAGCACCTTAAATTACAAAAATGTTTTTACTTAACCTGACCGAGTTATTCTCCCTTTCTCTCCTGAAAATAAAAGTTGATGGTCTTTTCTTCTTCTAATTTGCCTTAGGCAATAATTGCACTTCGTTGATTGACACTAAATTGCTAAAAATGTTTTATAGCCATAACGATAGTTTAATTTAATGAGTACAAAAATTATGGGAGGAAAAGAACTGTAAAAATAGTTAAGTTTAGAAAATGTAGATGAATAGAAAATAACTGATGGATAGGTGGAAGGAGCAAATGGCAAGCTTGGAGTTCTATTTTAAGTCCAAGTAGTAATGATGGGGACATTGGGCGGCACCTAAGTAATCATTATTATGATGAGTGTTGCGACAATGACGGCATTGTATAAAGCATTTTTTGGTTAGTCCTCATCCGTTTTCGGCATTTTAACAGTCAAAGAAAATAAAAGGAGTGGGAGATCGGAAAAAGGCGGTTGCGTAATTGGAAACTAAACAGGGACGGCACAAAAAGGGTAGCAAAGACTTTGACTGTGATTTGAGGTCGTCAAATATAGGCATAAATTTAAGTTATGGGAAGAAGAAATTTATGAAAAAGTGGCTTTGTTTACCTAAATATTTTTTAAATTTAAATTTTAGTCAGTTCGATCCGCTATTAATCCTCTACTTGAAATGCTTAACAACATACTTAATACTAAAATCGGAAATGATCTGCCTCCATTACAAGCCTGTTTCTCATTGGTTGGCCTTCGCTCAAATTCAGGATTCAGTGCCGGTCTTGTATTGGCACATAATTCTGAACAGGACAGATTAGACGAACTTAAATTGCTTGACCCTCATTTGGGAATGCTTGGCACATTGATGACTCTCATGGTTAATTTTATAAATAATTTTACTTTCTAAATTAAATAATAGCACAACATAGAGGAACAACGTCGGTTAGCTCAACAATCACAAGTTTTCCTGAGCATGACCCAAAATGTGTTTTCTAGTCTGCGTGAGTAAGCAATAAATAAAATATAGTAGCTAATTTTTGGCTATTTTAAAAATTATAAATTCAAAAAATTTGGAAACTTAACTTAATTATTTTTTTTCAGAAGACATGCACTTACTTGTTCGTAATATTACAAAGGTTTCTTTTAAATGTTATAATTTTTTAAATTAAATATGCTTTAGGAAGCTAAGGCGCTGGTTCATGCAGAAATGTAAATAATTTACAAGTTTTACTACTGATCTCCAAAAATTTCATTTCCAGTTGTTCTCTTTTTCTGTTGGATAAGGAACATTCCGAATTGGTAGCTGAGGTTTTCGAAAAGAATGGCACTTCTGAAGAATATCTAACCGAAATTCGGATGCCACTAAATCAAGGCATTGTAGGACATGTGGCAACTACAGGACAAATGATGAATGTGACAGATGTTTATAAGTAAGTATTGACAATGAATTTATGTGTAGATTAACCTTCTATTTCTTTTAGTCATCCATTCTTTTACCCGAAAGTTGATGAACGAACGGGATTTCTTACTCGAAACATTCTATGTTTTCCTATTAAAGACTCATCAGGTAATTTTTTATGAATCATGAGTTATCATATTTCTCTTTTAGGAAATCTAGTTGGTGTAGCTGAACTTTGCAATAAAATTGGTCGAGATACCTTTACGCGGTATGATGAACAAATTGCTGCCACGGTTAGTTGATTATTATTTTGTGAATTTAAACAATTTGATAATTATAGTTCGCTGTCTACTGTGCTATTAGCCTTTCACATGTAAATATTTTAGCAATTTAAAATTACGTTTTTTCTTTCTTCCAGTGTTTGCTATACCGTAAATTGCAAGAAGCACATAGACGTTCACACATGGCAGCAGAATTGTTGGTTCAAGGATCGACTCTTTCCATCGCGCCAGAAGACATTCTCCGGCTTGTAAATTAAATATTTCGTTTGATTTTTAATAAATAATTGTTTTAAGACTGTTAGAGATATTCCACCTCCGCTTTCCTTTCATCCTGAATTCGACAAACTTTGTTTTATTCCTCGCTCTATCGGTTCTGGCGATATTTACGTAGAGGCATCATTGGCTATATTTAGGGTAATTTAGTATGCGTAAAAATTTATGTAATTCATTTTTCAGGATTTGGGATTCATTGAACGTTTTCGCCTTCGTCGGCGGACATTAGCTCGGTTCCTCTTGATGGTGCAAAAAGGTTATCGAGACGTTCCATACCATAACTGGAGCCATGCTTTTGCTGTCTCCCATTTCTGTTACTTATTGCTTCGAATGAATAAAGTGAAGGATGTGATAGGCGAATTGGAACGCTTTGGGTTGTTGGTTGCTTGTCTTTGTCATGATATTGGTTTTAAAGTTAATTTATGATATTTTCTATTTTGTTTTAATAGATCATCGAGGAACTACCAACGCTTTTCAATTACAGTCAAAAACACCTTTAGCTCAATTATATAGTTCTGAAGGCTCTGTTCTTGAGAGGCATCACTTTGCACAAACTGTTACAATTCTAGGAATGGATGAATGCAATATTTTTGAGCAATTAAATAGACAACAATATTTAGATGTACTTGATTGTATTAGAGAAGTTATACTTGCTACTGATATTGCTGCTCATCTTCGTAAAGTGGTAATAAAAAATATTTATAAGAACAATTAATTATTTAAGTTTTCAGGATCGTATAAAGCAGATGGCTGAAAGTAAGTGATTAAAAGTTGACAAAAATATATGCCATCCTAACATTCTAATCTCTTGCCTTATTTGTAAAGGTGGATTTGAAAATGGCAACGCTGAACATCGCTATCTATTTATGTGTTTACTTATGACAGCCTCTGATCTCTCTGACCAGACAAAAGATTTTCATCATTCAAAAGCTATTGCTGAAAATATTTACAAGGAATTTTTCTCGCAGGGAGACTTGGAAAAACAAATGGGCAATAGGTTTTTTATCATATGCTTATTATTTAAAATTTCCCCTTCAATATATAGGCCGATTGCAATGATGGACAGAGATAGGGTTTTCTAAGGAATCTTTTTTAATAAAAAAATTTTTTAACTAGGCATGCGTTCCAAAAATCCAAATTGAATTTATGGACACGGTGAGTGAATTAAAAGGAAGTTTTTATAATTTTAATTATTTTTAACAGGTGGCACTGCCAGTTTTTAAGTAAATGCTTAATTTTTCTTTAATATTTTTACATTCTTTTAAAGATTCTTGGCTGATTTATTGCCTGAACTTCGAACAACACACGAGTAAGTATAAAAAAATTTTTAAAAATTGAAAGGAAGATGATGGAATTGTTAATTTTTCTCCACGTCTAGGGCAATTCTCACCAACCGTCTATGCTGGCATTCCTTAGATCAAATCCTCCTTAAGCAAGGATTTACAACAGGAGGTCTGGAATATCTTAGAGATACATGTTTGGAAGAAAAAGTTTTGATGAACGCTCTTCAAGAACAAATAGCAACCAAAGAGAAGGAAATAGAGAAGGATTTAGAGGACAATAATTAGATTAACTTTACTAATATCCCCGAACGTATTAATTAACTACATTTAGGCATACAACATATCAACTTATGAAGGTTGTTCTCTATTTAAATAATTTGTTTAAAACGTATTTTTAGTTTGGACAACCTCTCTTCTCCACATACGGGTCGGCATCGTGGACAGATGAAGGCGAGCAATCAGCCGCCTTTAGCTTCCTTTTACCTTTTCTCCTCGTTCCCATTTTTAGTTTGATTTTACTCTGCCAAAGTCATGGTTTTTTTACTAAATATCTTCGCATTTTATTTTTTGATAGATTTAAATAATTTCACTTTCATAGATGTTAATTCCTTTTATCAAAGAGCTTCTTTTTCCATTTTCCTTTTTTTCTGTCTTACTGTTTCATAAAACCTTTTATTGCATTTTCTAAAGATTTTTTAACATTAAATTTAAACATGGCAAATTTAGATTGCATAAAAGTTGATATTTTTAAAATAATTATAAAGACTTAATATCACAGAAAACTAATAACCTTCAATATTGTCTCTATTCTTGTCTTGAGAAATACGAGTTGAAGAAAAAGGTGCCGGATTAACCTGCCTCCGTTATGAAATTGAGCAACATTTTGTGATTGTCCAAACATTTTTGGTTAAATTCTATTTAGCAAATGCACCTGTACTTCGCCGTTCGCTAGACCAAGTGCCTTGAAATTTGAAAAGGTCTAAACTTTAGCTTTATAATAAACCATAAACCCATTTCCAGAACTGTTCTTCCATGTTGTGCTACAGTGTATTCTATTTCTATATTGTTGGTAAAAGTCGAAAGTATCTATTAGGCTAGTTTTCCCCATTACATCATTAAGCAGATCACTTTTCCAGATAATTATTTGTTCTCCGGAGTTAATTGAGTAGAAAATGTTTTCATTGCTTAGAAAAATAGTTTATTGTTAGTTAAGAAATTATAAAAATACCTTGGGGACCACTCAAAAAGTGTCGATGACATTAATCTCTGGCCTGTACTTAACGTTGACCTCGACGAAGAAATAACTTTGATCGGTTCCGATTCATTATAATTAAAAATAAAAATTTTTTGATCATTTGTTGTACACTAAAAATGAATAAGAACTGAAGAAAAATATTAAAATTTACCGCAAAAATATGAGAAGATACTTGCGGTAATTTAATATTTGTTATTTCAGATCCATATCCTTGGGAAGCTTGAGAACTACAATTGTAGAAGAATTTGCTTGTTTTTATATTTGTTGGATTAAGACGAATAATTCTTCCTTTGGATGTTCCAACAAAACATTCGGATCTTTTGACTGCTCCTTCATTGCTTTCACATATGGCCAATGAAGTGGCAAACTCTAGGTAAAAATTTGTAAATTGTAAATAAAAATTTCACACAAATACCTTCTAGATGGTTTCTTTGCCCATCAATATGCCTAAAACATTGTGTAGAGGAAACAACCACAAATTCTATCGTTCCATTTCCTTCGCCTTCTTTATTCGCATTTCCATCATTTTTTGCCATGCTGTGCAAGACTCGAAGCAGTCCTGATTCGTATAGAGAAAATAGTCGGGCTAACACGCTTAAAATAGTGAGAATAAATATTAGGATTATTTTAAATCTACCCTGCTCCAACACTTTCAGTAACTTCCATTCCCACAATTCGAAAGTCAGCCCAGTTTGAATTACTATTTCTTTTCCACTGCTCCCCGGAAATTGAACAAAAAATAAAGTTTGAATTCATTACTGGTATCAAAACTCCATTCAATAAAATATCAGTTTCCCAAACGATTGATGATCTCCATTTTAGCAAATCCCAAGCAATTAAACTTCCATCCTTCTACTTTTTCTTTTAAAAATAATGTTAAAAATGATTTACCAATCCTCCAAAAAGTACAGAATTGTCTGGGGCATAGCGAAGAAAGGCAATTTCCTGCTCACAGCAAATAAGCCTTCCAATTTCCCGAGTGGTTGCTTCAATGTCGAATTCCGCGATAAAACTTTTCTTATTTTGCATAGGATCTTAAAAATTCTTTAGAAAAGTAAATAAATTAACCTAGTGATTCGGCCACAAAAACGCTAATGCAGATTGTCTGCGTATTCTAAATAGAAAAGAAAATGAATTAGGGCCACACAAGAGGACAGTAAGACAATTTGTCCTTTGTCCAATTGTCGTCAGCTCGACTGTCCTTAAATCAAATAAGCTTTTGTCCAATTGTCTTATGTTAGATTGTCTCACTGTCCATTGTCATGTCACCGAACAGACCTTAAAGGTGATTGCTGATATCCTATTTTCTTTAAAAGTAATTAATATTATTTGAATTCTTCAAATTTATTACCTGAACTCTCAGTAAAGATAGAATTTAAGGATAAATTTAAGCGTCGAGAACTAAATACTGAAGAGACTTTCTCGAGGTTTGAAGGAGTCGTTTGTTGAAGGAGGCCAATCAAAAGCTTTGTAAATTTGATTATATTAAAATTATTTCATTAAAAACCTGGCCGGCCTCTTCTACGAAACGAGCCAACCCAGCATTTTTCCTATCTTCTGATTTTTGAGAATTACTAGCTGCTTTGCTATTGTATTTTCCAGTCTGAATCCCCACAGTTTCCTTTTCTTTAAATTCGGTTTGACTGTAAGCATTCAATTCTGATCCTTCAGTCTGGGTAAACACCTTTTTTAATAAAAAAATAGTTTAATGCAAATTTTATTGTATCAACTTGTCTTCTATGTAAATTTTGTCCTGTAACTTCTTTAAAATAATCCACGAACCACTCCTGATCATTTTTTCCATTTTCTTCGATAAATCTTTCCTGTGGAATAGCAATTTCCCTTTGATCTGGTAGAACTTCCCTTTCTTTATTAATATCCTCTTTATCAACCTTTATCCTTTCATTATCAATAATATTTATTCTATTATTCCCTGTTAGTTTTTTGCGCAAAATAGATTCTTCTTCCTTCTCCTCTTCTACTCGATCATCTTTTGCTTCCTCATTCTCCTCCATATCCTCTTCAAAATCACTTTCATAGTCTTCAAAATCATCTTCATATACTATTTCCTCTTCCTTCTTTTTATTCAACTCTTCATCAACTTTTGGTTTATCTCGAATTTTGGTTGTTTTTCTTATTTTTTCTTCGTTATTCTTTTTATGTTCTTTCTTCTCGTTTCCTTTTTTACTGTTTTTCCTTTCTTCCTTTCCATCCTCCCTTAATTTTTCCTTTATTGCTGCTGATAATTCTGATGATTTTCTTCTATTATTCCTTTCATCTTTACTTAATTTATCACTTTTTTCTCCAGTTTTATTTTGATTAATTAATTGTCCTTTTGTTTTTGATTCAACAGTTTTTCTAATAAATACAAGAAAACATTAAATACTTTTCATAATTTTGATTACCTTTGACTGCTAGCTGTGTTATTAGGAATCTTCTGTTGTTTTTTCATTGACAATGGAAAATTAAGTTATATTTTACTTAATCCGCGCTGTCTAAACGTTTGTTACTAGGCAACATCCTTTTTATTGTGCGACCTTTGAGAGTCCGTCATTTGAGCACCAGACATTTGAGAACACGACATTTGGGAACAAGACCTTTGGAAACCCGACATTTGGGAACCCGACCCCCGTTAAGAACTCGAAGGATATTTTTGCGATATGGACCGGATTAGTTAAAATATTCAAAGGAAAATAAAAAAATTCAATGTCTAATATAAATTTATTCTCTTTATTATCATTTATTTTATTGTCTGTGTTTAGCTTTAGCTTGCAACAATTGTCTTTGTCTAATTATTTCCCTTCCAATTCTCATAAAATCCTTCAATTTCGCTCTGTTAAGCATCAAAGCAACCCCTTTAGGTGGACGAATAGATGGTGGATGAATCATAGGAGTACGGTCTGCACGAGAAACCAGCGAAGGATTTGAAAATTTTTGAACAATCGGTGGAGGTGCTAGGCGGTCAGTATGCGGCGCTTAAATGAGGTATTATCAACTTTAATCTTTTTTATCTTTTATACCTGCCCTTTTTGGTGCTTGTGCTATCACCAAATGATTAAATAAAGGCAAAATAACCAAAATAAAAATTGTAAAGAAATAAAGGCGTAATAAAAATAACATTTATTTGATTTTAGAAAATTGACAAAAATTGAGGTAATGGCAAGTTTTAGAGAAAGATGGAAAATTTGAAATGCTTGAATTGGCCAGTAAAAACTGGCTTTTGTGTAAATTTTGTTTGCCTCACTTTTTTTTACCGTTATCTAACACCCACCAAATTTTACAATTTTCACGGTCCGTGTAAAATTAAAAGTAATCAACCCATTCGTTTCCTCAAACACCTCTTTCCCGTTTTAACTTTTCCAATTCTAGCTTCCTTTCCTCTTGCTGTTTTCACTCTTTTTTAATTTTTACAACTAAACTGAAAAGGAAAGGCACATTTAATTTTTTTATTTTTTTATGAATTTTACCTTTAAATTGTTTTGATTGTAAAAGTTTATTATTACGATTTAAAACAAACTTTATCTTTTCCAAAAAAATAAAAAAGATATAGGTAATTTTGCTCAGCTCAATTTGCCTTTACTCGGTGTCGATATTGTAACCCTTTTTAGTCTTGTCGAGATTTTAACAATGCGATATTTTATCGACTCGATGTTTTAATCCATTTTTGGCGAGTCGAGATTTTAACCAGCGATGTTTTAACTGTCGATTATTTGTCCTGAAAAATTCTGTTATTTTCTCTTCCTTCACTATTTCGCACTGATTCGGTATAGATCGGTTCAGAGCGTAAACGACAACTTGAGCGCGGCAAATCGAGGGCCAGCCAAACTTATGATTATTTTTACTTTTTTTAGCCTAGTCCAATCCGTGTAAATCTTTTATCTTTCGAACCCCTCGATAAGTTTATCTTTTTTCCAACTTGATGGATCCATCTAAAATTATTATTTAAGTTTTATTTTTCTAAAAATAAAAATGGCATCAGTTGGGAAAGCAGTTTCAAAAGATGTAAAACAACAAATTAGAACATCTGCTCTAGCCTTTCTGTCATTTTTAAACAAATCAGTAACACCATTTCATGGTAATTTTAATTTTGACACAATGATATATATCTTTTCTAGCTGTTGAATCGTGTGAGTCGATTTTGAGGTCAGCCGGATTTGTGGAGCTATTTGAGAATCAAAGGCTTAAAGTTCAACCTAAAGGAAAATTTTACATAAAAAAGTGAGGTTGTTTGATTATTTGAATATCTCCCTACATTTTAGAAACGAAACTTCTATTTTTGCTTTTGCGGTTGGTGGAGCTTTCAATCCTACAACTACCGGTTATTCTATAGTTGTTGCTCATACTGATAGGTTTGTTTTGCTTTTTTATTTTTATATTGTCTTTAGTCCTTGTTTACGTGTGAAACCAATTTCAAAAAGAACTTCAGAACAATTTTTGCAGGTTAGAAAGTTTAGTAAAACTAATTTTTGTTTATTGCGTAGGTCGGTGTGTCGCCTTATGGTGGTGGTGTTTGGCGATCTTGGTTTGATCGTGATCTCAGTATTGCTGGGCAGGTCATCTTTAAAGGGGCTCAAAGCGAAATTCTGCATAAACTTATTGATTTTGGAAGGCCAGTTCTTCATATTCCAAACCTGGTTTTTTTCTTTATCTTTTAACGTTTGAATTATTTTAGGCGATTCATTTGGATAGTGATCGAGGTAAATTCGAGTTCAACTCTGAACAACACCTGAGACCAATTTTGGCTCAGGTTCCATTCGATAATTCAACTAAAGATGAGAAGAAAGTTGATAAAGATCAAATTTTTAGCGGCATTTCAATTATTGGCGATCATCATGATATACTTTTGAAGGTTTTGTTTTTATTACTGTTTTGTTTTTTTGGTACTTGTGTGTTATTGTTTAGTCTATTGGTGAATTGGCTGGTTGCGAGCCTGAAGAACTTCTTGATTTGGACCTCTATCTGTATGATACACAGCCTGCTGTAAGGTCTTACTTATAGACACTATAAATTTTTTAAGAGTTTAACCGGGCTTGAGGAAGAATTTATTTCTGGTGCTAGACTCGATAATTTGGTGGGGACCTACACCTCCATAATGGGGCTGGTACAAAGTTTGGGCGATGAACAGGCATTCTCTACAGACCAAAATATTCGCCTTGTTGCTTGTTTTGACAATGAGGAGGTTAAAAATCTCTATCTTATTTTATCTTAAAACTTGTTAATTTTAGGTTGGAAGTGTTAGCGCACAGGTTAGAGGGGAACAGACGTTGTGAGAATTCTATTGAATTTTACAGGGTGCTGCATCTCATTTTATGGAATGGCTTATGCGCCGTATCGTGGCCTCCCCAGATGATCCTAATGCTTTTGAATGTGCGATTGGCCGTTCCTATTGTTAGTATATTTTAGATTTATGGGGAGATTTGATTTGTAAAACTTATCAAACAAAATTTAGTGGTTAGCGCAGATCAAGCGCATGCTTGTCATCCAAATTATGCAAACAAGCATGAGGTTTTTTATTTTATTTTCACTTTTTTACTTAAAAATTTTAAAGGATTGTCACAAGCCAACATTTAATAAAGGTGTAGTTGTCAAAATAAATGCAAATCAGCGTTATGCGACATCGGCAGTAACACATTCTATATTTAAAATAATTGCGGAATCGGCAGGGATTCCTATACAGGTTTTGTTAACATTTATTTTCTATGATTAGATTGCGAAATAACAGAAAGTTGTTGCACGAAGCGATCTTCTGTGCGGGTCAACAGTGGGACCAATTTTGTCTGCCAAATTGGGAATTCAGGTTTTCTTTTTGTTTTCATACTTGCTAAACTTAATTTTACAGACAATTGATGTAGGCTGCCCTCAATTAGCCATGCATTCTATTCGAGAACTTGGAGATACCTCATCGATTCATTATGCTACTACGCTTTACTCGGTTTGAGGGAAATTTTTCTAAAGGTTTATTTTGATTTTTAGCAATTTTTCAACAAATTGCCATCTGTTTTGGGCTCCCTAAAGAAACATGAACCACCGACACTAATGAATGTTGATTGATTTTAAAGGGTATAAAATTTATTTTTAGATTAGGTTATTAACATTATGCAAATTGAATTTAAATTATTCTTGTCCTGTTTCCGTATAAACCTCACTAGTTTTTTTACTTCCTTGCTTTTTCGTAATTATCCACAAACCATTTAACTGACTCGTCTATGGCTTTCTCAAAAGGAGTGAATTTAAAATCAGGCAAAAAGGAGCGGAGTTTTTTGTTGGAGGCCGTTTTCTGTTTAATAAGATTAGGAAAAAAATTTTAGTCTTTTAAAACCTTAAATTGGCCATCAGCTTTGCTTGTGTCATAAATTACTTCACCCGTAAAATCCATTGCCTTGACAATTCCATTAACGACATCTTTAATAGTCACCTCATCCTCTTCCCCGACCGAGAGAATTATTGGCTCGATTGACTTAATTTTGACTTTTAAAATTTTTTTTCGATCTTATTTTACCTGATAATCACGAAGTGCCCAAATAAATAGACGAGCCAAATCGTCAGAAAATATAAATTGGCGTAGTGGTTTCCCTGAGCCAAAAACTGTCAAAGGTGTCCCTTCTTTTTTGGCCAAATAGCATTTATGTATGAGTGCAGGGATTACATGAGCATTTTCTATAAAAAATTTTGATTTGTCATCAAAAAATGAGTTACCTAAATTATAGTTGTCGTGTGATCCGAAAACATTGCAAGGGACTACGGAAGTGTACCTAGCAAAAAAAATTTAAGTAAGAAAGGGTTAAAATTGAAAAAATTTAACCAACATTCTGTTATGTTCCTGTGCATAGCCACGATTCAGGACATCGATCCTTTAATTAAAAATTTATAAATGACCCCAAACCTTTCAAAATAGCAAAGCTTACATCCGTTTAGCATATGAATACCCAAAGTTGCTTTCGTGTGGTGCTCCATTGTGTATCTAATATAATATTTTTTTAAATAAAATAGAAAAATCGGAAAAAATAACCATTGTCTCATCAATTGGATATGTAGTTTTATCAGGAAAAATACACGTAGAAAGGCAAGAAACACACTTTTGGACACCGGTTTCGTGGCAACATTTTAGTACATTTTGAGAAATATCCTAGAAAATTTTTTGAATATTTTCTGGAAATGAAAAAATTTTCGCTTGCCAAATTCTTCGTGAAAAATTGTAAATTGTGACGCAAATTGTGAAACAGTCCACCAACCATAGCTGCCAGGTTTATAACCTTATTTATTTTTAATATAAATCTAATATAAAAATACGTGGGTTGGTTTGATCTTCTCAAAAAGTTTCCGAGTTTGCTCCAAATCTGTCAGATCACAATCTCGAGACCCAACAAAAAACCATTCTTCATTGGCTTTTTTCTCTCCACTAGTAATTACCTGAATTTTAAAAAATTGTTTATAATTTTAATTAAATTTTTTAAAACCTTTTCAATAGCTTTACCAACTAGGCCTGAACCGCCAGTGACTAATATTCGACATTGCTCAGGTTTTTCTCCCATTATGAATCAAAAAATGTTGAATGAATTCAAAAAATATGCTGAAAATAATTTTTTTATTTTAGATGTGTGTTGGTAATGCCACGTGTCGATGAATATGAAAATGTGCGGAGAAATGAAGTCAATGAAGAATTTCTTTCTCATTATATTCGAGAGATGTTGGAAAAAATGACAACAAAACTACCACGTTTGTAAAAATACTTTTTTATGTTTTGAAAAAAATTGTTTTTCTCTTAGGACAATAGAGTGTTAAAATAAGCGTTTAAAGACGGTTTTGATGTAAACTTTAATCTTTATAAAATTATTTAATTAAAATGAAATCCAAAAAAGTAAAGAAAAATCATTAAATAAGGGTTTCTTAATTTATTACACAGGATGAACGAGAGCAAAAGGAAAGAAGGAAGAATAAAAAATGGAAACTGGTTTCCCACAGCGCTCAAGATGATTTTTGAGATGCGAGAGCTTGAGGCGTATATTCCTTCCTTCAAATTAGCAAATAACCGCTGCTATTAATAAGCCTACCGGAACAGCTAGCTAACAACATCTGTCGCGCAGGATCGATGGTGACACCAAATTGGAGAGAATGTGGAAAAAAGAAAAACTTCTTGACCCATAGCCGCCAATCGCCAAACAAAATCCACTCTCTTCGCCTCATTTGACAAAGCCTTAGAGGTTCTTCAAGAGCCTTTTCGCGATATTTGTGACTTTGATTTTTTTTGAATAAAAGATGTTAGGAATAAATGAATTTGAAATCTACCAGAATAATAATACCAAAACTTTACATTCGGATTATGTTTACAGGCAAGTCTTTACCTATTGAGTACTTATGTCGTTTCCCTCCCCCACCCAATTTTTTACTTGATGTACAAAATGGTCAATCATTTCTTACTTGCAATAAATCATAACTTTTCCCCCTTGAGCATGGGAGGGAAACTACATAACTATCAAAAATGTTTAAAATTTTGTAATTTTTAGATTCGCTCTTCCCTTTGAGAGAGTGCACGACAAGGTTGGATGGACCAGCCTCTTCCAGGTTTAAATCTTTTTAGCTTATTCAATTCCAAAAATATTCTTTAGAGGTATTGGTATCACTCAATCACAGTTTCTCTCCTTTACTACGTATTTGTGCGACTTTTGCAGCGTTTGATGCGCGACCGTCAGCCCTTTCAACTCAGAGTTCCTCTCATCGTTTGGAACTTTGTATTGGCAATATTTAGTTTTGCGGGACTTGTTCGCTTCTCTGAGGTTGTTTTTCATGTCTATTTTTACTTTATATTTAGGATTTTCTTTACAACTTGACAAAACATGGGCTAGTGTATTCTATTTGTCATTCGTGCAATCCGGACAGTGTGGCTGCCTTCTGGTTGATTTTTTTGTTTAATTAAATTTTAGCAACTGTAGGTCATTGTTGTTCGCCTTCTCAAAAATTGTTGAATTTGGCGATACGTTATTCATTGTGCTTCGAAAACGGAAACTCATTGTTTATAAAATTTCAAAATAATAAATCTCGTTCAAATTTTCTAGTTTCTTCATTACTACCACCATGCTGCAGTATTTGTTTATACCATTCATTCTGGTACTGAACACACTGCTCCAGGCCAGGCATTCATTTCGATGAAGTAATTTTATTGGCAAAAATTAGCTCTAAATTTTTTTTAGTTTCCTTGCCCACTCCGCTATGTATTCGGTTTTTCTTTTGATTAAATTTAAAATAATGCCATTTATTGCAGTACTATACAGCCAAGTCTTGTGGCATAAAAGTTCCAAGACCTATAGCTATGGCGGTGACTAGCATCCAAACAGCTCAAATGTTCTTGGGAGTTGCTGTTTCCACATTGGTTCTGAAACTGAAGCTTTTGGACGGATATAGGTAGGAATTTGGAACTTATTTAGCATTTTGAGCTTGCGAATAAATGGGTCGGGCCTAAAGTAAATAAGTTCTGGAAATTTATCCGTAAATTAAACATTCCTCTTTGATAAATACACGTATTAATTTCGTCATTTTTGACGTCAATTTTTAGATGCCAGCAAAGTTGGGCCAACTTAATATTAGCATTCACTATATATGCCACCTTTGCTCTTCTGTTTGTACGTTTCTTCGTTGACGCCTATTTGCATCGCAACCGAAAACAAAAAGAAAAATAATTCGAAGCAGCTATACTAATCTTGTGCTGATTTTTAAAATGAATCGGATATCTGATCAATATACTTACAAAAAATTTTCCCTATTTTTTTCGAAATTTTATCAATTTTATTTTTCTTATATACACACCTATATATTTATTTTCAATCCTGGGAAAAAATTTTTCTGCCTGAGTACTTAAAATCCATCTCTTTTGTGTGCACAACTCGCATTTCCTCATCCATTTGTGTGCCTTTTGCTCCCACTCTGTTTTCTTCCCGCTGCCTGGCCGAGAGCATTTTGATGGAGACAGCCGCGACGTTGGGATGGGCCACCCATTGATTTTCCTTTGGCTTTTTCTTCTCCTCTTATCCTTTGCTCCCTAGTGACCGTCCCCGCTTCGTTTTCTAGCTGTATAGAGCGATGAAAAATTTTACCCAGAAGATCGAACCCTCTATATTTTTAGTTATTTTTCTGGAATGGTCCTGCCGTGGACTCGGACAGAAATTCCTTTATTTTATTTCTTTTCCTATTTTTTTTATTTTTAAGAAGTGGAGTTTACTTTAGCCTGCATTTTTATGGTTGTCGGTAATTTCTTTCCAAAATTGTTTGTGCCACACTTACATTTCCCCTAAAAATTTTCACTTCATTTGTAAATAAAAAACATTTTATAGTGACTTTTCTTCAATTTTAAAGTCTAGTAATTCATTATGATTTAAATATTATAAATAGAAATTTCTTCAAATTTTAAAACAACATTTTTTAAATGTATTTTTGCTTCTTGTCTGCTGTCGCCTTCGAAATTTCCTTCCATCCAGAAACTAGTCAATCCCAATTTGTTGACAGCTAATTGCTTTTTTCTTCATCAATTAGCTTTAAATTTTCTATTAACAAGTGGCAAATAACCCAGATTTTTCTATTAATTCACCAAGTATGGTTTCTCCGACTAATCCAGGTTATTTTTTTAGAAATTTGTAGGCGTCCAAATTACATATTAATCAAATTTAATTTGGCCGGCTAAATTCAATTTGGCCGGCTGAATTCAAATTTACCGGCCAGATTAAATTTGGTCTAAAATGTAACTTGGAGGCTGACATATTCACTTTATGCTTCAAAAGGTTAAGTGATTGTTTTTAATCATTTTATGTGATTTTAAGCCAATAAATTTAAAAACTTCGCCTCCCTTTAACCATCTTCAATTATTGTCTATCTTACAGACGATATTAGAAACAAGTTAATTGCATATTTAAAAAAACTGAGAAAATCTACATATTATTGGAGATGCAACAAAAAGCGGCATTTTGCCGAAGGGAATGTGAACCAGAGCCTAAAGAAAGTGTCCAAATTTCCTTTCAGCCTTTTGCACTTCTAAGTCCATGAATATGAGAGCGAGAGAAGGCAAACATACAAAATCCCCCTCACCTCTTGACGTCACTAGCGACAAAAAACGATGGTGTTACATCCTTTTGTCGCTGACCTAGGTCTATGCCGCTTATTGAGGGAGGCAATGCTAGAAGAGGGAGTATGTATACGTGAATGAGGAAGCGCGTTAGACGTGTAAGACCGTATATGAAGACGAAAGTAAAAGGAAGGAGGACCGATATAAATCGATCCACCCCTCTTTTTTGCTTTTTATCCCTTTTCTCATTTTTCTTTCGCTTTCTGCATCCAAATTGCTGCCAGCTTTCAAATCAAAGTGAGTGAAAAAGAACGAAAGTGGACGGGAGAGTGTGTTCGAAACTGTGTGGAAATGAAAGAAAAAACTGAGTAAAATTGTGAGATGAAAAGGATACATGAGAGAGCTGTCAATACCGCTCTTGCTTATCTTTCGATCACCCCTCCCCGTTTTACGTTCTTTTTCCCATCACTCATTCGATTTTAATTCAATATTTAATCCTGTCATTCCTATCGATATACTTTTTATACATTCTATATTTGTAAATTCACGTTAATCGGATTAATTTTAAACTAAAAACTAAAAAATTTTTCACATTATATCAGTATCATTTTACATTTTTATCATTTTATTCGCAAAATTTGGGCCATAATGACGTTTGCCATTTTGTCCATAATTTCCCCTTTTGGACGTTTTACAAATCGTACTGTTTTACACTTTCGCAGTTAACTTTTTGAAAAAAGTCAAATCGAAATTTCAAAATGTAAATAACGTAATATCAAATCATTAAACGCCAAAATCGCAATTCGACAAAAAATTTTTACCTATTTCACTTTAAATTTCACTGTTTGTACAATAATTTCTAAAATTTCTTTTAATTACAGTTAATCAACAGCCTTCTGCTTCTTCCGGGCAGTTACCACCTTCTCTGCCTCCCATAACAATCCCCCAACCCAGCAATTCCTTCTCTGCAAGACAAGTAAAACCACAGATCAAAACCAACGTTGCGGTGGCTTTCTCAGAGTGTAGTAGCGCACAAAATTCCCCAACATCTGCCTGTTCATCAACTGGTTATTGTCCATCGTTCCGGCATCCGGGTGTCAAATCGGCGGCGAGAATCGCCGCAACATCGCAGAGCCCAATGCGCTCTTTATCAAGTGCCTCTGGTGGTGAATTTTAATTTTTTCCCTAACATTTTAAAATTGTTTTCAGGTCTTTATTTGAGTGCTCCTGGTAAAATAATTCTTTTCGGTGAACATGCAGTTGTATATGGACGGGTAAGCATTTTAATCGAAATTTTATTCATTGAATTTTTTAGACTGCAATCGCGGGTTCTATAGATTTGCGCACTTATTTGTCTCTTTTTACCTCAGCTGATGGACGCATTTATTTGTGTTTACCTGACATGAATATTGAAAAGGTTTTGAATTTTAAATTATAAATTTTCAAAAACAAATTTTTTAGACGTGGTTACTGAAAGATTTGCAGAGAGAAATTTCCAAACTTCCTAGTAAAATATTTTCTAAATTCTATAATTTCCTGTTCATTTTTTAGATGATCTTTTTCTGCTAGCAGAAGAGCCTCCCTCCCTAGAATTAGTTGTCCCCATTGCAAAAAAATTATCTGGCGCTTCAGAAGAACAAAGTGGTGTACAAAATTTAGCAATTCTTGCTTTTTGGTATTTACTCATCGGTGTGGTAATCCGCCGACGGTTTGTTTATTTTTCTATTTGCCTCTGGGTTCTGTACTTTTTACGTCAGTGGTTTGACTTTTTTTTCTATTCTCCATCTTTTCGTAGGGCTTTGGATATTCAACAACAACAAGAAGAGAATGAGCAACAACAGAATTTAGACGATGCTTCCTGCTCATTACCACAGACCGATGGATCCAAAACTTGCCAGATGCAGGACCCAAAGACCAAGTCCGTAAAGCAACCTTTGTCTGTTTGGTATGTCATGCGGTGGTTGTGTTTTTGTTATTTTTCTTTCTATTATTTTGTATTTTTAACTTTTTGTCAACTAATTATTGTCATTTATGTTGGTTTTTATGTCAAATTTTGGAAATTTCCAGAATAATAATTTTTTATTTTTAGGGATCTCCTAGCAGTAAAAGTCACTGTTCGTTTTAAACTCCCCTCCTGTGTAGGACTTGGATCATCCGGTTAATTTGAAGGAATTTTTAATAGCTTTAATTTCCCTTTTAAGGAGCGTATTGTGTTTGCATTGCTACAGCATTGCTTCAAACTGCTGGTCTAATACCCCCTTCGTGTGTTCCTACAGACTCGGAGGATTCCTCCACGTGGGATGAACAACACCTAGATATGGTATTTATTTGATTTTATTCTTACTTTTGATTTTTAAAGATCCGGAAATGGTCTTCAGCGGCAGAATCTTTAATTCATGGTAGAGCGTCAGGACTAGATGCGGCTATTTGCACTTATGGTGGAATTGCAAGTTATATGCCTGGAAAGCGGCTAGAAAACTTACAAAAGTTTGTGACATTCAAAATTTTACAAATTAATTTTCAGTATTCCCGACTTGAAAGTAATTCTAGTCAACTCAAGGGTTGAGAGGAATACTTCTCGAATGGTGCAAACAGTTAAAGATAATTATAAAAAGGTTTGGATTTTTATAATTAGGGTACTTTATGGATATGTCACCCCCCCTCCTATTTTGAGTCTCAGAGTTTTCCTTAAACGCAGAAAATGGTCAGAGATTATTTTCTTCTCCATGTCAATCATTTTTTTCTTCTTCAAGTATTTTGCTTGTTTATTTTGCCTTTTCACATATTTTGTACTTACATTTCACTCATTTCGTTTATACATTTACCACATTTGCTTGAAGAAGAAAAAAATGATTGACATGGAGAAGAAAATAATCTCTGACCATTTTCTGCGTTTAAGGAAAACTCTGAGACTCAAAATAGGAGGGGGGGTGATATATCCATAAAGTACCATAATTAGTAAAATTTATATTTTTCTAATTTTTTAAAGTATCCAGCAGTTGTTGAACCTATTTTTGATACAATTGATGCATTAGCCTACGAAGCGGCAAAAATACTACAAAGGCAATTCTTTTTACTAAATACAACAGATAGAGGAGGTGGAGGGGGAGAGAATGGTTCTTCATTAGAGAATGGTGGACGTTCGGCAGCGCTAAGTCCTCAAATTACTTTAACTGACGGGCCCGATTTTGCATGCAATAGTGTTGGAAGCCACCATCAAAAAAATCTTCAGCCCTCTTCCTCTTGTGCCGCAGGTTCAGGTGGTGGTCGCTCTCCCTCATTAGGCGGAGGTTCTTATGCAGCTGGAGGCAAGCGCGGTTCAAATGCCTCAGCAATTAGTGGCGTTTCTGCTGGGACAACACGAATTGAAAGAAGCGAATTAACAGACACCTTTGACCGACTCAATGAGCTTTGCCGTATAAACAATCAACTACTAATTGCACTCGGTATTTTTTTTGCATTTAATAAATATGAATAAGCAAATTAAACCAAAAAAATTAGAAAAAAGTGTAAATAAATTTAAAAAAATTTTATTTTTTATAGGGGTTGGACATGCTAAAGTTGATCAAATTAGCACACTTCTGTAAGTTAACTTTAAAAAAAAGATGTAAAAAGACAATTGTTTTTTAGTGGAAGATACGGCATTTACCCTAAAATGACTGGCGCAGGTGGGGGTGGATGTCTATATGCGTTTTTAAAACCTGGTGAGATAATTTGGATTTTAAATAATTTTAAAACAATTTAAAGAAACGTCTCAAACGCTGCTTAACATGATTAAAGATGAGCTGCGCAAAGATGGCTATGAAATGTGGCAGCCTGCGCTTGGTGGTAAGCACCGCTTTTTTAAAGATATTTCAACCTAATATTCCCTAAATTTATTTAAAGGCCCGGGCGTCTTGCAACATCAAAATAAACCAGAATTGTTCGCATCTGCCTCCAACAGTTCAAGCGCCTCGAGCACTGGAAGGGGAAGTAGCTCTTCAGCAGCAGTACCCGTCTATGGTGGAATTTCTTCACGTTCGAACACGCCTGCCAGTTCTCACCAGTCGACCCCGGCTGTTCGACATAAAAAATAATTCATTCCTAACCTTTTTCTAACCCTAATAATTTTTTTTATAATTTTCTTGTAGGTTTAGGCATTGTTCTTTTTTCCCCTTTCCTAAATTTTCATGCTCGATTACCGAGCAAAATGGCGCTCCTCCCTATTTAAGTGCCTTCAAATAATATTTTTTATAGAGTTGAGCAAAACTGATACTTAATGGGAATACAAAGTCGAAGTTCACACGTCGACGAAAATATGAACCGAAGTAGTATCAAGTCTTGCTCATATTTAATTTTTCACACGTTCCAAATAAGAAAAACATCCTATGCGAAATAATCTTCTTAATTAAATAGGATCTAATTTTAAATATTGTATGTATCTACCAAACGGCTATAAAAAATCCTGCTCTAACACTTGACAATTTTCATTGCAATAGTTTATAAATCTCCCACTTTATTTTGTAATCAGAATAGGTTTACCCCTCTTTTTTGTTCTACCCCCATAGTTTATTCTTCTATATTTCTACCATTTATTTGTTGTTCGAATAAATATTCTAGTAATGAATGGACGTTTAGTGCCATGAAAGTACTACCCCTGGTAAAAAATGCAATATTCGTGTTTCCAGATCTTATGGGATGCTCAAACTTTAAAAGGTACAAATTATTTTATTTCAGGTCTTTTAAAAAAATATAAAATTATCATAACTTAGTTATCGAACAAAATATCGAAGCCATTCGTTTATATTTATGAGCAATGATCAGAGGAGAGAGCAAAATTTGGTTCTTGACTTCTGCGCGGATTTCGCCTCACCATCCGTCTTCTTGTCCAAGTGTTCGTCAATATTTGCTTCGGTGCCAGGAATTTTTGAGTCTAAGTTTCCTAAAATCAAAAATAAGTATGGGAAAAATAAGTATGTATAACCTTTAATTGAGCGGTCCGTCACTTCCCCCAAAGTTTCCAAATGAGGAGAATCAACCAAAGGTCCCTCAGTCTTGTTCTCTTCAGTATGTTTGTCATCCATGTCCATACGAAGAGAACCAACCAAAGGCCCATCCGTCTTGTTGTCCAAATGCTCGTCAATATTTGCCTCAAATCCAGAAATTTTCAAGTTCACGTCCTCTAAAATTAAAAATAAATATGGCAAAAATATGTATAACCTTTAGTTTCGAGGTCAGTCGCCTTCCCAAAAATTTCCGAACGAGGAGCATCAACCACCAAAGATCCCTCAGTTTTATCCTCTTCAGTATGTTTGTCATCCATGTCCATACGAAGAGAACCAACCAAAGGCCCATCCGTCTTGTTGTCCAAATGCTCGTCAACATTTGCCTCAAATCCAGAAATTTTTGAGTCTTTATCCTCTAGAATTAAAATAATAAGTATGGAAAGAATAAGTATAACCTTTAATTGAGCGGTTCATTACTTTCCCAGAAATTTCCAAACGAGGAGAATCAACCAAAGGTCCATTTGTCTTGTTCTCTTCCGAATGTTTGTCTTCTTCAAAGTGAGGAGAATCAACCAAAGGCCCATCCGTCTTCTTGTCCAAATGTTCGTCAATATTTGCCTCAAATCCAGAAATTTTCAAGTTTTCGTCCTCTAAAATTAAAAATAAATATGGCAAAAATATGTATAACCTTTAGTTTCGAGGTCAGTCGCCTTCCCAAAAATTTCCGAACGAGGAGCATCAACCACCAAAGATCCCTCAGTTTTATCCTCTTCAGTATGTTTGTCATCCATGTCCATACGAAGAGAACCAACCAAAGGCCCATCCGTCTTCTCGTCCAAATGTTCGTCAATATTTGCCTCAAATCCAGAAATTTTCAAGTTCTCGTCCTCTAAAATTGAAAATAAATATGGAAAAAATAGGTATAACCTTTAATTGCAAGGTCAATAACTTTCCCAATAATCTCCTGAACCAATTGCTCGTCTTGCTCAGTAGCCATGTCAGATACGAATAAAGTCAATAAAATGAAGTCAATAAAATAAGCCAACCAAATAATTGATTCCTAAATAAATTTTAAATTAAATGTATTGCCCTAGGGGATTATTAATTTTTTTATTTCTAAATGAAGTAAAAAGGCAAATCATTAAGCGAATCCTGAGAGAGCAAAAAGTGTATACAGGAAAAATATTTCCGGTATTAGCATTACGTAGTTAGATAAAAATATAGAAATTAGAAAAAGTAAGCTGTCAAATGGATTTTTATATGTCCATTTCTCGCAATAATAATGTCAAAGGTTTAAAAAAAAAATAAAAAGTAAATTCGATCAGTTTTTTTTCAAAAATGAGTAACGTTCTTAAGCAATTTGGTCGAGGCTTCCTGAATTTTCTTCAATTTAAAGAGGAGAATGCTGGATGGAATAAAATGAAAAGGAAAGTAAATAAATAAAATGAGAGGGAATCGATTTACTTCCTAAGCAAGTTTGTTTTTTTGGGTTTGTTTTTTTCCACAATTATTGAAAAAAATACTCTTAAATTTCACTTGCCCTAATGAACAAAGAGACAAAGATTGATTTTTACAATGTAAAAGAAAAATATAAAACTAGGACATAAATAAAAGTGACAAGTAGATGAACATAAATCGTTCGGATGGCATTTTCAAATCTAAATCCATTTTGAAAAAAACGTTTTGCCAAATAATTATTATTTTTCTCTAATTTGAATTTCCAGTGTCTTTTTCATTCTAGCATCTCTCTCTTTTTATAGTGTTCTATTTTTACTTCTCGTTTTTCACATTTTGCCAAATCCATATTTTGCCAATAAGGGTAAAAACTTACATTTTGTCAACAACCTTTTTGACAAAATGTGGGGTTTTAGCGTTACTGGCAAAATATAATGTTGGCAAAATATGGCGAGCCCTCGAATTTTTATAAAAAATTTTAATATCGCTCGTTCAAATTTTTAATTTTAGTACTCCCTTTCTTAAGTATAACTATTAAAGAACGTCAAGAATTGAATAAGCAGAATAATCCAATTTTCCTGACATTTCCTTTGTTGCTTCATCTTCCTCTTTTTCTATGATTTTTCCATAATTTAATCAACTTTCCAAATTTGTGTCACATTCTTAACTATCCATGCATAAATTCAAATTTGTTTTATGTTCCACGCTTTTTCGCTTTTCCCTTTTTGGGAATGAAACAATTTGCTTAAATGACGCTTAACTAAAAACTTTGTTACTCACCACTCTTTCTTGCTTACTCAAATAGAACCAAAATGCACTCATTTTATTACCCTCTTTGACAAAAATAGAGTCCATCATCTTCTCTTTTATTACTTTTTTATCCCATGAGAAATGGATGGATTTTTGTTTAAATAACTAGCGAAAACAAAGAATAATACGTATTTCTTTCTTATACTGCAGAATTTTCTTTTGAAGATTATCCGACGAGGCGACACTTGCGAACCGACATTTGTGGACACGCAACAGATTATTTTAACACATATCTAATTTTTAAGAAAAAATGCCGAAAGAGGTTATTCCGAGAGAATTGCATTCCACTGGAGGAGCAAGTAAGTGAAAACTTTAAGTATTAAATCTCTTTAAAACTAGACTTTTCAGTTCCGCTTCCAGGAGCAGCAAATTCTCCTCATTCCCGTGTTGAGCTTATGTTGGAAGCCAGGTAAATAATCTATATAATTTAATCCAATTTTCCTTTTCAGAGGCCTACAAGACTTGGATATACTCTCCAAATCTGATCCTATTTGCATCGTCTATTTGAAGGGACTCGGATTAAGGAGTGATGAATATTTTGAAATTGGACGAACTGAAGTGATTTATAACGATTTGAATCCAAAATGGAATACCAAAATACAACTTGACTACTTTTTTGAGGTATTCTTACTTTTTTCTTTATATTATTTTAAATTTAAGACAAAACAAATTTTGAAATTCGATCTTTATGATATAGACAATGAGAACACTGTGGACCTGTCAGGCCATGATTTTCTAGGTTTATTAATTTTCTGTACAATTTTAGTTTTCAAATTTTAGGCAGTTGTGAATGTCATCTTGCTGACATTTGTGCGACATCAGAAGATTTTTTGCGTTTGGATTTGAGGTTTTTGCTACTTTTTAAATTTTTTTGAAATTTTTTCATTTTCAGAAATGGAAAGAAACAAAAAGGTGTTCTGCTTGTTCGAGCCGAGGAGGTGGATAATGGTCAAAAAGAAATTGTCTATTTGGTTTGCCATGGAAAGAGGGTTGCTATCCCCCATTTTTGTTGCTCCTGTCTTTTTTCGATTGATCCTTTTTTGGAATTCCATAGGATTTATCCAAACGGATCGTATGAAACATTTTTTTATCTTTTTTTTAATTTTAAAAATTTTTTAGAACGCAGTTGGTGCATAGAACTGAAGTTGAAAAGAACACAATCAATCCAGAATGGAAACCTATCGAAGTGAGCGTGAGGCATCTTTGTGAAGGGGATAAGAACAGGCAATTTTTGGTTGAATGTTATGACTTTAAAATTACTGGAAAGTTTGTTTATTTTTATTTTTTCCCATTAAAAAAATTTTTTTAAAGTCATATTTTTCTTGGCTCTGCCAAATTAACGGTCAATCAATTAACCTCTTCAAAAAATCAAAGCCAAGTCATTCCTCTTGAAAAGCAAAAGAATTGTGAAAAGGGAGCCATACAATTCCTTCAAGCGACCATTAATCGAGAATTTACTTTTTTGGATTTCATTAAGGGAGGGTATGTTTTTAGAAGGAATTTTAGTTAAAAATAGTTTGGCACTAATTTAGAATGCAACTTGAATTTGCAGTCAGCATTGACTTTACAGCATCGAATGGAAATCCGAGAAGTCCAAGTTCTCGTCATTACGTCGATCAGTTTTATCTTAATCAATACGAGCTTGCGATAAAATCTGTGCTTGAAATTTGCGAGGTAACAATTTTAAAAGCATCTTATATTGAATATTGATCAATTATTTATAGCACTATAACACTAGCAAATATTTTGAGGCATTTGGATTTGGTGCAAAAATAATTCCAAGTCAATATGTCAGCCATTTTTTCAACTTGGTAAGGGCAAAATGTTTTTTATATTTTTTAAAAGATTGTTTTTAGAATATTGAAACCAACCAATCGGGAGTATATGGAGTAAAAGGAGTTATGGACGCTTACAGGAGTGTATTGAGCCGGGTTGAACTTTATGGACCGACAAATTTTGAACCGACGGTGCGCACAATGCTAGAAAAGTGTAAAACTTTCCCGAGAAACGGGTCAAGATATCAGGTTTACTTTGTTATAAGAGAATGTTTTATAGTAGATTACACCCCAACAGATTCTGTTAATATTAACTGATGGATTGATAACAGACATGGAACGGACAAAGTTGGCAATAATTGAGGTATTGATTAGAACGTTAATTTTTTAAATTTTTCTCGATTTTTTAGGCATCTGTACAACCGCTGTCAATTATTGTTAGTCATTTCAAAACAATTAACAAAAATTTCATTATTTAGATTGTGGGCGTTGGGGATGAAGATTTTGCAAAAATGGATGAATTGGACTCTGATGAATGTTTACTGAGGCATGGTAATTACGTTGCCAAACGTGATATTGTTCAGGTTCATTTTAATTTTCTAATCCTTTCAGTTATCCTTTTAATTTTTAGTTTGTTCCTTTTCGTGATTTTTATAGTGCTGTTCGATCAGTTGACAGGTTTCTAGAATATTTATTGTCAAAATAACCATTAAAAAACTTTTAAAGTAGAATTTCTGAACAGCAACAAATGCAAATTCAAGTTGAACTGGCTAAGGTTTTTCTATTTTTAAATTTTTTAAATTCAATTTTTTTAAATTTTTCTAGGCCGTGTTAGAGGAAATCCCATATCAAGTAACATCGTATTGCAAAGCGAATAAAATTCAACCATTGAACGGTTAATTAAAGCAAAACTTAATGGAAGCATGACCAATGATTCTACAAATTGAACCTCATCATTTTTATTCGACTTAATCTGTCTTAAGTTCACTTGCCATTAATTAATAATGTACTTATAAAACCTAAAATTATAATAGCTCAAAATATTCCAATAAGTATGACAAAATGTAAATTTTCTTTTTTATTAAAAGATGGGACTGCCAACTATCCTTTTTAAATTTTTTTCAAAAAATTGTCTAGAAAATAAATGATAGTTGGCAGTCTTTGATTAAATATATAATTCCGTCTTATCAAGATAATTTTTTTCTTAATTTTAAATAATAAAATCATATAGAAGTAGGGTATTTTAAAGGGGGTGAGTTTATTTGAGATTAAAAATCTAAATGTTAGAAAGGAAATGAGGTCATATTTTGGTGCTATGTCAGCACGCGCTATTTTAGTAGGGCTATTGGGAAATTTCTGCATGAATATCGAAAAACATAAAGAATTATATATAAGGAGCGGATTTAGTAGTTGATACAGTTCTGATACAGTTCTTAACCCCAAGGGAATCCAAAATAAACATAAAACCCAGAATGTGAGTATTACAGGGATCCTATGCTCGTCCCGATCTTTTGGAACGAGTCGGTCTCTGGCAACCCTAATAGGGTTAATAAAATCTAATTTCATTAATCCGCCCCTTTACAAAAATTTACGATTAGTAAATGAAATGGTAAGAACTAATTTTTATCTTATAAAACCAAAACCTACTAACCATAAATCTTTGATTTGCTGTGCAAGTTGGTAGAGGGTGCTTATTGCTGCACATTTTTTGGTTGAAATTTAGAAAATAAAAATATTCCAATACCAACTGCTTATAGTATAAGGGCTCAAATAAGCGAATAATATAAAAAACTTTGGAAATGAATAGCGTGTATTATAGGGAAACGAGCGATTTATAAAAATACATATTATTGACCGTGTGAAGTAGCAACATGCTCCTCTAAAATCTGCATTGGTAATTGTCCCGGTTGGCCTTGTTGCTGAACAATAACCATTTGGGGTTGACGAGAAGTAACCATTGTAGTTGTAGTAGATGCCATAGAGCTCTGCATGAGACGCTCTGGCGACTTCTGGTCACTCATCTGAAAATTTTGAGGAAGTGCTTGTATTTCAAAAAAAAAGAAAAATTAACCTGGCCAAAAAACTGTTTCCCACTTCCTATCAATTGTGACGTTTCGCTTCGGTAGGCTCTCATTTCCTAAAATATTCTAATAAATATTCAAAATTGTGTAAATACCTCTGCATATCGTTCCTTATCTTCTTGTGCCTTTTTCTCAAAAACAATCCGTTCATCGTCTGACAATGCCTTCCAACGCAAACCAAGCTCTTGTGCAATCTGACCAACTTTCCATTCTGGGTGTTCACCAGATACCTCTTGACGTTTATCATTCGAAAAGAAGAAAAAGGCAGACCTAAAAAGAAAAGGTTTAAAGCACTTTGCCGTAACATACAATGCTCGCTTCGGCGCATTCGGATCCTTTTTGGCACGCTTCTTTTTCTTAAGCACGTCTTCACCTCCATACGCTGCAACTTCGGCTTGGTAACGTTCAGCATCCTTTTGTGCCAATTCAAAAAATCGCTTTTTCTCCTCGTCCGTCATAGTCTTTAAAAAAGTTATTGAAAGAAAAATTAAAATTAAACCTTCCATTTCTGCGAGCATTTCTTTGAAATTTCAGTCACTTGAACACATTCATTAGGATACTTCTTTTTATGTTCCTCTAAAATATTGATGAGATTAGTAAAAAAATTTTAAAGGCTAAATCACCATAACACATTTTGACAAAAAACCCATAAGGCGATGTTTTCCCACGGACCAGTGGTCTCTCGTTGTGATGAACAACACTAAAATAAGATTGAAAGAAAAAATTTTAAGGCAAATTTAATCAGAAAATGAAACCTACCCGCCACTAAAAGAGCTCTGCGCAGGTCGCTGTTGCGGTACTAAATGATGGATAATTTGCTGAGGCTGCTGAACACCGGTAACGCATGTAGGTTGTTGTTGAATTGTATATTGTCCACTTGGAGTATTCACAATATAAGAGTTCGTCATCTTAAAATCCTTCAAAATTAAAAAAGAAATTACGTACAAAATGGAAAAATATCGAAAAATTTCAATTTAGAGGGCAAAGGTCATAAAAAATTGACCATTATGAAGCGTAAGGTCCTTGATAATTGTTCTGGTTTACAATATTTAAGAAGTAGATGAATAAGTAGATAGTTTTATCTAAAACGGTAACCTTAAACAAAACTTATTAGTTGACAGCTGGTAAGATTATGTTCGCAAAAAACTATTTTGTGACAGTCGGTATCTAAATCGCTCAAGATTGCAGTGTCTCCCATGCTTTTTTCTATATTTCTCATCTACTCTCATAAATAGTATGCTATTTCCTTTTCATGGCTTCGCAAAATCGATAATTGGCTCTCTCATATTTCACCTATTCCACATTTTGCCAATAAGAGTAAAATCTCACATTTTGCCAATAAGATTTCGTTGACAAAACGAGGTGTTTAGCCTTATTGGCAAAATATGGCTTTGGTGAAATATGAAAACTTGCAAAAATTCGGCAAACTGAGTGCGGCCAATTGAGAGCGTGTAACTGAGTGTAAATGAGAATTTCAGTTGAGCCCGTTCGGATTAGGGAACGATTAGACTTGATTTTTCTAATTGGATAAAAGATACCTTTTGCCTGGAGCTTTCGAATGCTATGACTTATTTGAATTAAATTAAGGAATAAATGCGATCAATTTGGCTGCGCTCAAGTGGCCTTATTTATAAAATAAACATTTTGCCAATTTTTAAAATTATTCTAATTTAAATTTTAAAATTTTTTAAAGTTAAATCCGAATTTTTTTACAAAATTTAACTTGTATGTTTCCTTTTTTCTCGTTTTTATTTCTTTATCCGACCTCTGTTTATATAATTAAAGCAACGTTATTAATGTCTTTAGATTACGTTTTATTAAAATGTCAGAATTTTCTACATCGGCTCGGAATTCTCGTAGTAGAATTACGCATCCAAAATCTAAAAGAATATTGCGAATCATCAAAATAGAGGATGATGATGATCAGCCAGTACAAAATGAACGTTCGAGAAGCCGAAGCATTTCTCCATTAAAGTATAATAATGACTTGTTCTCGTTTATTTTTGTATAATTTAGAAATAAGCCAACCAGATTTTCCAAGTTCCAATCCCGTCGTCCACCTTGTCGAGATTATTATGGAAAAGGGTATTGCCTTAGAGGTTACTTTAACTTTGAGCTTATTTTTAGTACTAATTTTTAATTTAGGATACAAATGTAAATTCAATCATGGCGCAATGCCAATTGTTGTGAACGATTCCATGTTGGAAAAGATCAAGGTCAGTTACCTTAAACAGTGGGAAATTAAATAATTTAAAGGAAAGTCCAATCTTCAATCCGAATCCGTCACCTCCTGGACTTGAGAATTCGGATGACGAGATGGTTGTTGAAGAACAGCGTAATCAGCAGCTTCAATCACTAATTGGAATGGCCTTTACAACTGGAGGTATTGAGGCGTCTCAAAACATTGTTCAGTTAAATAATGGCTGTTATTTGCCTGAATTTGTCAATCAACCATCGCCAGCAATGCAGACGTCTTCGAATTATTTGTACAACTACAACAACATTCCTCCGCCAACTCAACCAGCTTTAACGGCGCAGCCCGAAACTTTGGAGAACGAAGTGAAAGGAAATGCGCCTTCAATTGAAGAATTAGCGGTAGTTCAGCCATTGCAGCCATTACTGATAAATGATGACAAGAATGAGAAGGATACAAAATTGTTGCAATTGAGCCGTCTGAAAGGTGAACTGTATGAGAAATTGGTTGAGCAGCAAAAGTATTTTTTAAATTACATACTCCTAACTACACACTACTATTTTTTAACTCCTAATTTTTATGTACAAACTACTTGTGTACAAACTGGTTGAACGGGATCGGGATCCCGACATAAAATCGGGGTTTGGAATAATGACCCCGATACTGATTCAGGCTCGTTATCGGGACCATTAAAAACCGGGATCAGGATTTATCTTCTAGTCTCAGGATCAGCAAAACCGGGATCTAAAGAAATCCGGGACAATTACGCCCGATCTCGACCGGGATCCCGTTTCCGCTCAACCTTAATACAAAACTCCCCAAACTCTTAACTATAACTCCTAATATTTTTCAGGTCTTTACTTCTCAAATTAAAAGATGCTGAAGGTGAGAAAACTAAGAAACAATTGAAAGAGTTGATTAAACGTGTGGAGACGCTGATGCTAAAGACGAAAGATGAGCTTCAAGAACTGTTCAATTCGGCTGATTTGAAAACTAAAGAGGAGTGATCAACTAAAATTTTTGGAGAATTTTAACTTTTAGGCGGGTAATTCTATTTATATTTAATATATTTGTTTGTTAATGATCTCGAAACTGATTTTGGAAATCTTCAGATTTTTATTTAAAAATTTATAAAAATTTTCTGAAGAAAAAATTTTTTGAAGAAAAAAAATTTTTATTTTTGTTTGTCAACATTAATCACTTTTTTTATTCCTCGATATTCTTAGAGAGAGGCTATTAGTCAATTTAATTCTTGATGATACATCGAGGGAAAATAGGGCATTAGTTTAATGACAGCTAATTGTAAAAATGTTTTGTCAGTTTAATCGTTGGCCTTTTTAAACTTGGGGGGAAATTATTGAAAGAGCACAACATTTCTACTTGTCACTGATGGCAGGAAAAAGGGCATAATCGATCCTTCGGGCAGGGAAAATGTTAAAAACGCCGGGTGAATGTGCTGCTGTTTATCTTTTTATTTACAGCCATATCTCGGCAAAATTCTATCCATTTTGTTTATTCCATCGGCTGTTTTCTCATATATCGTTTTTATTTCCACATTTCCTTCCATTAAACAATTCTTTAACATCTGTGTGTAATGTATATGGGAAAGGAGCAAATGGGCGGAGAAGAATCTCTCAGACTTGGGAGATTGGAGGCAATAAACAATAGAATTTGTGGCGGTGACTGATAGCATTTGTGCTCCTTATAAAATGGGCCTGTGTTTGTCCCAGCTCATCAGTTTTCACTTTTCATTCAATCAACAAGCCTACTTACTCTCTTAATAAACAACAAAAAATGAGCCGTTTTATTCTTTTTGCCGCCATCTTGGCTATTATTGCTTTTTCGGCAAATGGAGCCAGCAACCTCCCAGCTTTGGATATGAGCTCGATTCCTGATGAATACAAGGGTATGGAAGGCAACAATTGATAAGATTTGGTATAAAATTAATTTTAACAGATTTGGTCCCACCGGAGGTTACAACTTTCTACAATGAATTGACCGAAGACGACAAGAAAATCTTGAAAGAAGTCGCCGAAAAGCACAGTGAATATGCAACTGACGAAGATGCTTTGAACGCTTTGAAGGAGAAGAGCGAAAAGCTTTACACAAAGGTGGCGTTAAAAATGGAGAATAAATTGGAGTTTAATAATTTCAGGCAAACGAGCTCCGCAATTTGGTCAAAGACAGAATTGGCAAACTCAACCCTGAGGCAAAGACATTCGTCGACACCGTAAATAAAATGACGGATTTTCTTTAATTTTGCTTTTTTGTTTAGATCATCGAAAAACTTAAAGCTCTTCGCCCCAAGAAGGATGAGAAGCCAAACCTCACTGAACTCCGAAAAGAAGCCAACGAAATTGTTGAGAAGTGGGTTTAAACAAATAAAATGGCAACTTAAATTTTAATAACTTTCAGATTCAAGGCTTTGTCTGATGAAGCAAAGGAATCTCTAAAAACCAATTTCCCCAAGATCACCGGCGTTATTCAAAGTAAAAATTAAAGCCTCCAATTTAAAATAAATTCCCTTATTTTTAGACGAAAAGTTCCAGAAATTGGCTCAAAGCTTGTTGAAACCAGAAGGCGCTGCTGCACCAGCCTAAATGAGAGAAAATGCTTTGATTCGCAAGAAAAACAGAGAAAAAATCAGATTTCTTGCCCACTTTTTTTTATTTTTTATATAAATACTTAATTTTCTTTTTTGATCATTTCTCTAATATTTGGAAAATTTAAAAAACGATAAAGATTTGAATGTAAACATGTTTTTTAACACCTGTTGATTAACAATTGTTAATTAATTGGTAGTAGCTTTACTTGAGATATCTAGCAAATTAATTAATTAAATTGTTTTTATTTATCCTCAAATAACAGTTGTCCGGTCCGATCCCCATACTTTTCTCTTAAGAATTAATAGACCCCAAAATCCATGCAATTACCTTCTACCGTACTTTTACGTTTTGACTTTGACCAAATGAAATTTGGTGAAATGAAATTAACATTTTGACATTTACCATTATGATTTTTGTCATTTTGTCTTTTCGTCATTTCGACACGTTTGAGACATTTAATCGCAAAAATTTTGGCACAAATGACGAAATGGTTCTAATTTTAGCATTTTACGAGTTAATTTACTACTCTTTTATTTCCAGTTTTCGTTTACTCTTTCTGCATCAAATTGGATTTTAATTATCTTTTGCGTAACTGCGCAGTTATTGATTATACCATTTATAGTTAATTTGTTAAATTTCTTTAAATATTTACATATTTTCTTGAGATCAACCCAGAAGGTCAAATTAGCCATGAGGTTGAATCCAAATATTTGGGCAGATAAAGAAGGATTTGGGTGGATTAAAAAGGATTTGTGGGGATTAAGTAAAACTCCGTCTTATGTAGGATTTTGTTGGATTTGTTAAGTAGGTTTTGTTAAGTAGGGTTGGTGGATGCTGCAAAAGCGAGCAGCAAAATGTATTCTGGATCTTGAATATTGGATTTTACCTTTTGGGCTATGGGTGTGCGGACCTTTTAGGCCTTAAGCTTCTGAGTTTGACCTTGCAGGGTGGACCATTTCTGACTATTTATTTTCTCGTTTTCGATTATTCTAATTAAAAAAAGTCAAATTTCAGGAGTTCTATTATTTTTAAAAGTACTGGCCAGTATTATAAAAAACGGGCAGTCATATTATTTTTTGCATTGATTGTCATTAATGCTCATCAGGGTTTTATCCCAGACACCATTATCTAGTAACGACAAGAACAGTTTTTTCAATAGAAAGTTTATTGTTTTATTTACACTTGGTGGTGCTTCAGTTACAGCTTTTTGGATATATAGAAGAAATATTTATAAATTTATGCAAAACAGGAGAAAAGAGGGTAATAGTGTCGTTTCCAGTCCCCATTTTTTCCTCCCAATTTTTTACCCTATGTTTGTATGGAATGATCAAATTTTCCTCTTTCTTTCACCAAATTTGCCTTTCCATATTTTGCCTAAAAACAATCAAAAGGACTTCTTTTTCCTTCTATAATAGCCAGAAAACATTTTCCATGCTTGGTGTTTCTCCTTGTGAAAGAACTGAATAAAAAATGGCTCTTGTCCAGTTTATGCGTCCCATGAAAGTATATGCGTCCCATCAACAAAAAATTGGATATTTCTTGGTGTTGCAAAGTAGGGGTATGGTTCCAAAGCATTTCTTCATGTTCGGGATTTACGTCCACTGGGCCTGAGACTTTTCCTTGCCCTATACCTCGAAATTTCTGAAAGTTAAAATCGTTTTTCTGAAATTTTTAAAAATTGGCTATAACTTTCAGAAATTTCGAAGGATAGGGTAAGGAACGGTCCCAGACCCAGTGGACGTAAATCCCGAACATGAAGAAATGCTTTGGAACCATACCCCTACTTTGCAACAGCAAGAAATATCCAATTTTTTGTTGATGGGACGCATATACTTTCATGGGACGCATAAACTGGACAAGAGCCTAAAAAATTAATCTTTTTAATTCTTTTTAGGCAAAATATGGAAAGGCAAATTTGGTGAAAGAAAGGGGGAAATTTGACCATTCCGTACAAACATAGGGTAAAAAATTGGGAGGAAAAAATGGGGACTGGAAACGACACTATTACCGAAAAGAGGATAAAATGAATAGAAGGTTAATTTTATTTAGGGGGTTTTGGGACCTACTTTTACCTATCTTGGGTCCCGTAAATTTGGGGTTTGCCTGCCCTGTTTAATTTATAATACTGGCCATTCTATCCTGCACCTTTATTCTTAGCAGGAAATTTTGCTGTTTTCTATCTTACAGGCTTATGGGTTGGTTATCCCAAATAAGTTTGCGAACTTATATTATGGTCTCATAATGGTCAGAGTATCAATACTTCCCCACTTCCTTCAATAAGTTGGTGATGTACTCGTGTGGGAGAAATATTGAGAGTTGGAACGATTTTTTTTATATTTTTATATCTGACCATTATGAGTCATAAATATGTTCGAAAAAACTGGATTGGTATAACCCACAAATGCCGTTTTTATTAATGTTTTTTAAAAAAGTCTGCAAAAATTGTCCGCAAATTTAGTTTCTTATGTGCCTCCATCCCATTTAAAACTCGCGTGGAATCACCACGACCTCCATTAATATGTACTTAGTTTTTCGAAGGTTTATTATTTCCTCCGGAAACACGCTTCCCAAACAAGGTTAAATATGTTCTCCGTTTCTGGGGTAAGTACAACGGCCTGCCTCATATTGCTCGACCATCCTCCCATCGTTTTTATTGACTGGGAAAAGTTTTCACCTCATTTCACTTGTAAAAAATTTTCTTAAACAATATGTTTTTTTTAATTTTTCCACGTTAAGACGTTTTCATTTTTCATATTTTAATTTATTTCTCTTTAATTTTATTATTTTTCAGTGAACAAATGGAAAACAATATTGAAACAAAAATTGTCTCATCAGTCGAAAATTGTTCTTCTAATTCGACATTTTTGACAAACTCTAATGAACCAATCAAAGAAAATTTCGTAAAAATTGGTGATGATCAGTTGGAAAGTAAAGAGTCGGCGGCGGATATCAAGGTAAATTTTTATAAATATTTTTATGCACTCTTTTATTTGTTCAACTGTCAGAAGCCAGACATTTTGGAAAATGAAGTAAAGGCGGCGGTCAACAATGAGTACAGCTGTAGTACTAGTGGAGGATATGCCAATAATGAAGAAAAGGAAAAAATGGTGGAGGGCTCGTCCTCTTCATTAAATTGTCAACAATATGTGAGTCTATTAAACATTTTTGTATATATAAAATTAGAGGTTTAATTTATATTTTATTTTACTTAATTTATAATATTTTGCTCGACATCCTCCCATCTTTATTTCATTAAAATTGAAAAATTTTATGAGATCACCCCAGAAGGTCTATACTTGGAAGGTTAATAAAGGATTACCCCTGGAAGTTACCTCTATTGTTCAAATGATGTGAACTCTATATATTTGTGTGGATAAGCAGGGATTTGGGCAAATTGAGGATTTGTGGGTTATGGGGATATCAATTTATTTGTTCAGATTAAGAGATTTGTTCGGATTAAGGGGGATTAAGGGACATAAGTCAGGAATTCCTTCGTCAAATTGTTAGATAATGCAAAAGGGGGCAGAAAACGAATCATGATCTTGAGTTTCCTTTACTCGCCCAAATATTTGAAGTTGACCTTTTGGGTCATTTAATCATTATCGAGTTGTCCTTCTGAATGTTGATCTTCTGGGACGGACCCAAAGAATTTTTTACATAATTCATTTCCTTAATTTTATACAAAAATTCCCATTCGGTCATAAAAGTTAATAAATAATCTTTATATAAAATAAAACACAAAGAATATTGTAAGAATATTTGAGAAATTTCCCAATCAGTCTTTTTTTTACTTATCGTTTTGCGCTCCTTTCCTTCTCCCTCTTCTATTTTTTCTTTCCACGCTGCTTTCCCCCTTTCATCCTTTTTTTGTCTTTTACACCCCAGACTGAAAGAATTCGGCATCAATCACCAGAGCACAACGGCTCGCCTCATATTGCTCGACATCCTCCCCATCTTTTTTCATTTTTGCAAAAAAAAGGGGGAAGAAAGGCAGTTGTGGCAACAGGGAATGAAAGGGAGGGGGGGAATGGGGAGGGGTTGTGAAAGAAGGCAAATAAAGTAGGGAGTATTTTATATTTTTGCTCGCCGATCGTTCGCATAGTAGACGACTTGTGGGTCCTTTCAGTACTCGCCATTCATTTTTTTTTTCAGCTCAACTAAAAATAAAATATACCTGGCTGTCCTCTCTCTTTATTATGGCCCCCCCTTTTTTAACCGTTGTATCCAAAAAAACTATTTTTAAATTGTTGGCTTTCTTTGCTTTTTCTTTTTCTCTCTTTCTCGATTTGACACAAGTTAAAGAAGAAAAATGGTCACGAATTATTAAGTTTCTAGAAAAATCACCATTTTTCTTCTTTTCTACTCCTTTTGCCTTGTTGGCCTTTTTTTGTTGGCCGTCGTTTTCTTAACATTTTTATAAATATATAATTTTTGTTTAATTTTCTTTCCTGATTTTTAGAATTTTGAGCAAATCATTCAAGAACATAACTCACAACCAGAATTAGATTGGACTGTGGAAGCTGAAAAGAAAATAAATAATAAAGAGGAAGAAATAATACAAAACGATCTGAAACACTTGGAAAAGATTGAAGATCAAACAAATAATCAAAACACAAAAATGATACAAGAGGTAGATCATTTTTTTTAGAAAATGATGATTTTTGAATAATTAAATTAATTTGGCTCTTGTCCAGATTATGAGTCCAATTGTCCTTTTGCACGTCCAACTAAATTTTTGTGCGTCCAATCTGTGTCGTTGAGTAGCCATTTTTGCACTTACATTAGTAGCATAAAATCTAAGGAACGGAACGAAAAATGGAAGCACTAACGTAACAAAGGTTCTAATATGGCGAACCTGATGCTTAACGACATAGATGGCACGCATAAAAATTTTTTGACGCATAAACTTTTTTGTTGGACTCATGGGTGATTAGACTTATAAAGGTGCGATGAACACCTAGTCTCGACTGAAACCTTAATTCCATTTAAAAAATATTTTTTTCTAGCAAGCAAATCCAAAGTCTAGTTATATGGGACGTACAAGTACAGGAAGTGTTGGACGTCAACATCCGGTTAATAGTATTTGTATGTGTTCTCGTTGTGTTGAACAACTTAACGATTTGCATTCTTCTCGAGGTTATAAGAGTTCTGAGTCGCCTCATTCTACGCACAGTGAGGTAGGAAAATTTTTAAAAAAATTTTTGGACATTTGATCCCATAATTTTATTTTTGGACATTTTATCCCAATTTTCTAGGGTTCTGCTGACAGCGGTCGTGCAACAGGTCCTTTAACGTCTTACAGCCCGTTTGCCGATGAATATGGTCTTCAAACAGAAATATTGCCAATTTATGAATTTGAAGTGGAAAATACTCTTGTTGGATTGATTATTGGAGTTAAAGGAAAGACTATTAGGGTTTGTGATTTTTTTCTTTATTTTTTAATTCTATAAATGTTTTTAAAGGAACTTTGTTGTCGTGCTGACGTCAGAATGTTAATAAGGCCTCACCATACTCAAAGCAAATACGATACACATCAAATTTGTTCGGTGGAAGGACGTCGTGAAAATATCAACAAGTAAGTCTAGACATTGTTTATTGCAGCTGTTTAAACAAATCTGGCTGAATTTTGCTAAAATAATAATTTTGCCTTTTTTAGATGTTTGCACATGATCCGTCTGCGATTTCCTCCATGTCGTTTTCCAGGACTTAATTTGAAGCCAGTGCTTCCTCCACCACCAACTACTTCAGCTACTACACTTCGTGGAGCGCCTACTGCTGTATTTTTTTAAAATTTGTTTTTGGTTTAAAAAGCTTGATTTTTAAGCTTACTTTAACCGAAGGATTGTTAAGTGAAGTTTATATTTCTGCCAATGTTTCTGCTGGTCATTTCTTTTTGCAGGTTAAATTTCGGCGATTTTTTGTTCTTATTTTTTGTTTCTTAAGCTGCCAACGCATTCTTCATTTCCGTCTCTCACTGTTTTGGATCAATATATGCTTTCGGTATATACTCAACCTGGTGGTGCACCAGATCTTCCAAAGCCGTGCAATGGTTTTTCTTGAATGTTTGAATTTATAAGCTGATTTTTAGTTGGTGTGTTGTGTGCAGCGCCAGCTTATAATGGATGGTTTCGAGCGATAACTTTGGCATATGAACCGGTTATTTTTTTAGATTTTATGGAAGATTTATTTTTTGATTTTTAGGAACAAGATGAGACATTGGTACGTTTTGTTGATTATGGAGGATTTGCGAGATTGCCACGAGCTGATTTGCGTCAAATAAGGTTTATTTTCTAGCTAATTTTCGATAAAAGTAAAATTTTAGGACTGATTTTATGACGTTACCGATGCAATCAATTGAATGTTATTTGGGAAATGTTCAACCTGCTGAAGGTTTTTCATTTTGAGTTTTTGTGGAAAAATTATTTTTGTAGCGAATGGTCAATGGCATGAAAAGGCCAATGAGTTGTTCCAGCAATTGTGTGTTTCAAAAGTTATTCAGGCAGCTTTAATTGGTTATAGTAGGCAGGATGGAATTCCTTTTGTTGAGTTATATGTTGTGGATGAGAATAAAAAGGTTTTTTTTAATAAAGTTTTAGAGAAGGGAGGGGAAGGAAGGGCAGAACGGGCAAAACAGAATATTTCAATATTCTAACAGTTAACCTAATGATCTTGACCTATGGGTAACGGGTATTAGGGATAGTACATTTGCCTTATGGTTTTTATATTAGAATACCAACACAAACATGCAAGAGATTATTTTTCTCATAGCAATCTCGCTATGTTCGCACACATTTTTTGAGAGGTGGGGGAGGAGGGGGCGAAAACTTTGATTTTTTTATTTTTGACGTTTTTTAGAGTATTCGCATCGATCATATTTTAATGGAGCTTGGGTATGCGAAGCCAATGGATCCATCAATGATTGAGCGTGTTGATTTATGATGAGAAGATGATGGAAAGACGAGATAGCGCGCAGTGCGTTTTTAATATTTATTTTTATATGGTGAGAGGTTTTTTTGAGAATAAGAAAGGCTAAAAATTAAATGATTGATGAATAGAAGAGAAAAATAAGGGTGGCAGATTATAATAAAAAATTTTTTAATTTTGTGGGGGAACTGCCTTGAAATTTTGATTTCAACTTTTTTTCCTTTTTTCCATCAAAAAAATTTTAAGGCTCCTTTTCTTTTATTCTTTATTATTTTTTTTTCACATTCTAGTATTATATACCATCATTATATTATTTTTGGCACCAAAATATATTCCATTCTTTGTTATTTGTTTTGTTTTTCCTACTTTCCGATCATACATATTATATGCAATTTGCCGTTTTCTAAGCAAATATATTTTTCTTTAATCTATCCTCAATTGATATATTGACACCCGGAAGATCAAATTTAATGAAATTAAAAAGGATTAGTTAATGAATTTGTGGTTCGCAAATGTCGTGGGTCCGAAATGTCAGGTTCGCAAATGTCGGGGGTCCGTACTGTCGTTTCCGCAAATGTCGTTTAGCCCAGAATAGGTCCTTTTATTCAACTTAATATTCAAAAAATATTTTTTAAATTTGATTTTCTAGGTTTATCATCTACTTTATTATGAATCGTATTTTAAATTGTTTTTGTTTTTGTCGGTATTTTCCTTTTTCAATTTGAATTATTTAAATACCACTCTACTTATATAAAAGGAAAATACCGTTCTGATATTATTATTATAAAAAAGGTGCTTATTTTTCTTGGATTAACTAATGTTCGTTTTGAATTATTAGGGGATTTTAATATTTTTATGTTTATATGCAAATAGTACGTTGTAGAGTTTAAATGGCCCCACTTGTTTGACGAATAAATTCAGTAACGTGGGTAGGTGTAAAGGATCCGTAGGGTGACATTTGTGGAAGAACATTTGTTATGTCGTATTCGCAAATGTCGCGTTCGCAATTGTCCATTACACAAATGTCGTTTCATAAATGTCACATGCGCAAATGTCGGAACCCACAACTGTCATGTCTACAAATGTCGGGTTCACAAATGTCGGACATTTCTATGACTCAGTCTAATCATTTTCGCGATTCCTAGAATTCTACAAACTATTTGCAGTTAACATTTCTTTAATTATCTAGAAAACCAAGCCCTTTAATTATCCACTCATTTCTATGCACTGAAAATTTCTGCTTGCACTTGAATTGGACGGGCAACCTTTACACGGGCAGATATTTGTTATTAGACTTTTGTCTAAGTTGTTTTCTGCCTAAATTTCTATTCATTATTTACCTATCCTATCCTTTTATTTTTTAGTATATTCATGACAATTTATCCTCTCCCATTTTTTAGATAAATCTTTTTTGGTTCTTTAATTTTTATTTTTTTGATGGCTCATTATTTCGTCTATTCTCTCGAGCTTGAGGGAAACTATTATGAGATGAAGGTTATAAGATTGCCCCATTTTTGGCGGCATCTTTTAGTGTAATAATTTTGCCTAGGTTTTTGATAAGGATCTTTTTTGGAGGTATAGAATTGAATAAGGGAAGGTACCTTTTGTATTATTAAATTTAACAAATATTTTATGCTTTATATCGTCATAAATAAACAACAAATCAAAACAAATGTTGTTAAAATAATTTAGAAGAAAAGTCAATGTTTTTCCGTCATTTCGCGATTTTAGACTTTCGTGTTCGTGAATAAAATTTAATGATAAAAATCATTGACTTTTCTAGTGCGAGGCACTTTTAAAGGAAAGGCAAAGAATTATATAGATTGCAAAAAACTGATATATAAGGTATCGAAACAAAAATAAAATTTCGATGTGTGGCAGGCATTTTAATATGCTTAACCCGAAGCATTTTTTCCGGAGTGTATTTTTTTAAATCAAAAATTGTTATTCGAAACATATAACCTCGTTCTACCCTTTTTCTACCATTTGAGAAATTTTGTGAAGAAATTGAGTACACTTTGAAGTCGCGATCGCTTGGCTGGTGGTGGATTTGAAGCCTCATCAGCAACATCTTCAGGACGGTCTTCGAAGTAAACCCTCTTAGTAGACGATGAAGGATAAGGATAAAGACCCGATGTAGTACTTAAAAATAAAAATTTTAATTTAAAAAAATCAAGAAGGTTAAATGACCCAAAAGGTCAAATCCAAATATTTGGGGGGAGGGGGGGGGGCTTAAGATCAAGAATAAATTGGCCTCCTCCCTTTTGCTAATCTTACAAAAGAGAATTTCTGTAGTGTCCCTTAATCTAAACAAATCCGTATTAATCGCCCAAGTCCATCGATATTCCATAAACACAAATCCTTCAACCCAAAAATATTTGGATTTGATCTTTTGGGCCATTTGACCTTCCGGGCAAATCCCAAAGAAATAAAAATTTAATTTAAAAATAAACCGATTAAATCCTCCACCAAATTCTTCATTCTCTGTCCTACGCCGTTTAACCCCCGCACGAGAAGTTGACATTGTGGAAAGAATTGACTTTCTAACATTTGTAGATTCAACAATTTGTTGTCGAATTGATGTCTCCAAATAATAATTCCTCTTATATTCCTTTAATAATCCTTCTGGCTTGTCAGGAGTTTCAGGCGGTGTAATTGATTTTTGAATTTTCTGTTCACCTTTCTGATCATCTTCCACATCTTTTGGCAACTCTTCTTCATTCACTTCTTTTTCCAAATTTTTTGCTTCAGAATTTTGATGTTTAACCTCTTCAACATCGCTGCTTTCACCATAATCATGGCCATTCTGTCCAGGTTCGCTTCCACAGACTGAGGAGCTGCTAACTGTTTCGACTGCATTCAAATGATTAACCATTTCAGGTACAACAAAGCCAGGGCCAGTGAAATTTACTTAAAAAATAAAATTGATTTTGCGGAGTCAACCCTGAAAACCTATTGACTCTGAAGAATCACAACGTTTGAAAGTAAATATCGAGGGATTCAGAGAGTATCCGTCGTCGATATCCCCTTAATTCGTCTAAATCCCTCAATATTCCTTTTGATATTCTTTCAAAATTTGAAGGTCTTTAGGGTCAATAAGCATTTCTTCATTATTTAACAAAAAAAACCTGGCATATTCTTTCGAGCAGAATTCATTCCTTTGTCAAAAACTCCATCAAAAAAGTGAGGAATTTTTTCGCCTTTCAATCTGCAAGTATTGTCTGTACCAACTTGAAACATTGCAAAAGGATATTCTGTCAGTTGTTTGCAAACATCAATATCTACACTACTCTCTACAACGTCTGGATGATCTGATGGGATTTTATCGGCATTTAATTTGATCTAAAAATTAAGAAATTTGGAGCAAAATTATTGGCTTAAAAACATACGCAAACAATAGAAATGTTATCAGCTCGAAGGCCTCCCCATTTACTTAAAGCATTTTGAAGAAGATAATGTGAATAATTGATTGAACGAGATTGCTAAAAAAATTCAATTTTGAAAAAAAGTTTAGAAAAATTAAAACGTTTCGCTTGTCGATATCATGCAAAATCTGGACAATTGATCGAAAAGTGACAACATTTGTAAGACCATCTGAACAAAGCACAAGAAAATTGTCACTGCTCTTGAGACGAAAAACATCAACATCAGGTTCTGGACTGACCTAATTTTAAAATTTTACTTAGTTTTTCAAAAGAAAGCAAACCACAAATTGATTATTATCCGGATTTAAAGACCAAAAATCTCCAAGTGAACGTGCTACTGCCAAAAAAGGAATGCATTCTGTAGAAGTTGAACGTCTAACAGGGCCACGATGACCACGAATAGGTCGTTTCCAAACTACCCGAACAATTCCCTTAAAAGCCAGATTAAAGGATATAAAATTCAAAGAAAGAAACCGCTTTTGAGGCTACAGCTCCACCTGCTTTTTCAATTCTTTCACGTTCAGAAGGTTTTTCAGGTTTGTGATCTTCAGTAAGTTTTGCATCATTAACTGGTTAAAGAAAATTTATAGAAAAAATTTTTTAAAATTACATCCAGCAGCAGCTTCATCAAAATTAGCCAGAATTATAGCAGAATCACCGACATGTCCAGTATAAAGTTTTCCATTTCGAATAAAAGCAACTGTTGCAGTTGTACCAGCAGTGCACGGAAACCCTTGAGTAAAGAAATACGAATAGTTTTAAAAGTCCGCTATAGATAACGGAAATGAAAGTTTACCAGAAACTGTTGGCGGCCACATTTTGGCAACCTTTTGCATGTCGTGATGTGTTTGCAAAAACCCTTCTCTTATAGCAGCAAGAACCTGTTGATCATCGTCGGAAAAGAATGCTTCATTGCCCTTAAAATTTAAAAGCTTTAACTTTATTTTAAAGTAAACTTACAACAACGTTATCAAGTAAATTCTGACAAACATATTCACTCGCTTGTGGCCCTCCATGCCTAGAATATTAAACAGAATTAGGAAAATCGTTAATAATCTAGTTACTGGTCCATAGAAAAAATGAGCAAGAAGAACGAGAAACCGAATCCGACTGGCAAATATCGGGATTCGAAACAGATAAAATTTGAACTCGTGCTTGTGGGAAATATTGGGAGTTGGAATGCTCTTCTTGCCCTTTCCAAGGGCCAGCAAACTAAGTGTAAACATAAAACTGAAAACAATACCCATCATATATTGCAGCAAAAATATAATCCAATCGCCCATTAACATCTCTCCCAACCTCCACACTAATTCGATCTTCCATGTATTTACGTCCACCCTTTAAAGAAATTAAAAATAAAGAAAATTTCAAATTACCTGAGCAGAAGCAGCAGAAATTTGAAATTCTGAAGAAGGAAGGTCGTCATCTAAACGATCTTTTAAGAGTCGTTTTTTACTTGGTGATAAACTGATATCCATATTTTCCATTATTGAGACAAACTAAAACAGAAAATTTAATAAATCTTCACGAAATTAGGAAATGTTACGAAAAATAGAAAATGTACACAAGAAAATTTTTTGTCTTTTTCTCACCCTAGCTTATCTCTAATTTCTTTGGCAAAATGTATTTTTTGTAAAATTTGTGCCAAAAAGAGTAAATATTCAAAATTGGAAATTGTTTGACACTTGAGTAGAGAACTTTTGAGTCTGAACTAGAAATCGGCAAAATCGAATGCCCGAGATCTCGTGAAGGGATTGAGTTTAGAATGAGAACGGAAGGGATCCCAAAGGATTAATCTAGGTAATCCCGTTTACCAGGATTTACAGAGTTTTTTTGCCGCTTAGAACCCAGGATTGCAGGACGATATCCTGTAAAATCCGTACGGGATCCTTTCCGTGTCGATCTCTTGTCTGAAATAAATTGGTTGGATGTGTTTGCGCTATAATTATTTTCATATTCTTTTTCAAAATTTTCAGTGAAAATTTTATCAATAATGGAGAAATGTACTGATAAATCCCCCATTGATGATGACTGGAAACGCACAATTGAATTTCTCCCGGATAACTGTTTGGAGCACATATTTACTCATGTCAATCTCTACGAAGATTTCAATTCTGTTCTAATGGTTTCTAAGCGTTGGAACCGTTTAGCTTTGGATACCCTGCGAAGAATGAAGCGTTTGTTTAGAGAATGTACTGATTTTTCGTGGTAAATTTTGAGTTGACATTTAAAAAATTAAAAATTTTATAAAGGCGTTTTATTGAAAGCGACAGTCTTCTTTCTGAAAGATGTTCACATTCAGTATGTTATCATCCTAATGAATATGTAATTTATATGTTTGGTGGATGCAATAATACATATACTGCTTTTAATGATCTTTGGCTTTTTGATTTAGTATATTTTTAGTAGATTTTGGGTTAAAAGAGTTGGGTTTTTTCTTGTGCTAACATAAGTACAAAGAGATTAGGAGTTAGAGGTTAGGTTAGTTTATTATCCTGGGGCTGATTTTAAAACGTTTACTAGGCGGGGGTTTAAGGTATATCAAAAGAAGGTGAAGCAGCGCCTCTGTATGTCAGAGCGACGTTGATGGACGTCGCTTTGACGTACAGAGGCGCTCTGTACGTGTGAGCGAAAGCCTCTAGCAATAACTGCAAGGAGGTCGTAGGATTGATGCCTGCTTGAGGCTAAACTTACCACTCACTCTAACAATAAGTAAAAATCCAGATCTAGGCGTTTTTACTGCTCAAAGGGGACCTTAACTTGATTTTTCCTGGATTAAAAGTCCAGAATTTCCCCTAGGCCTGAACCTGTATTCTTCCTGAATTTCATGTCCGAAGTTCTCCCTAGGCCAGAACAAATTTTGCAAATCCCCTAACGTTCCCGAAATTTTTCTTTTAACTCTTTCATTTTTTAGAATACTCATGAATGGGAGCGTGTACTTATTACTCGACATCCAATGCCTTCACCAAAAGCTTTAGCCACCATGGTTTTGTATAATGATAATTTACTTTTATTTGGAGGCTTTTCAAAATCTTCAATGAACCCAATTCATCAAACTAGTACATTTTTTAATGAACTTCATTTGTATGATTCAAAAAAGAATTGCTGGGAAGAGGTTTAAAAAGAATTTTTACAAAAATAATTTTATTGGGGATCGTTATCAGCAAAAATTTTTCCGCAAGTTTAATCTGCAAATTAAAAACTTTGTCCGCAAATTTAAATTCCAATAGAAAATATTTGTAAATTCATTCTCCCATAATGAAAGCATCAATTGTGTGGAGGGTTACTCGCCAACCTGAAAATCAGAGGGTGTGGGTTCGATCCTTTTTGGGGGGAAACATTTTTAAATTACTCAAAACTCGTCTAAAATAAGGTTTAAAACGAGGTTCTCACGTACAGCCATTTCATTTTTCAGATTGTTTCTGAAAACACTGCCCCACATTTAGCCGGGCACACAGCCTCAATTGTTGGAAATTTTATGCTCGTTTTTGGTGGTTCAATGGGATCTTCATACAACAATAATGTTTATGTTTTGGATTTGTTGAGAAGAATTTGGAATATGCCGTCAATTCCTGGCCCTTGTCCACCTCCTCGTTATGGGCAGTCACAAATACTTTTGGACAACAATCATTTGATAATAATTGGGGGTTGTGGGGGACCTAATATGAACTTTTCTGATGTTTGGTTATTAGATTTTGATCTGTATGGAGATTCTGAATGGAAATGGACTCAATTGAAGGTTTTTGTTTTTTTTAATTTGGGCTTAAAATGGGTCTCACCCTTAAGATCTATTGGTCCGAAGACCTACAAATTTTTAAAGGAATATCACATATCGGAACATAGGTCCCAAAATACAGAACTTTGTATTTATCTCCATAGTATGGGGGCTCTAAATCCTTCGATATTTCCTTTCAAAATTTGTAGGTCTTCAGGGTCAATAGGCTAGGGTGTGTCTTGAGGGTCAAAAGGTATTCACAGTGTAGGTCTTCAAGGGTTGATCTCCTTAAAATAAAAATTTCTTGTTTTCAGGTTGAAAACCAAGAATTAACACCCCCATATATGTGGTGTCATCGAGCTTGCAAAGTTGGAACTAACGCTGTAGTTGTTAGTAGACCAATTAAATCTACTTGTGCAATGAGAGGAAGTGAACCTGAAAAAAGTGGAATTCATCGAAGACGAACTTCATCCCAATCAACAACTTCGTCAGCAGGCGGTGGTAGTGGTAGATTAACTTCACCAGATTCTCCGTCGGATAAACGAGCGGTAAAAGATTTTTTTCTCGAAAAAGTCGGTACTTGTGGGTTATCGCAAACCCGTTTTTGCGGATATATTTACGTGGACGCATAAAGGTCAGCGTATCCATACTTTCAATTTCCATAGGAAGTCATATCTGATTATGACTTTTTTATGTCTGACCATTATGAGTCTTTTTTATATCTGACCATTACGAGCCCGCATAAATATTCCCCGCAAAAACTGCTTTGGGATACCCACAAGTGCCAAGAAATTTTTATTCGCACGTTTTTAGGTAGCAGCAGCCTTTTGTGCAAGTTCAGCCGAACAATTACATCAACAAGTGCAACGGAAACGAGGCAATTCTCAACGAGATAAAAAACCTATTTTGTTGACATCAAGATCCCTGGATGACCAGGTTAATTTTTTAAAAATATTTTTGAATAAAAATGTTTTCAAAGGAACATAGACAAGCAAACGGAATTCCGCCTTCCTCTTCTTTTGCCGATCTTCAAGATAATGCAACCCCGCAAACGTCAAACGCTCATAATCCTCGTTACTTAAATACACCGTCAACTAGAGGTTATAATGAATTACAGAGAGCATGCTCAATTCCTACAATAATTGTGGGGGAAATTCCAAAATTGATAGTTACGTCTACTACAGAACCTTCAACTTGTAGTCAAAGAATTCCTACACCAAATCAACGGTTTGATATTTTATATTGGGTTAATGGGTCCTTAGTTTAAGAAAGATGACTGTAAGGTTGACTGGAGACTAAGGTTATATGAAAAATTTTAGATCGGACCTGGATATCCGAAATTTTCGAATCAGTATAATACCTGGGATTTCTCAGGATCCACAACCTTAATGGAAACGGATAAAATATGGGTGGGTGTACTCTTGAATGAGCCCTTTTTACGTTGGCTCTATTCCATCTAACGCTTTCACCCCAAAATCTAGATAACAGAAAATGGGCAAGGTTTAGTGAAATTTAAGTAACCCCTCAGAGAATTTTTTGTTATGTAAGTGAAGTCATCTATTTTAAAATTACTTTCTTTTTTTAAGCAGCGTCAAGTCTGACATTTGTCTTAACAAATCTTCAAGTCATCCAAAGAAAATGGAAGTTGATGAGAATGAAAAAAATAATTCTGCACTAGACTCTTCTGATAACAGCTCAAAACAAGAAATTTCTGAGCATGAGATGGCTGTTCGAAATTATTATATTTCTCTTGTAAAAGATGAACACAATAGACTTTGCATTGTAGAACCTTCTGAAAATCTTGGGAATATGACTAGTAGGCTTGAAGAATTTCTTAGGTATTAAATAAAAAGATATTTGGACTATCGCATTATTCCCCCAAACGTCCGCAAATGTTTATCCACAACTCAAAATAAGATTTGCGGACGAAACTTGCGGGTTTTGCACGAAAATTACGGATAAATATTTGCCGACGTGTTGGTATAGTGCGATAGTGCCAAGCATTTTACTAAATAAATCTACAAATTCTTAAAATTTAAGTAACTGCATCCCTTATCTCACAAAACAAGAACGTTTAGATATTGTTGAAGAATTTTTGGCCAACAATGATGAAAGCAAAAAAGAAGAATCTAGCTCAAACCAATCCAAAGGTTTTGCAGAATTTATAGACATAATTCAACAATTTCTTTAGGATCAATCCGTGACCTTCAAAATCGTTCGAGAGCTTTGTCTGGAGATAATCCATCCCCTTCGTCCAAAAATGCAAATTCTTCCGCGCATTGTTCCACCTCTTTTGGACCTTTTTATGGCCGACAAATGTGTGTATATGTGTTGAGACTTCAAAATATTTTAACTGAACAAAAAGCCAGGTTTCTTATTTAAATATGATGGATTTAATGTCTAAAATTCAGATGGGAGCAACTGCCTATTGAAGTGAACGCTCCAGAAGATAGGTAAGTACAGTCAAAGCGATGAATTACGTCACCCTTCGGGTGGGTCAAAATTTGCCTAGGTCCGAGGGGAAGTAACGTGGGAGAAGATGACGTTATCGAGGGCTTTCGCTATATTATTAGAGTATTTTCAACTTTTCAAAAAAATTTTTTAGATTACTTCATTCACTAATATCCGGCCGTGGTGAACTTATTCTTTTCGGTAATTAAAAATATGTGGAAAATATAAAAATTAAATTTAAAAGGTGGAATGAACAGTGATGGAATTGGAATGGACTGTTTAAATGTTGGAATGGAGCGATACACGATGAGTGCAGAAACTTATATCTTAAGACCGAGATATAACGAAATGTAGAATTTTTGAGGGCTTTATAGAATATAAGAAATAAATACAAAATATAGATAAATTACAAAAAATATGACAAATTATACTTAGAAAATACAAAGGTTGGCGGATCCTGGGAACTCCCACGACCTGATATTCGAACCGCAATTTTCGGATCAGTAAATTTCCTTGACATCCTAACTGGGGCCGATCCCCGTTCCCAAGGGAGAAGCTCGCGGGGGGACTTCCCGCCCCATTTCCTAACACGAATTCCCCGTAAACAGTCCCCGCACCGTAATGATGAGCCCTAATCCTAACTTTTATGGATCCGCATCCGTAAACCTTAGACAACAAATATCTCACAAACCATTATAAAATTGTTTGTCAGCAATATGCCGTTGATTAGATAAATTTCTGAACGATTGTCCATTCATTTGCGATGACAAGTCAGCATTATAATTCAATTGGAGTTGAACCGCTTGCTGATAATTATTTAACCAAAACTTTAAAAAAAATTAAGACCATAAAGGTTTGAATTTAAAAAACCTGTGGAAATTGCTGATAATAGTTGGACATGAGCGACTGTTGAAATTGATAATTCCCAATCTGTTGATGCCCAATCTGTTGATGTGAAGTTACAGGAAAAGTTGGGAGAGGTTCATAATGCTGCAGTAGGGTTGTTTAAATTTAAAGGCTTGTCGCGAAGGATGTCCTCTCGAGAGGAAAACCTTGCCATTGGCATCCCACACATGCCCTTGATGTCTCTTCTTCCCCCGAGGGAAGGGGTGGGACACCCTTGAAGGCAAGGATGTACTCTCGAAAGGGGACACCCTTGCAATTTTAACTCTAAAAACCTGTCCATTAATAATCCTTTGACCATAGGGCGGACTCGGTCCGGAACAAACTTCACTTCTACCCACATTGCCAACATCATGACTAAGCTCGTCATTCTTGCAACTAATTCTGTCCCTTGAAAGTTGAAGAATAAAATTTTAATTAAAAAAATCTAACTTTAAAAAGAGCTTCTCCAATTCATCCCTCTCTTGAGCTTGTTTAAATCGCAACGAATTTAATAGAATGGATGAAGTGCTTTTTTCATCCTTCGCTCCTTTATGATGAATTGCTGCAAGCAAATCATTTCCATTAGTAAGTGGCATATTGAAAAAACTAATTTAAAAGTACTTTAAGAAGGAATAAACTCTCAAAAATGAATAGAAAAAAACTGGACTAGGAAACCAGTTTAGAATGAAGAAAATAATTTTAAAAAAATTTAAAAAAAAATCTAAAACTAAAAAACAATAAACAACTATCACAATAACTCTTTGTATTTTCCTTCAGCGGCGCCTTTGAAATAATCAGCAAACCAACGAATATGTTCGTGTTTCTTCTAAAAACATTCTTTAAAAATGAAAATTTTGTAAAATTAAAAACCTCTACAGACATGTACGGATTCTTTGAAAGACCGGTAAGTACAAGTTCCATATAATGATCAATAGCCTCAGAACGTGGAAGTTTGTGCTTTGAAAGTTCTGCTTCAAGAAAGACGTGGTCGACAAAGCTGACCTTAAATTATTTAAAAATGTTACTGGTGTTAAATGTGGTAGGGATCAACCCAGAAGGTCTACCCCCAAGAAGGTCAACTCCCTATTGATCAAATGACCCTAAAGGTCAACTCCCAAAAAGTCAGTTTATCTAGTGGTCAACTCCAAATATTTTCCTTTATACATTCAAATATTTGGAGATGACCTTCAGGATGTCGACCTTTAGGACTATTTGATCAATGGGGGAAGTTGCCTTCTGGGGTGAACCTTATGTTCTCTTAAACTCACATTGTCCTCTTCTCCAAGCAAATATTCATTATCAATAGGATAGGGCCACATCTTCCCCTTCTTTGTCCATTCAATCTGTTCCTCAAAAATATTACGCGGTCCCAAACCTCTATCCAACAGCTCCATTTTTGCGCTGTCCAATTGACGCCAATACGGAAGTTGGCGTTCCTCAAGTTGATCTACTTTATTGAAAATAATACTTTTTGTTGAATTTTTCTTTGAAAAAAGCTTCTCATATGTTGGTTCTGGAACGGTAGCTTCCCTTCTCTTTCTATTCTTGTAATGGTTCTTCATAAGCTTTTCGTATTCCTCGTAATAATCAGTCGCGTATTTTGACCTTTAAATAAAGTTTTAAAAATTACCTAGAAAATTAAAAAAAAACTTGATTTCCTTTGATGCGACGCCTTTTAACAAATGTGCCAAGTCATCTATACCTTTAAGAGAAGCTTTTGACATTTTTCTAGTCTTTAAAAAATTTTTTTAGTCTAAAAAGGTTACTTTTTTATATCCATCCTCCCCTAGTTTGAGTATCAGAGTTTTCCTTAAAATGTACATAATGGTCAGAGTTTCTTATCCAATTCCAGTCCATTTGCCCGCGATATATTCAAATGAAAGACATTAGTAAATAAAAGGAAGAAAATCCGATTATACACATCTTAAGGAAAAATCTGAGAAACAAACTAATAGGGCAAGGTGTACAAAAAGTACCAAAAATAAAATTAATTTTTAATTAGTTTAATAAATTGGATTATTTCCAATGCTAAAATAAATTTAAAAAATGACTAACCACAACTTTATCATCTAAAAATCCAAAGAATAATTATAAAAATTACTTTGAATGCACGAATTTTCATAATACAAAAACTAACTTTATTTTATATTTTGTCTCCTATAAATTTTTAAATTCCTCGCTTAATAAAGTCAACACCCTTTGCAATTTCCTTCTTCAAATCAGGAATTGCCTTCTCAATTAATTTCTTCTCATAACTCGAAAGCTCGCCAAGAGGAAGAATTTTTTCCTTAATAGGATTAAAAATGAAGGTGTTTAAGCGTAAATATACCACTCCCTTTGGACCGAGTTCAACAGGTCCGGCAAAATATTCAAGTCCTTGAACAACGTCAGATCGAACATAGGCACACTGAACACTTTTTTGCCCCTTCAAGGCATTTACCAAGGATCCAACAAAATATTCTGCTGCCAAAGCCATTGACAACGTAGCAGAGCCCTAAAATGAAGGAAATTGTGTCTTCCTATAATCTTGAGAAAGTTTCATGGTACTTGTGCAGTTTCCATCCCATAAGTCCCGCGCTCTTTTATTCTCTCAGAAGGAGAAAATCAATTAAAAAAGAAATCGATCTTCTTTCTCTACAACAAGCTGGACTTTAAGAGTGAAAGGGCGGTGCTTATGGGATGGAAACTACACAAGTACTAATTGAATCAAAAATCTAAACTTACAGCGCCAGCTTTAGCCTTAACAACTTCAGTTCCAGCCTCTTGAATACGTTCACTCAATGCCTTTATTTCTCCATCGCTAAGTTGAACTTTCGGCTGACATTGGGAAAGTAAAGGCACAATAGTCACGCCAGAATGTCCACCAACTACAGGAATTTTTGTCTTTGTAACATCAACATTCTAAATTTTATTTTAAAATTAAAGAAAAAACGTAAACCCAAAAAACCCCAATTTGGTTCTCCTGTTGGTTTTCTATGGACTTGCAAGTGGATATGTATCTCGGCCCGAAGTTGAGACTGTGGGCTAATTTTTGGTATCGTTCGGCTCACAATCAACTCACCTAACCCTTTCGAATATATATCGACCATACTAAAGTCTGGGCCCCAAAACAATTTTTCCAAAAAAAAAACAAAACCTTTAATTCAGAAACAAAAGTCTGGGCACGAACAACATCAAGAAGAGTCACTCCAAAAATCTTTTTTGGATCATAACAATCGTTATTTTTATAAACTTCAGAAGCGATAGGCAGATTTGAATTCACCGGATTTGTAATTATGCTAAGAAAAGCATTGGGACAAGCTTTCGCTGCGGCTTCAGCAACATCACGAACGATTGCAGCATTTGTGTTAAATAAGTCGTCACGCGTCATTCCTGTGAAAAGAAGGTTGAGTCCACCTCGTAAGACCTACACCCTGAGGCCTAATGACCCAGAAGACTTAACTTCTGAAAGGGAATATCGAGAGATTGGTGTAATTGAAGGAGATAGAGACTCATCTAGTGTTAAGGTACTCACTGACAATACTACCGGGCCATGGCTTGGGTACTTAACTCCAAAAAGCTGGGTATTAATCCCTCCTAATACCTCGATATTCCCTTTCAAGAATTCTAGTTCTTCTGGGATCCTCAAGGTAAGTCTCCGGGGTGTAGGTCTTCGGGGTGAGGTCCTCGGAGTGTAGGTCTTCAGTGATGACCCCAGATGGTAAATAAACGACGAGAACAAACCTGGCTTTCTTGGAACACCAGCAGGAACAACTACAACATCGGCGTCTTTCAAAGCAGCAGACAATTCGTTAGGTCCCATATGGGCAGTGACCTTCGCAGGAGTATTAATATGAGAAAGATCAGCACAAACTCCTGGAGTACCAACAATATCGTATAAAGCCAAATGCGCAATCGAAGCATTCTTTTTTAAAAGAAGAGCAAGAGGTTGTCCAATTCCTCCACTAGCACCAACAAGCGTCACCTAAATTTTGAATGGGAATTATCCCACTTAACCACGATAAACAAAAAACCTTGACAGCTGAACTAGAATTGCGCAAACTTTGAACAGAAGTAGCATACTTTTGAAATCCCGAAAGGGTCTTTTGTAAAGTCAAAATAGCACGGGGACTAGGCATGCTCGCAAGCGACATTTCTACTAAAAATAATTAAAATATTATTAAAACCAAGTGTGAAATAATAAAAATGTAAGTCAATTTGGCGAAAAATCATTATCTGACATGAGGTTAATTGGACAGGGAATTACGTCAAATTTTGAAAGAGAAATGCTGCCATGTTTTTTTTTGACTAAAGAACGCTTCAATGCCCAATTGTCCCCAGTCCAAATGCCTTTTGTTTAATTGTCGTTTAGATTTTCCCTCACGTCATTCCCTAACAGTAGCATACTTTTGAAATCCCGAAAGGGTCTCCGAAAGGGTCCCCGAAAGGTTTTTTCTCTCGGTCCGAAAGGGTCCCCGAAAGGTTTTTTCTCTCGGTTCTCTTTTTCTATAACTTTTTTGTCTCTCCTTGTTTATGTAGTCCCTCCGAAGAAAAATGTCAAAGTGTAATTTATTTATTTCATACAATTTGCCAAAAGACAAAATGCTCGAATGATTTGCCAAAAGACAAAATGCTCGAATGATTCATTAAAAATTCACTTTTTGAATCATTTAATGAGGTTTGGTACAATCATAGGTTGGTTTTCTTTTAATTTTTTATCTTTTCAGCCTCTTCTTCCTTTCTAATTGACTAATATAATGAATTCTTATATTAAAAATGTGCAATTAATCGGCTCTGGCGAATGTGATTCAAATAATACAATTGGGACTTTGCATGTTTTAGGTTTGATTTTACTTTTAGTGTCGTTTTTGTGTCGGGGCGATGTTCGAGGCATTTTTAGGGCACCGCACCGTGTAAGGCACTTTCGATCCTTATTTTTATCGAGTCGAGCCTACGAGTCTTTTGTGCCTAATATCCTCTGCGCTACTTGATCTTTCGGACCGACTCGATTCCTTTTTGGCAACACTAATTACTTTGTCTTAATAACTTTTTGATATTTTTTATTAGGTACTCATTTAGTTTTCAAGTCGGATTCTTCCAAAAAAGAAATTTGGGTTAGCTCTTTTTAATATTTTATCAAAAAATTTTTTTTCAGGTAGTTCACACCCTTATTGGCTCTGTTACTCGAACTCCTTCTACAATTAATGGTTCACAATTATCTGTTCGCTACAAACATTTTCTGGTGCTTATATTTCTTATACCCAAAGATAAGGACTGCCAATTAATTTATGAAACATTGACACGTTGCAGTAAATTAGGTTTTTTTTAATTTTTTACTCGTGTACAATTTTGGTATTAGTCTCGTTTGTGTGCGGGATCTTTTCTACGGGGAGGCACGTAGAAAAAAATGGGGACAAAACGGTCCGGGGCCATCTCTGTATAGCTTATAGGGCCAGTTTTAGGGTCATTTTCGAGTCGGCGCGCTAGGCTTGTTAGTCATATTCCTTTTTGTGAGTCAATATTGTGTGCGTGTAATTACCCAGGGCGTATCGACCCCATTTTTTAAATCGGAGTCACTACGCTCTGGGTTCGCTAATCCATTATGCGTTTTGTTGAAAAAACAGAGAATATTTAAAAAACGTCGCACACAATCAAGATTATTACCCACTTTTTAATATCACTAGGAAATATAAACGAGCTATTTGCATTTTCGATCAAAAATGACAGAGATGGAACAGCCCCTCCTCCTTGGAATTATTTAAATTGGGATGAAGAATTTGCCAGACAGGGTGTCAGCAATGAATGGAAAGAATCCAATTTTAATTCAAATTATTCTTATTGTGATACTTATCCAGAAAAGTTGTGGCTTCCAGAGAAAGCAAGCACTCAAATGTTAATTGGCTCTTGCAGGTTTTTAGTTATGTCGTTTCCCTCCACCACCCAATTTTTTCTTAACATTCAGTCTGCCTGTCTGTGAACATGCAAAACCAGAAACTGACCATTTTGTACATCAAGGAAAAATTGGGTGGTTGAGGGAAACGATTTAAGCATCGGTTTTTGACGGTTTCTTACTATTTTGTCTTTAAGGTTTCGAAGTCGTGCACGTTTGCCAGTCTTAACTTTTTTCTATAAGCACAATTCTGCTACAATATGCAGGTAATTTTATAAGGAAAAATGGACTTATTCTGAATAGATTTCAAGTTTAAATATTTTAGATCATCCCAACCCTTATCCGGCTTTAGTGCAAGATGCCTAGAAGATGAATGTTTAATTGAATTGATAATGTCAGCAAATCCCTCATCTTCCACCCTTTATCTTATTGACACACGTCCACGTGTAAATGCGGTATAAAATCATTTTTGATTGAATAAAAGTTTCAAATTAATTTTTAGATGGTCAATAAAGTCCAAGGAAAGGGTTTTGAAGATTCCAAAAATTACACAAACATTCAATTCCATTTTTTTGACATTGAAAATATTCATGTTGTTAGATCCAGTTTAAATAGGCTTTTGGAAGGTTTTTTCTTAAAATTTTTTGAAAAAATTTTCTAAAAAATTTCATTAAAGCTTGTCAACGGCCACAATCAATTACTCAATATTTGAAGGCTGTAGATGCTTCTGGTTGGTTGAAACATTTGCGTGTTCTCTTAGAATGTAGCTTTTTTATTGCTGAATCGGTTATTAGAGGAATTTCTTGTGTTGTGCATTGTTCAGGTTTTTCTTTTTAATTTTCTTTTTTTGATTAATTTTTGTCAGATGGATGGGATAGAACATCGGTATTTTTATAAGAATATTTTTAAATTGGTTCATTTTAAAGCAAACAGTTTCTCTTGCCCAATTGGTGCTTGATCCTTATTATAGAACGATTAAAGGCTTTCAGGTAAATTTGGCACAAGTCTAGTTTATGAGTCTAATAAGCTTTACATGTCTAATGAAGCTTTACAAGTCCACTTGGTTGTATTTTTTCTTCATTCGACTCATAAAAATTTTTCGGACTCGTGCTGCTTCATCGGTTTCATAAAAGTTAATTGGACTCATAAACTAGACCAGATTTATCACAATTTCCTCATAACTAGACCACATTTCATTTAACTCTTTAAAAAAAATTTTTTTTAGACTTTAATAGACAAGGATTGGCTAGGTTTTGGGTTTAAATTTGATGATCGTTGTGGGCATTTGGGAACAATTTCTGAAGAAAATGAAAAGGAGGTTTCTCCCATATTTACTCAATTTCTTGATTCAATCTTTCAATTAATGCGACATAAACCTATGGCTTTTGAATTTAATGAACGCTATTTAATTGAATTAAATGAAAATGCTTATTCCTGTGTTTATGGTCAATTTATTGGAAATTGTGATAAAGATAGAAAGGTTTTTTTATTTTTGTTAAGTTTGGTCTTGAAGGGTGTTGGGCAATTAACAAATCCCCTGGTATCGCTCTTATCCTCTCCAAGTCCTCGATATCCTTTTTAATTCTCCGATATCCCTTGTAATCCCTTTTAATCCTCCGATATCCACCCAGTTCCTAATCTCTCTTTAAACCATGAGACTCGATTGACTCAATTTTGTTAATACGGAGTTTTCCGGTCGGAGTTTTACCCTAACACGAATTAAAGTATAATAAGGGACCCTTGTCCGTAGTCTTCTGTCCTGGAATCAAATGAATGGGACTAAACGTCTCATTCTTTCTTTAATTTTTTTAAATGTGTAAACTCCAAGATATTTTTTAAAGGATCTTCGAATAACTACAAAAACCTTGTCTTTATGGTCATTTATGGATAGCAGAAAGGATGATTATACAAATCCATTTTATAATCCAGTAATTTTTATAAAAGTTTTTTGAACATTTTTCTACTTTCAGGCAGCAGATTTGTGTTTACACGAGGGCAAGCTACAGCCTTCATCCTTTGTTGTTTGGTCTAATATGTATAATCAATTTGACATTTCTCTTCATCCAAAAGAATATTTTCCTGATTTGGCAAATGAAGTAAAACAACATCGATCTTTATTGAATGAATTAAATGAAATAAAGGTTTCTTTCTTTTAATTTTACTATATTTTGGGTCGGCGCCTACATTTTTACGTCGCCAGGCCAGGTATCCTGTTTTTCCCTTTAAACAACCCTGGCCGGAGTTCCAGAAAACCCTGATTTTATCAAAATACTCGGTTTCTGGGTGCGGAGCCTGGAAAATCCGGTTCAAGGCTGGCCCGGTTCGAGGATCTGGATACAGGGCCCTGCAATTTGAAAATGACGAGCTTGAGCTCATTGGCTGGGATCAAATGCTCATTCCCTTTCTATTTTAAAAAATTCTTGTAGGAATTAAATATTTCTGCTTCAAATTATACTCCAATATGGCAATCACAATTGGGTGTAGATGATTGTTCTAATCTCAATTGTGGTAAAGAATTTATTTCAAGACTTGAACGGCGTTTACATTGCTATTTTTGTGGAAAAATATTTTGTAAAAAATGTTGTAATAAAATAGGTGAAAATGAAAGTAGTAAAGAATCGACAAATTCTCCTTTAATAATGTTTGCTTGTAATGAATGTAAATTAAAATATTAAAAAAATTTTTTAAAGATTTTTTTTAATTTTTTTTCTGTTTATTGTGGTGACATTTCCATCAATATTTTAATTTTAAAATTTTTTAATTTCTTTTATTTGCCAATTAGTTCTAGTGAGCCTTTTAGATTGTTTGACTCTGTGTGATTCCTAATATGGTAAATTTTTTAATTTAATGATTTTAAGATTTTCTTTTTTAGAGTTCTACCCTTCAATCATATTTGGACGCTGTTCGTAAATCGCTTGAGGCTGCTCTGTGTATTAGGCAATTTGGATCTCAAGTTGTTGAGAGGCATAATAAACCTGAGGTTTGGCTTTAGAGTTAATTAGAATAGGAAATGGTGTATGGTTGTTAGTCATCTCAAGTTAGTTATTGGTCCAAACCTGGGTTGGTGGTTTGGCATTTCGGGGGTTTTTATGACTTGATATTTCTGCGACTTTGGGGCTGGTGTTTCTACGGCTTCTGGGTTTTCAATTTCGGTGCGATGCCCACAGTTTGGTATTTCGGCGGCTCTTGCTCTTTCGACGCGCTCTCAATTTTAATATTTTAAAATTGGCTCAATATTTTTCAGGTTGAAATTCGTACAAGTAAAGAAGTCTTGCTATGTCCTATAACAATTTCTCGTAATAAACAAGAAAGAGTATTTATCGAGCCTTCAATAAATTCTGTTAGAATAAGTATTGGAGTTAAACAAGCAGATGTAATTGAAAAAATTCTTTGTAATAAATTCTCAAAGGTTTTTAATTTTTTTAATGAAAGTAATTAGATTTGAATTCAAGAGCCTATTCATGGGGGGCTAAGTGGGGAGTGCTTCAGGTTTCGTTTTTAGACAAAATTCCGCCTTTGGAGTTTGTCTTTCGCCTTAATCTGTTTGGGACACCCCTGGTTTGCTCCTTCAAAATTTTGGCGTTTGCTTGGCGTTCCGAACTTAAATTTTTTACCCCCCAGCCCCTTGGATATGCCCTAGTTAAAAATTTGTTTATTAAGTTCATGTGCCAACGTGCGGACAATTTTATCATTTTGAGGCGAAAACCACTTCCTGGATATGATATTAGTTTTTTAATTACAGCTACACATTCTGAAGTTATGTATAAACAAAAATTGATTGATTTTTTGATCCATTTTATGCAGGAAATTGATAAGGTTTATTTTTAGATTTTGAAGAAAATTTCTTAAAAATTTTTCTAGGAAATTAGCGAAATGAAATTGGCTTTGAATGCGAGGGCACGAACTTCTGCTGAAGAATTTTTGAAGAGATTTAATTGACTGGAGTGTTAATTTAGTAGTGCGAAGCTTAAAAGTGATCGAGGACGGGGAAGGTTATTGTAATAGTTTAGGAAAGTTTTCTCATTTTCTATGATTGGGGAAAATATTTTTGAGGTTTAGGGATAGAATATCCATCCTTCTAGTATGCAGAATGTTTTAACGTGATTTAAGATCTATAGGAGAAAAAGAATCATTGCCTATGGTAAAGCATTATATATGCATCGTTCTTAAGGCCTGTGGGAACTCTGCGATGGTTTAAGTTTTTTGATACTTTTAAGCTTTCTTTTTTCGAATTTGTTAAGATCAGACCTTTCTCTTACCTAAAATTGTTTTACTTATTTAATTATTATTTTTATTGTTTTTATTTGATATGAATATTATTTAAAGCTAAAAGAGATACATTGCCTTTTATAATAAAAATGTTTTTCATAAATATTGGATAGCTCAATTAAAAAAAATTTTTTTAAAGATGGTTTTTGAACCTATTAATATTTTTTTTAATTTTAATATTCAACTTTTCTCAATTTTTAGATCAATTTCTGACGGTCAAGATGACTTTAAATTTTCTTCAGATTCTGTTATGCTTTCCCTTAATTTGTTTGACTTTTGCTTTTGAAATCAAGCCTCAAAACCAAGAAAACGATGCAGCCCAAGACACTCCTACTTTATTCTCTGTAGAAGGAAAATTAACTATTCGACCAGAATTGCAGCCTAAACCAAATGTTTTTGGAGATATTTATATTTCTTTGGATTATGGAAGATATTTTGGATTTGTCAGGTTTTTTTTATTGAATTACTATAAATAGAGCCTTGACTGTACCAGAGATTGGCCGGGTTGCCCGGAATTTTTTCGACTCGAAACCCGATTTTAGGCAAAATTTGAAAACCCCGGCTTCTCAACTCGGTCTATCCCTGGAACATATACTACAGAAGGTTTTTTGGTTTTTCGGTGGATATTCGGGCTTTAATATTGTAAAAAATATTCTTTTTAGAACTGATGGTTCTTTCAAATTGAACGACATCCCAACAGGCTCTTACATTATTGAAGCTATTAGTGTGGACTACACTTTTGAACCATTGAGGATTGATATAACCAACAAGGGGAAGATTAGAGCTAGAAAATTGAATCTTTTGCAGGTTTTTGTAAGGTATATTAGTTAGTTTTGTTTTTAAGCCAAACGTTGTTGTGACTATGCCGTATCCCGTTAAAATGACTGCATTGCATCCAACTCAATATTTCCGAAAGAGGGAGGAGTGGCGTGTGACAGATGTGCTGATGAATCCGATGGTAAGAAACAGGATTTTTAGTGTATTCGGGTTTCAAGTCATTGATACAACCAACAAGGAGATTTTTTGGTTAAACCCAACTCGCCCACCCTTTCTGTTTATTTTCCCAATGTGTCGGCGAATTGGACTTGATGGTGGTGGACGCATGGTTTGAGTGACTCTGACCCTCTACCTCAATTTTCTCCGATATCCTTTTCCGTTTATCTTCCAAACGTGTAGGTGAATTGTATCAAAAGCTTGAAATACCGAAACCCCAAAGCCCTCGAAATACCAAACTCTGGACACCTATGAGTGGACCACTAACAAGGACTCACTAAATCTTGTAGTCTTTTTATTAACACAAACAATTTTAGATTATAATGCTAATAGCTGCTTTTCTTCTGATGGTGATTACACCAAAATTGGCTGCTCAAGACCCACAAATGCAAAAGGTTTCTCTTCTTAAATCTTTTTTACATTTACCTTTAAAGGATATGCAAAATTTGCAATTACCAAAAATGGATATGCCCGATATGGCGGATATGTTGGCCAACATGTTTGGATCAGCTAGCGGCAAAAAAGGAAATACACGAAAGGCGATTGCTTCACAAAGTACAAAAAGGACGACTCGATAGTTTTTTTTAATATTTTTTAAAAATAATCAGGTATTTTGGGGAAATTCTAAAGGGGGATAAGACTTAATCTTTTTAAAATTCTTATAATCTTTGATACTTTTTGGATATCCCCCACCTATTAGTTTGAGTCTTAAAGTTTCCTGGTAGTGGTTTCGGACACCCCTTTTCCTCTACGTTCCAAGAGAGGAAAACACAGACATCCTTCCTCTACGTTTAGGGAAAAAATTATGGAGGAAAAGAGGGGCCTCAAACTAGGAGAGGGTATCCAAAAAGTAAACCATTTTTCTGCTGTTTCTTTTTTTCTTACGATTAGTCTAACAATGAGCTATAAATGTAGTTTTGTATAAAAATAAATTCACGAAATTGCAATTTTATGCCTGTATTTAATTATAGTCAATTACAATAAGCAAAGGAACAATTATAAGGACTGAATATTTGGGCTATTTGGACTTGTTTCAAGTCGTGTAATTTTTCAGTTCCTCGAATAATTGCCAATCTTACAATTTTAGGGAATGTTAAAAGCAATTTTTAGCAAGTATTTCCTCATCAAGTAATCATTTTTAAAAAGAGGGTGGTCCAGAAGGTCTAATCCAAATATTTGGCAGGTGAAGGAGACTCAAGATCAAGAATACAGGCCTGCTCCCTTTTGCCTTATATGACAGTTGCACGAGAGAATTCCCATCTTAATGCCCCTTAATCCGCCCAAATCTGTCTTAATCCGCTCAAATCCTTGGATATGACCCTCAAGTTGATTCAAAAAAGAGGGAAGACTGCGAAAAAATTTCAAATGATTACCTTTTTAAAAATTTAAAAACAAAACCTCATAAAAAGGAATATATTCAACTCAATTAAAAGTTTCTTCAGCAATCCTAGCCTCTTCTAACACAGTTATAAACGAAAATGGCATAAATAAATGGCCTGTTCCAGCATAAAATTTGCTTTGAAATTCAACCCTAAAATATTTTAAAGGTTAGAAAAATATTTAAAAATTACCAATGAAGACGGAGAGCATGTAAAAATGCTGAAAGTCCTTCCATTAAAACAAGAATAAAGACTGTCATAGTTGCAAAAACAAGAAAAACAAAGTACGTCAGTACGGCACCCAAGTATCCTCCTTGAAGTAATCCCATACGAAAAACCATTGTCCAGAGAACATCGGACAATTCTATGAGAAAAAATTGTTGGTTATTTTCCATTAGGTGGCCAAAAAGTCGCAAGTTTTGTCCGCAAATTTCTCCTCTTAAAAAATAATTTGCGGACAAAACTTGCGGACTTTTGGGCCACATAATGGAAAAGAACCAAATAAAAAAATTAAATTTCAAAAAATTTACGTGCATGGGCCAAGGAAAGTGCCCAAAGACGAAGATAAGAAGCAGTATGAGAAATACATCCAAGCGCAAATTCAATTGTGTGAATTGCTTGATAAACAAAAGTATCACCCAAATCAAATTCTTTTAAATCCTTCTTGGGTGTTGTTGAATTTCCTCCATGATGAATAACTTCAGCACCATCTTCGCTTAAGTTGGCATGGACACTCTGTTAAAAAATTAATTTTCCAAATAAAAAATATTTTTAAAAAATTTGGGGATGTAACGGAATTTGAGAAATTTGACAAGACAATAACAGAGAAGACAACGACAAAAAATATAATAAATAGAGGAACAATAAAAAGAACTCTGGGGTAGGTGCTAGAACATAACAGAAACAAAATTTAATGACCCAGCAAAACATATTGTTAGTTATAAAGGGTACACCTCACCGTTGGTCAAACGTACCGCGAGCCCAATGTCAATGTACCGCCGAACCATAACCGTTCAAAATTATCAAATTCAGGAAGCCCTGGTATGGTTCGATTCAGCACGTCGACGAGCATCGAACTATACTTGGGCATCCCGGGTTGGAACGAAGTTATAGCTCTGGACGAAGTTATATCTCTGCGGTACCTTGGGCTTGAGGTACATTGGCCTGCTCCCGTTATAAGAAAGTATATAAGCACCACAAGCAATAAAAAGAAAAGAAGGGAAAAACAAAAAAACCAACCACCAAAAAAAACAAAAAAATTTACTGACATTATAATTTTGAAGACTATCAACATCAACAAATCCTTCATCAAGCACTTGTGCCCCTCTTTGCCTTGGAGGAATTGTTGAGGCAAAAGTTTGTTGTGTGCCATGTAAATTCCCCCTCCTATTAGCCTCCTTGTGTTGCCTCCATAAAATTAAAGGTTTCACCAACAACATCACAGGAATAGCCAATAATGCAAAAACCAACAAACAAAATTCCGTTACACCCTGGAAATTTTAAGAAAAAATTTTTACCAAATTAGTATGACCACCATATAAACGTTGTTTTTGTTGTTGCCAAAGCTTGTAAGGCTTGGCAAATAACATGACAAAGATGCACCCAATAGAAATGGGAATGAAAATTGATTCGAAAAAACCCTAAAAATTTTAAAGAAAAATTTTTGGACCTAACCTTAAACCCATTTGTTAATAAAAATTTTTTAAATTTAGGATTGGAAATTCGATACACCTCTCTTCAGTCCCGGTTCAGTTCAGTCCCGGCACCTATAATTTGTGAAGGGATGGGCACTTCTTCATGTACTTACAATTAGTATCATTGGATAGAGAATTAAATACACTACAAGTTACCAGAAAATTAAAACTTTCGACAGATTGATAAAGAAGTTAAGGTCGATAAAATGTCGAAAAATCATCTTTTGAAAAAGTTCTAGTTTTTAGATCATAACTTTTTTTATCAATCAGTCGAGAATTTTGATTTTTTGGTTGCTTGTAGTGTATTTAATTCTCTATCCAATGGTACCAAAAAAATAAAGAAGTGACCATCCCTTCATGAGTTTTAGGGTTGGAACTGAACGGAGCCAGGACTGAACCGCTCTGTTGAAAAATAAATAGAAAAAAAATTCAAAACCTGTCCAGGATACCAATAATTTAGATGACAATTTGGACCAGGTTCTCTACTCTCATCGTCTATCGTAAATCCAGTTTTTCTCGATTTCATCATAAACATATTTATAAGCCCAATAAGTAGAGAAGGTGCACATCTAGCGCCTGGATAATAATTTCCAAGAAAATAATATTTTCCCTAAAAATTAAAAAATATTTATAGTAATAAATAGGGCTGTCCAAAAAAAGGAAAATGCATGCAAATACATGTTTTGTATGCGGGTATGCATTGAAGTGAAAAGTCGGAAAATGGGTTTTTACGTTGTGACGAACACTTTAGGACCCGGTACTTATTTCAAATATTTTCAATTTTGGCCCTTTCATGCATATTTGGCCCTTTTGTGCATATTTCAACCCTCACATGCATATTTAGCTCTCTCGTGCGTATTTGCATGTCGGTGCATATTTCGGGAAATTTTGCAGATTTTGAGGTTTTTGCCCATATATGCGCTTTTCCAGGCATATCTTGGACACGCCTAGTAATAAATTTACAAAAAACCTCGTTATTAAAGAAAAGCCATTTTGCCACAATTTCCAAACAGAGATAAACAAAGATGCACGAAAGAAATATAACTTGTGGAATAAAAGTAAAATTAATGTCCAAATAAGATTCTGAATGTCTTTAAAAAATTTTATTTGTATTAAAAAAAATTAGAAAAGAAACTTGAAATTATAATAACTCAAAGCAATCCCAAACGCCATTTGACTAATTCCAATAATTACTGAACCTTTCATTTTCATTGAATTTAAAAAATTTAGTTTGTTGGTTTCTGCCAAATTCCAAATTGGATCGACACCAAAAGGGTATGGCGGAGATGACTAAAGTAAATTTTGATAAAAAATTTATTTGAATATAACAAAAGAACATTGTTTACTGTCAGTGCGAATTCTATATAGAATATTTTTGAAACCATTCGATAAAAAAACCACGACTTTGACGAAATGTCAAAACGTTGAAATGTCAAAAGTTGTTAAAATGTCAAACACCCAAAATTTATTAAAATGTCAAAGTGGAAAAGACGCTAAATGACAAAAATGTCAAGTGGAGAATGCTAGTCCAAGAAGGGGGAAAGTCGTTACAACTGTGGGGAAGATTGTCATTATTTTACATTTCAACAGCTTTAAGTGATATTTACATTTTAACGTTTTGACATGCCACAACTCGATCTACAGTCATCTATCAATAGAATGATAACACTTTGCAATAGGAAGCCAAGGGTCCTCCAATACCAAAAAATATATCGAAATCGCACTGACAGTGAACAATGTTCCCTTATATTTATAAATAAGAAAAACAAACATAAGCAATATGTGGAGGAAGTACAAGCATTTTTTCAGGATCGCCTGTATAATTATGATATTCATCAGTAGCACCCCATGAAGTTCCAAAGATGTTAAATGATTTGCTAAAAACATCATTGTAAATAAAGCCAGTGTAGATAGAGAAAAGGCCCATCAGAAAAATTACGTAGCGACCAGAGAAAAACATTTGGAATATCTTTAAAAAAATTAATGAAAATTTTTTTTGAAAATTAAAATTAAAAAAAAAACCTCATCATTAATCCGAGCAGCTTCCAATCTTTTCTCTTTTAATACAAGGTATAATCCAAAAAGAAACATAATTAATCCGTGGCCCAAATCACCAAACATTAAAGCAAATAAGAAAGGAAAAGTAATCATTGTATAGGGGGCTAGAAATTTTTTTTAATTTTGGAAATTTTAAAAGAAAACCAGGATTTATTTCTCTATAACTAGCAATTCCATAAGAATCTACTATATTTTGAAAACCACGAGTAAATTTATTGGTTCGATGAAAAGTTGGAGGTTGCTCTAAAGTTTCCATTTTGTTAAGAATTGATGGCACTGAACTTCCACTTTCATCCTTTATAGAAAAATTTTTTTGTAGAAATTCAAAACATGAATGTCACGAGTTACCAGAAACCTGAACCTGTTCAATTTGACTCCCTGTTCCACATAAAAGTTCCTTCCTATAGGGCTTTCCCGCTCGCCTCCATTAAAATGAACTCTCCCTTCCACATAGAGGAAGGGATCATGAAATCCCTATAAATCTCGTGATTTCCCTAATAATCCTCAAAATCACTGATTGCTCCAAACCGTTCATATAAGTTAGGCTTTTTGTTCGAATTTTTAACTGATCGATACCCGAAGCCCGGACATTTTTTCCGATACGAAACCTAATCAGAAGAAAATTTTAAGAATCTAACCCGTGACCCGTTCCGACTACTCAACCCATGTCATCCCTGCTTCCAAAAATAAAAAAAAATTCTTTCTTACACTTCCACGCTTTAATGCCAATTGAATTCGATCAAGTTCAGCAACTGGACACCAACATTCAGCAATTAAACATTTTTGAGTTACATCCAAATTGAATAAATTTAAGGTGTGATAAATTGCTTTGACTTTTCTAACTTTTGTAAGCCAAGTACGAACATTACGAGCAGCAGCGACCTTAAAAAATAAATTTTTTAGAGTTAAAAATAAAAAAATCAGAAACCAGAACACGATGTCGATGATCTTGTGTCTGTCCCAAAACAGTTTTTAAATCTTCTATACGTGTCATAACACCAATTGACATTTCTCTGCGTTCTTGAGGAGAATCTGGACAAGGATATATTGTCGCACGAAAACTAGAAAAAAATTTTTAGTTATAAATATGGTGTCATCCTTGAAGACCCTTAAGAACTACAACTTTTAAAAAGGAATACCGAGGGAATAAGGGGATCTCTATCACCATATCGAGGGATCTCAATCCCCATCAATCACACCAAATATCCATCGACTCCCTCCAAATCCCTCGATATTTCCTCAATAACTCTTTAATCCCTCGATAGCCCCTTAATCCCTCTAAATCCGCAAATATTCCCTTCAAAAGTTGTAGGTCCTCAGGGCCAATAGGCAGTTGATGGGGACTATAAATATTAAAAAATATACCCTTCACAAATTTTTTTCACTCTGCTTTTCAATTGATCTCCTTGAAAGAATATGATAAAGACAGCCTTTTGAACTTCTAGCCCAGTCATTGTATCACTCAAAGGTTCGGTAATTTCTGCCTGTCGCAAAAATACATTGCCTCTACAGGCTCGCCAAAGAAGACGTTCAAAGGCTGGTAAACGTTCACGTTGAATAACACCAGCAACAAATCTAATAAACAAAAAAAATTGAGTAATTAAAGATACTTATGTCGTTTCCCTCCCCCACCTAATTGTTTTTTATGTACAAAATGGTCAGTTTCCTTGTATAATTTTACAAATTTCCTTCAGCTCCCTCAGCCTCCGTGGACACGCCCTTGGTAATTAGTGAAAAATACAAGCTAATAACTGACCATCATGTACATCAAGGTAATTAGATGGGAGGGAAACAACATAAATAAAAATTAAAAGTGCAAAAGTGGTGGTGCAGTGTTTTTAAAATTTCTCATAATAAAATTAAAGAAAAACTAACTTTAAATTTCCTTTGGAAACATGTGAAGCATCGCCTCTATCACGAGGAATCAAACTAGAACCATCATCCAAAAATTCTTCTTGTGCCAAAGAATGAAGTGCTTGACGTTCGCCTTCGTTCTTTAGAAAGAATGAAAATGGGGGAGTTTGAAAGAAATTTAAAAAAAGAGAATGGCTTGCCGGCAAGTGCAAAAATTAGAAAATATGAGAGAATGAGGTTGGTTATAAAACAAATAACTTGGTAACTGTGGGTTAACCAAAACTAGTTTTTGTGGGTATATTTATAGGGACTCATACTGTTCAGATATAAAAACTCATAATGGTCAGATAACACTTTTTCGGATTCATTAAACGGAGAAAGGTCAAGTATGGGTGCTTTGACCATAGTGAGACCATTATATTATGGTCATCAAAAATTGGTTTGGGATAACCCACAAGTACCAAAAAAGATACAATAAATAAGATGTTTTGTTAGTCAATATTTGGACTGTTAATCATCTTAGAAAATTTTAAAAATGAATAAAAACTGCACCACCACGAGACGAAAGAAAAAAATTATCAAAAACTAACCCTAATTTCAAGCGCCCTCTAAATTCAGTCAAATGTCCACCAGATACAAGAAGAGGCTCCAGTTCGTCAAGAGGAGTCTCAATAACTGTTTGTGGCCTTTTGGGTCGAATGGAACCATGAAGACGTCCAAAACTTTTGTGTTCGTATTCGACCTTGATGAGCATATTTAGAGAAAATAAGGAAAAAGAAGGAAAACAATTCAAAAATTGAAAGATGTGAACAAAAAAGAAAGGTACTTTTCCGTTATGACGTAACCCCCTAAATTAATGTTCAAAATGTCATATTTAGGGTAGAAAAAGGTGCCGAGTCGAACGGTACCACTCTTTTTTCACGAAGATGTCTGTGGACCGAGATATAGGGCTCGAAATGGTCAAAAACCATAGGGGGGAGTAAGCTAAATTTTGGGGTGAAAAATTCCATTTTTTGAATGATAGCTTATTCGAAAGGGCTCCTCGAGCTGAGTCGAATGCCAAAAAAATCAGCTCGAAATCTTGATTTTGAGACGAGATTAACAAGCTCAAAATGGTCAACGTAACCTATGTGGCGTAGGCGAGGCGCACTCCCCCCTATGGTTTTTGACCATTTCGAGCCCTATATCTCGGTCCACAGGCATCTCCGTGAAAAAGAGTGGTACCGTTCGACTCAGCACCTTTTTCTACCCTATATATGCATTTTGAACATTAATTTAGGGGGTTACGTCATAACGGAAAAGTACCAAAAGAAAATCCCCAAAACAAGCGATTTTGACAATTTAACAAACTCACAAGGGAACATCGTTTACTGTGACTAAATTTGATACATTTTTTGGTACAAATCGATAGAGGACCTTCGACTTCCTATTGCGGAGTGATGTCCGTTTTCTTGCAAAATGCCTTTTGGTCGAGTTAAGGCTGTTCAAAGTTTCTGTTTTTGGGAGTGTTTGAGTATACCTGCCCAAGGTTATTTTACAAAAAACTTGCATCACTTCGCGATATGAAGTCGTGGGGTCTTATATTGAATGGTACCAAATATACGCAGTGAACGATGTTCACTTGTCAGAAAAATATCTAAAACTAGTGAAAGACAATGAAAAGTGTGCATTTTCGAAGAATCTGTTATCAGACTCCCATAAAAAATGCCGGCTGGCCATAGAAAAACACAAAAAATCAACTAACCTCATCAAAAAACTGTTGCGTCTTTCTAAGAATGTGTTTAAGTTCTGTCAATTCAGCAAAATTTTTCCGAAGCATTTCCTCATTTTGGTTGACTTCACGCAATTCACTTTCTAATTTATCAAAGGTTGCCTAAAAAATAAATTTAAAAATGAAGAAAAGGCCCTTCCGAGTTATCCTCAAACCAGTTTTCACGGATAAATTAATGCGGACTTATAATGCTCATAATGGTCAGAGAATCCATACTTGACCTTCTGACCATTATGATCTTTCTCATACTGACCATTATTTGTTTTTTGGCTCTATCTGAAAGGAGTGCCTGGTTGACTTTTTTCCTTCTTTTTTTAGAATGGCCTTTTTTCCTTTCCTATTTTTCCTAACTTCTTTAAGATCGTGTGTGAAGGGCAAACCAAGGAATTCCAAAATACGGAACAGAAAACACGGTCTGGTCCGTGTTTTGATTGTTTTGGTCCCGTATGTTGGCAAACCCGTATCGTGCCCGGTCCGTGTTTTACCCTGCCACGATTAGGATCACCAATATTTGTATTTTTCAAAGCCATTTTAGGTAAAACAAACAGATTTTTTTTGAAAAATAAACATAGAATGTATGAAAAGTCAAACAAAATCAGCAAAAAAATGAAAAAAATTAATCCTTTTACACATTTTTACCTTACGAAAAATATCAAATATAAAGGAAAATCGACCATTCCTAGGCAGTCTAAGGAAATAAGGAAAAAACTCAACCAGGCACTCCTTTCAGATACGGTCTGTTTTTTTTATATCTGACCATTATGAGTCCGCAAAAATATGCACGCAAACCATGGTCTAGGATAACACACAAGTCCCGAAAAAATCAAACTAACCCCCAAATCAAACGTTTCCCTAGGTAAGGGAACTTCCGTATTCTCCCCAGTATCGACCATTACAATTCCATCCTTTTTTATTTCGCGTTCCAAAAATCCTATTAAACAAAATTTTTAAAAATTTTAAATAATTTAAAACAAGCCCTACTCAATTTTCGTTCCATTTCGTCACAATGACGAACTTCTCTTACATATTTGCGTTGAAAAGCGTTAATTTCAGCATTTAACTAAAAAAAGGGAAATTTTGTCATATCATGCATACTCCGATTGGACAGATAGTTTGAGCTGAGTTGACCGACACCAAAATTAGGCACCGATCTCACCTATGGACCGAGACTTAAATTGCCGAATCCAAAAACCAAGGGTCTGAAAACCATCCGCATAGGAGAGATCGGAGAGATGGGCGACATAACGAAATTTTTTCATAAAAAATTGAATAAAAATCTAAAAAATTAACAAACTAACATCTCGGAATTGCACAAGCCCAATTTCGCCAAGTTCAGCAACACATAAATAAGCCGCTTCGTTTTGAAGAAACAACTGAACCAGGCACCTGAAAACCAAGAAAATTTAAAAATAAACTCGTTTTGAACATACATTTCCTCGCTTCGATGTATTGAATTCATTGTTGTTAAATTAATTCAATAGAAATATGGCCTAGAAAATAAAAACAAAGTAAAAAAATATTAAAAAATGACAACAAAAAAATAGACATCTTAAAAATTCCAAGACTTTTATTTACAGACAATAATAGAGAAGAAAAAACCGATAATTGGTTAGACAGGTGAAAAGGGAAAGAAGGCTGGACGTGTCCACAACATCGCGGCAAATGTAAAACGTGGACAAAAAGAAGAATTTAGGCACTCAAATCTCCCTAAAATTATGGCACTGAAACTGCTGCAACTTAAATAACAAAAAACTGTCTAACCGTCTCTCTTAAGTCTAGTGCGCTATTTCTCAATAATTCGATGTCTTGTTCTCACGTGTGAGATTTGTTGTTGCCCATTTAATCGCGCGCGATTCAGACAACAAAAGACGGCTCCTATACAAAGGATCGTTTTTTTAAAGGATCGCCCTGTTAAAGGATCGTCACGGGCAAAAAGTATTAAAGGGCCGTTCATTAAAGGATCGTCCATCAAAGGATCGCCAAGAGTAAAATCGTTCAAAGGATCGTCATTTTTCAAAAATTGAATAAAGATAGTTCAGTGCCAACAGTTTGAGCGCAGTTATATGCCGCAGTCTGCTAACGGTGATTAAGACGGAAAAGTCAGTCGAGTCTGAACATAATATGTATTACCAACAGAATCTTCGCTGGAAAAACTGTTTTTGTGCCGCTGCGGAGGGTAGGCCGGGCATGGTCTTCGCTACACGATGGCCGTGCTTCGCTGCGGTCGTGCTCGCTTCGCTCGCGGCGACCGTAGCGAAGCGGCGGCCGTCGTTCCGCTCGACATGCCCGGCTTCCTCCGCAGCGGCAAAAACTTTTTTCCGCGGATTGCTAGACTCTTTTAACCCCTTTTGGCCGAATCGAAAAGATATACGGGACTCAAACGTCTTCTTTTGGGTGGGTACTCAAAAAACGATCCTTTAAACGTTTTTACCCATGGCGATCCATTGATGGACGATCCTTTAATGGGCGACCCTTTAATACTTTTTGCCCGTGACGATCCTTTAATTGTTTTTAGATGTTACGATCCTTTGAACGTTTTTAGCCGTGTCGATCCTTTTATGTTACGATCCTTTGTAGGGACACGCAAAAGACTTTCCGTCTCTCATGAATTAACACGCTATTTCCCAATAATTTGTCTCGTTTGCACATGTGAGATTTGTTCATCATGACCATTTATTCGCGCAGCAATTCAAATAACAAAAAGGCTGTCTACCGTCACTATTAAATTGACACGCTATTTCTCAATAACTTTATGTCTAGTTTACGTGACATGAGTTCTGTTATTGGCCATTTATTTTTTTCCTTTCTTTCACAGAATACTAATAAGTAGGCGAAAAAGATAGTTTTGCGGATAAACGGCTGGCGTCTAAATGGGCTGTTATTTTCTAATTTAGACAAGAATGGCGTAAACAAGTTTGCTTCAATTTCACCAATAACATAGTTTGCCTATAAGGTTTAATCTCACTTCTTGCCAACAACTTTGAGGCAAAACTTCAATTTTAGCCTTATTGGCAAAATATGGTATTGGTGAAATGTTAAACTGCAGACAAGATGTCTAACTCTAACACTGTAATTAGAGAAACGAAAAAAAAATGTTTGACCTCTACGGAAGTAACGGGAACTTCCTAGTTCGGGATTCCCAAAAGGGACTAGGAGTTCGCCGCTAAAAACAATAGTCGAAAGTGTGTTGAAGTCGATGAGCGTCTTAATCCCAAAGATTAAGACGTGGCAAACCAAAAGAGTGTTAGGCGAATAGGCGAAAGTTTGAGATGGATGGCCAAGTCTAGACGATAGACGAACAACTGAATATTCCCAAAGAATATTCACAGAATATTACCAAAGAATATTAAAACAAAAGAATATTAAAAAATATTTATTTAATTAAAGAAAATTATAATTGTATGTGTGTGGTTATTAAAAGGCTGGTAGGAATAATTAGGCAAAGGTTAAAATGATTGAACGAAAGTTAAAAAGAATGTTGGTGTAAGGGGAAAAAATTAGCTTAAATAGGCCGGAATTAATGTGTGTGGTAAAGAATGTGGGGGAAATGGCAAAAATGAAAAACATAAAAAATTATATGTTTTTAATAATGTTGGCGGAAATGCACTTTCTCCCTTTTTTCCCTTTTGGATGAAATTATTAATAATTTTTAGATTGGAATTTAAGATAAAATGGATAAATTTATCCATTTTATGGAAAAAAGAGAGAAAAAGCAAAGTAGGCGATAACGATCACTAAAAAGTGATGTCATACAAAATAAAAAGGAAAAATTAATAATTTTATTAATTTCCTCCTTCGACGAAAATTTGAAGAAATTTTCGACATTGCCGCGGGCAGGCACTTCAGTGGGTCCTTAGTTGTTAATGGTTAAGTTGATTAGTCGATTTAAAGTGTTAGTCGATATTCCATTTGTCGATTTTGAATTTTATAAGATTGTTGTTAAAATTTAGTTTGAAGATTTGTTTAGTTTGAAGATGTTGAATTTTAAATTATGATGTTTCACCACGTTCTTTTTATTGTAAATTGGCTTCGCCAATAAATAAAATTGGAAGATGCTTTTAAACTTTTGATGATTGCTTTTGAACTATTTAAATTTGACGATTTTTTGTTGTGAAGTTTATTTTGTTGAGTTTTGACGTTAAAGTTTTAGACGTTAAGGTTTAGGCGTTTAAGTTTAGACGTTTAGGCGATATGATGAACATTTGACGAGGACCCATTGTTGACAACATTTGAGTTGATGTACCAATCCATTCCAAACATTTGAAAAATTTACAAAGAAAGAGATTAAGGAATTGGGGATAAATACAAAGAAATGAATAGAAAAAAAAGGGGGGGGGGGGAAAGAGAAAGATAAAAAATTTTAAAATTTCTTTACTGCTCTCCTCCATTCCAACTCCAAGAGGTTGAAGGTTGCTCAGAAGGTGCAAGTTGTTGAACAAGTTTGATGACATCGTTGATTTCGTCTCTTGTCTTCTCAAGTTTGGTGATGATTTGTTGACGCGTTGCTTCGGTGATTACATGAATTTGACGAGGTTGTTGCTCTTCTTGACGATTTTCGTTAGGTTTTGACGATGGCGTGGGCATTACAATTTCCAAGTTCTGCAGGGGGAAGTAACTTTTGTGGTCGTATCCCATTTGCCAAGGGATAAATCCTCGACGTTGACGTTGGCGAGATTGACGCGATGTTCCACGGATGCCACCAAATTGTCGTAGTACAGGGAGGTGTGGTTCCCTAATCGGTAGTCCTTTCATTTGCCAATGTTGTGCTACTGTTTCGCCGGGTTGAACAAGTAGCTTCTGTGCTGGCTTGTAGGTGATGCAGTCCCAGTCTGTGATGTTGTTGCCGTTGGTGTGGTCGCGTATCATTATTCCTCTAAGTTGCCGGTTGATTTTGTCGATAGTCGCAACGGTTTTCCACCAATTGTTCCCAAATCGGCTTGCCAAATATTCATCCAGACGTTCAATGACTTCTTGGTGTTGACGGTTTCCTGTTCGACGAGAATGTAAACGTGTTGGGGATATTTGACGATTGAACGGCGGTGGGTTTGAGGCATGACGATTGCGAGGTGGGGAAGGTGTTCGTGGAAATTGAGGTTCCATTTGGCGACTGTTGCGAGGTGTTCCAAAACCTCCATTGTTGAATGGTGATAATGGACGAGAAGACATTTTGAATTCGGCGTAGACGAGCAGAGTGGAGTTGGTGAATGAATGAATTATAGTCGATTGAAATTGTGTATTTATAATACTAGGCGTGTTGACAATAATTTTATTTTCCCATGATGATTGAATATGTTGATAGGCGATTGGAATTTTATTAGTTCTCTTTGCTGCAATAAGTATGATGTCATTTTGCCGCTTCACTAGCTTGACTGTGTGTGGTCCAGTTAGTCGCTGTAAATTGTTATCCTTTTTCTGAAGGGAACATCCGGCCGGCCACACAGAAAGTGCAATAATTATGATTGGAATGTAAAACGTTGAGTTGAAGGGTAAAATCGGCGCAAATCGTTTTTGGCGTTTTTGTCGAAAAAATGGACGAAATGGTTTTGGCGTATGTAGATAGACGGTTCGAATCATCAGGCATAATATACTAGTCGAAACGAAGGCAATTCCCAAGAGATTCCATCCAAATGTATAATTTGACAATATAGGCGCAGACGAAATTCGTTCGGGTTTGTCGATTGTTGTTACGTTGACAGCTTGAACTTGTGCCAGAATTGCAATGATGGTAATTGTTCGAGCCATTTGTCGGTAAATTCGAAATATCGGCGATAGTCGCATGAAGAGGTATACGGCGAGTAAAGCAAGTCCAATTGACGTTATGATGCCAAGGAAAATTGGTCCTCCTTGAAGAAGTTTGCCGAGTATCCACAAGTCGAATCCAAGATCGGGCCAAAAACTGAATGTTTCTGGGTCCAAAATAAGTTGTTTTGAACGATGTTGTTGATGTCCCCATTGTCGTCGAAGAGGGATGTAATAAAGGCTGCCATTGAGGTTAAAGTTGGTCTCTCCAGCCGGACAGTCGACGGTACAAATAGTGTTGACATCTGGATAGTCGATTGGTACTACTTCTTTGCCGAGGGTTCCATTTGTCGAGCAGTGGGCGACGAATAAAATTCCATCTTCACATTTGACGGTGGCTAAGACGTTGGCGTTGTCTGATCTGCATTTGTAGGTTATTTGCGCTCCAGCTCCACATCTGTAACATCCATGTAGTTGAGCTTCATCCATGAAGCATTTTGAATCACGAAGTTGAAGATGGAGTGCAAGGCTTTTCATTTGAAGATGTATTTGAATAGGCGCATAGACGTATGTTGCTGAAATTGATGGTCCATTGTTTTCCAGCCATACCTTTGCTCTGGTGATCGGTAGTCGTGTTTCTGGGTTCTCCACCATTCCATCGAGGTCCACATCTCGGCAGTTGCATTCAACTGTTCCATCGTTATGGTTTGGGAAGCATTCTTTGCAGGCTTCTTGGTCGAGTGAACAGTTTAAGGATCGAGCTGCTTCTTCTGACGCACAGTGTAGATCAACAGGTAGTCGACTGACGATTGAGACGGTTTGTCCATTAGTGACGAATGTTGATCCAAGTACTGGCATAGGCGGAAGAGAGATTGCCAAGGGTGTGATGGTGATGTTCCCCCATGATGATGTGATGCCAGGGTGTAAGATGACAGATTTTGATAGTCGTTTGCCACCATTGGTCTCTAACGTGAGTTCGACGTCCATTTGTGGGCTCCAACTTGGGCAGGTGAAGACTTCGAAAACGTTTGAACTGGTTGGTCGAGCAAAATATCGGTAGTATAGACAGGCTGAGGTTGGCAGTCCACAATTGTTGCCCCAGAAACTTGTTGATGGAATGCAGAAGGTGTTGCCAGGTAGTTCTCGTCCATCTTGTAGTTCTTTGACGTAACTGTTTGGTCGCACATTTTCACAATGGTCGTTGAAGCATGATCCAGCTCGAGGGCATCTCTTGACGGCTGTAGGTTCGACGCGATATGAACGTAACCAGGCGATTGATTGTTGATGGCAGGCCATTCTCAAAGATGTTAGACGCATTGACATTGTACCCAGAGTTAATCCATGTTCGTCGCGAAGAAGCAATGTGTTGACTTGGCCGGCAGGTAATAACGTAAGTGTGTTGGCGCTATTGACGGTGCAAGTCAAGCCAGTTGTTCCTCTTAAGCAAGTTTCAGTTTGCGTTGTGATTGAGATAACTGCAATAGTCGGGATAATAATTGACGTGATGATTGTCGAAATTAGTATGATGTTTGACACTCTTCGTCTGAATTGATGGCTTTGGTGATGAATATTTCTGAGTCTTGTGTACATCTTCTTTTCGGCGTAATTTATTTGTCGTTTCCAACTGTCGCTGTTCTTATAGTAGATTTTGTCGAACATCCAACGGAAGGGAAACGTTAATGCTTTTAGTATTGTTGTTGAGCCGTTGACGAATAAATTGACGATGACGCGGATGGAACTGAAGACAGTGATGAAACATCCAACTAAACTGCTGAAGGCGAAAATTCCCAACAGAAATAGGAATGTTGCCCACTTTGGGTTACAAGTTGGATTGGCTAGTTGTTCAAAGCAAAAGTAGCAGTCGAATAGGTTGCATTCATTCACAGCCGGGCAATTAATCCTCTTTGTAATGCTGTTGTGGGAGTTTTGCCAGAACCATGCTTCGCATTCATAGTCGTTAATGAGGATTTCGGCGGCGAGTTCATAAGTGTATTCCTTCATGTCGGTGTGGTCGATACAATTCTTCATACAACAAACTGCTGTTTTTTGAACATCAGGCGGTGCTTTGACGATAACTCCTTTGGTCGAGCATTTGAATTGACAATTGTCGCATTTGAACTCATAGAGGGCGAGGGCCGAAGCAATGGTCGATAAGCTGAGAAGGCAAGAATAGTCATATTGGCCGCATCGATACCAAGGTGTTGTATTTCCAAATGCTAGGATGTTGGCGAGTAAGACGATAAAAGCCACCAGTGTTGTTGTATTGACGAGTGATTTGCGTGTTCTGAGAGTCATTTGATGTTGACGGATTGGTTTTGATGGTTCTTTAGGCGTTTCCTCTTGATTTACTGAGGTGTTTGTCGCTATATGATCGTCGACCTCAGTTTCCAATGGACATAGTCGGCTGACTGGACGGGTGATGATCTTCCCATCTCCAGTTAAAAGATTGACGCTTCTAATTTCATTAGCCGAGCCATTGAGTTCGACGATTTTTGCCAGAGGCCATAGATTGCGTGGTCGAAGATCCATCTCGACGAGTACAATTTGACCAATTTTCGGTGGTGATGTTGTTTGAGAACGTGGTCCTTTGTGTGTCCAACCAGCACGTTCTCTGATGGCCAGAATGTATTCGTTGCTCCATCGGGACCAAAAGACGTCTGCTGCTTCTCTGTATGCTGTCCAAAGTGCTGCCAATTTCTCAGGTCCAGTTAATTTTTCGTCGTCGTAGTCGAGTTCGCAATCTGTTGGTCCAAGGTCGTTCGGTCCACTGTTTTGGATGAGGTCTTTAGGCGTTAGTGGCAATGGTGCTCCAGGTTGGTCTGACACCCAAGTGATTGGTCGACTATTGACGCTTGCTTCCACTTCAGCTAAGAATGCACCTAAGTCGTCGTAGTCGAGAATTCTTTTGCCGATGGTGCGCTGGATTGCTCTTTTGACGAGTCCAATTAGTCGTTCATATGTTGCTCCCATCCACGGTGCATAAGAAGGTATGAAGTCCCATCGAATGCCATTCTTAGTCGTGTAGTCCCAAGGCGGATTTTCAGGCGGCGGTCCAGTAAGCAGGTCCAAAGCTTTGTGTACTTGAATGAAAGTTGGCGCATTGTCGCTCAATATTCGTCGTGGCTTGCCTCGGCGACTGATGAATCGACGTAAGACGTTGACGACAGATATTGATGACATATCTCGAGTTGGTTCCAGGTAGATACCACGTGTGACCATACAACAAATGATGATGATCCATGTTTTGACGTTTTGGCCGGCGTAGTTGGTGGTAGTCGGTCCAAGGAAGTCGATGCCTATAAATTCAAAAGGCTTTGCTGGTCGAACACGCATAGGCGGCAGTTGAGGCATTAATGGACGGACAAATGGTGGTGCATGTTGTCGGCGGCATTGAAGGCATTTGTGAAGAATTCCTCTGATGGTTCGACGAGATTGAGGCATCCAGTATCGGCTGAGGAATTCTGTCATTGTCCAATCGACGCCAGCATGTTTGAGGTCGACGTGTATTTCTTCCACCAATAGTCGAGTTAATGGCGAATGTCGATCAAGGAGGATTGGCAGTGCCATTGTTTCGGGGCCATTGCAGAAGTTGACGCGGGTTTTCAAACATAAAAGTCCATCGCTGTTAATTGCCGTGGGGTGTGTTGTATAGCTTTCCAATAGACGTTTCTGTTCTTGTCGTATGATGAAGATTCGTGCTGCTCGGTAATCGTCGACAGTCATAGGTCCCTGGCGTGAGACTTTAGAAGTTCCAATGTTGAGAACATTCGGTCGATGTCGTCCCATGAAGCGGATAATCCAGATTACCACTCGAAGAAGAGTGAAGATGGAGCTAAACCTTCCAGGGTCTATTGTCGGCGGCTCTGGTTCTTTAGTCGAGAATGCTATTGTGTCGGTTTTGTCTGTGATGGTATTGTCTTCTGCTTGTTTGTCAATGTTGAAAGATAATTCGTCGGGCCAGTCGTCGGATGGTCGAACGATCCATTCTGGGCCATTCCACCAAAGAGTCGACTGTTGTAGTTCCATAGGTGTTGAACCACGTGTCGCGATGTCGGCGGAATTTTGGTCGGTTCTGACGAAATGAAAAGTTCCTTTGGCGCCATCTCGAATTTCTGTTAGTCGTCGTTGCTCAAATTGAGGTTTTGGTTCGACGGATTGAATCCAAGCCAGAACAATGCGTGAGTCCAACCAGAAATGGACGGCAGTGATGTGTCGGTGAAGTTCTGCTTCGACGTGTATTTTTGCTCGGACGGCTATTAAGGCGCCAAGTAGTTCCATTCTTGGGATGGTGAGGCTTGACTTGGCTTTCTTTGGGCGCAGACGATTTCTTGCAAAAATGAGTGTTGATTTGACGTTTGGACCATTTGACGTTCTCAAATAGACGCAGGCGGCATAGGCATTTTCAGATGCGTCGCTGAACACATGTAGTTGCCACTCAGTCGGGTTGTCTATAATTGCTTGTCGAGGAAGCGTGATGGTTTGGTCGTTCCAACATTGCTTGATGTTTTGCCATTCTGTCGTTTCTTCTGCATTTATTGGCGTATCCCATGTTCTTTCGTTGTCCCATAGTCGTTGGAAGAAAAGTTTGACGTGAAGCAAGCATGGGTTGATAAGTCCCAACGGGTCGTATATGCTGGCCAATGCACTGAGTACAGTTCGACGAGTGACGATGTTGACGTCCTCTTTTGGAAATTTGTGTGTGATTGAGTCATTGTCTGTGTCCCATTTAATGCCCAAGACTTGAGCTTTGGCTTTGTCGAGTCGGTCTTCTTCTGGTATTTGTTCCATGATTGTTTGTCGGTGGCTGAGGAATTCTCGTAAATTCATTGCTGCCTTCTTAAATATTTCTTTGGCGGTTTTCATTTTGCCGAGGGCCTCTTCTTCTGTTGAGCATTGAAATAGGATGTTGTCGACGTATGTATTCTTTGCCATTTCTTTTGATAATGCTGTGTTGAATTTTGCGTAGTGATGCAATAAAACTGCTGCTAAGACGAAAGGTGATGAGATGACCCCAAAGACCATCTTCGTATAGCGTTTGACGACTAAGTTGTCTGTGGTGATTGGTTTGTTGACGTCGCGCAGCCAAAGAATTTTGCAAAATTGACGATCCTCAGGTAGCATTTCGATGGTGTGAAAAGCGGCTTGGACGTCAGACAGGATTGGTATAAGGCATGTTCTCCATCGTATGAGCATTCCGACGAGTGTTGGTAGTAGAACAGGTCCTCGGTATAAGGCTTGATTGAGACTTGCTGCTCCGTTGGGATGAGCACTTGCATCCAAGACAATTCTTAGCTTCTTTGGATTAATGACGGCGTGATGAGGCATGAAGAATTCTTCTGTGTCACGGCCGGTTTCTTCAATTATTCCTTTCTCTTCTTGGTCGCGCAGGTTTTTGTCGTATTTGGCGAGAAGTTCAGGCGATTGTATTAGGCGTTTGATGTTAGCTTGAAGGCGGCTATAGGCCATTGTCCAATTTGAGTTGATGGTTGGTCGAGGTTCCCTCCAAGGTAGACGAACTGTGTAGGTGCCATTGGGTTTCTGACGTATTGATTGTTCAAATAGTCGCATGGCGGTGTCGTCGTCTTTCTCAGCCGGGTTCTCCTTGATTCCAATAGACTCAAGTGCCCAAAAATTCTCGACGTCATTTGGTTTAAGAATGTCTTCTTTGTCGTCGTCGGTGAGTGCCATAAATGTCTTAGGCGAGTTAGTCGTGTTGAAGCAAGATTCACCTCCTAAGACGTCTCCAAAGACGGTTTGAACTTTGTAGAGCTTGGGGCCAAGTTGTTGAAAGCCGGTGACGAATTTCCAGAATTCACGAATCCCAATTAATATTGATGGTGTTCCTTTAACTGGCTCGACGCAGTCGTTTTGTCCAATGAATTGGAAGGTTTCCATTGAAGTTGAAATTTCGTCGATGGTGTTAAGCTGCATCGGCTCCCATTCGCCGTCTTGACGTTTTAGACGAATTGAGACAAGTGGTGAGTGAACTGTCTTCGGGTTTTGATTCGCAAAGGTGTGTATGCGAAGTACTTCTTCAGAAAGTTTTGGCGGCTGAAGGCGATTGACAAGTTCTTTGGCGATGTAGCTTGTTTGGCTTCCTGAGTCGAAGAAGACCATTGCTGGAATTCCTTCTCTTGGACCTCCCGGGCACGAGACGTTGATGATGATTGTCATTAAATGAGTTTTGTTGTCATTTTGTCGTGCTGTCAAGTAAGTTGACGAGTCAGGTGCTTCTTTTGCTTCTTCTTTGACTTCTTCAGGTTCATTTGCTACCTTTTGAATTTCATTGACTGGTGGTGTAGTTTCTTCTTTAACTTCTTTAACAGAGTCTGTTGCTTCTTGGAGTGAACTCATTGTCGTCGTAGCACGTTGATTGTTGAGTGCTGTCGCATTTCCACCAGTTACTTTTGGCATTGGTCGATCATTTCGGCGCGGAGGTGTTTGGCGTTGAGGCATCTTGGAAACTGTCTGTTGCACTGATCTTGCCGGTGGTGTTGGCGATTGAACCGAAGATTGCAAAGCTAGACGTGGTGCATATGAGACCGCTTGAAGAGTTGGATAGTCGATTTTTGCCTGCGGTGGTATGCATATAAGGAAGTGATGGTCGTCGCCTCCACACTGACGGCAAATAAAAGATCGCTGGCATTGCTCTGTCGTATGACTTTGCTGGAGGCACTTCAAACATCTGCTTTGTTCCAATAGACGAAGTTTGCGCTGTTGAGGTGTCGAATATGAGGGGCATCTGCTTGGTTTGTGTCCAACCATGGCGCACAAAGAACATGATTGTGGAAGTTGTTGTTCTCCACGGTTGACGTAATTGGCGTTGGCGTTATTGGCGCTGGTGTTATTGGCGTTGGCGAATACCGGAAATGCTCTGGTATTTTCCATTTGGCGTGGCAATTGTCGAACCTCTTGACGCACTTGTTGCTGATTACTTCTTTGCACTTCTTGTCGACGTGGTGGTTCGTCGTGAAATGAATTCATGCATTCGTCGGTGGCTTGGCGAATGTTGACGATGTTTTCCAGAGCTCGTCGCAATTCTTTGTGTGTCCACTTCTTAGGCGAGTCAAGTTCCTTTGCGATGAGTTCTTGGAGAATGCCATGTGGAAGTTTGGACTTGATGATGTTGCATAGGAACATAGGCGATTGGTTGTCCAAATATTCCAATTGAAGACAAATTCTTTCAATATCCTTCTGGAATTGCGTGAGTTCGCGAAGGTTGTTCCTGATCGGCGGAAGTTTGAGAAGTTGTGCCTGAAGTTGGTTGCTAAGTTGGTCGTCGTTACCATACTTCTTTTTTAGAATTTCCTTGACGATTTTGTAATTGTCATCGGATGGTGGATAACCACTAATTGCTTCTCTGGCTGCTGATCCTTCTTTGAGGTATTGCAGAAGCAGGAGATGCTTCTGAAAAGACGGATACTGTTGCTTGTCGACTGCATGTTCAAAAGCTGCCCAAAAGGTGCGCCAATCACGTATGTCGCCACCAAATGATGGGAGACGGACGCTGTCGACCTTCAAAGCATTGCACAATGGAAGGCCATATTGTGGTTGCTGGAATGAGTTGGTATGCTGATAGTCGTAAGTTTGACGTGATGTCTCATGCTGATTTCCAATACTCGGTTCTTCAAAGTCTGGCGCACTGGGTTGACGCATTCTCCGATTTTGCCTCCAATCGTTTTCTTCTTCATCATCTGAGAGCAATTGACGTCTATCTTGACGGAGAAGAGTCTGATTGTCGACCACGTTCGCTGATGTTGATCCTTGTATACTAGGCGCTCTTGGCGAATTATTGCTATTGCTGTCTGTCGTCATTTGCCGAATCACTCTATACGCTTTGATGCGGTTGATCACTTCATTTGCTCGGTCGACCAACTTCGAAACTGGCCACTGTTCTACATTTTCCAAGTTCTGGTCGGATATTTTGTCGTATGTTAAGAAATTGGCGAGGTAGTCTGCATGTTCGTTTTGCTGTTGTTCGTCGAGGCCATCCATAAATTGATTGTATTTGTTAATAATTGATTGAAGTTGGTTGGTTCGTTCTGTGAGATGGACAAGTTCCATCTCCACTGATGCTGCCAGTTCATCTTCCTTCTCTATTGACGGTTTTGATTTGAGTTGGACGATGCAAGATTCGGCGATTTTAAGGTGTTCGACGAGTGCTCTTGTCGTTCCATAAAGTTCTTGACGTATAATTCGTGCCATTGATGGTTGGTTAGTCGGGGTTTGCCAAATAAAATTAATGGTGTACAGTTGGACGGCTTGTGGTCGCTGTACTTCAACTAATAGTCGTTTGTTCTGCTGGGAATGTGGGTCTTTGTCGACGGCTGATCCTTTTGGCGCAGACGAAAATTAGTCGAATTTTTATGCCGACTGCAGAGGTCGGATTGGTTGTTTGTTTGTGTTGACTGATGAATGTCGACGGCTGTCCCGGGTCGTGGCACCAATTTTAACGGGAACTTCCTAGTTCGGGATTCCCAAAAGGGACTAGGAGTTCGCCGCTAAAAACAATAGTCGAAAGTGTGTTGAAGTCGATGAGCGTCTTAATCCCAAAGATTAAGACGTGGCAAACCAAAAGAGTGTTAGGCGAATAGGCGAAAGTTTGAGATGGATGGCCAAGTCTAGACGATAGACGAACAACTGAATATTCCCAAAGAATATTCACAGAATATTACCAAAGAATATTAAAACAAAAGAATATTAAAAAATATTTATTTAATTAAAGAAAATTATAATTGTATGTGTGTGGTTATTAAAAGGCTGGTAGGAATAATTAGGCAAAGGTTAAAATGATTGAACGAAAGTTAAAAAGAATGTTGGTGTAAGGGGAAAAAATTAGCTTAAATAGGCCGGAATTAATGTGTGTGGTAAAGAATGTGGGGGAAATGGCAAAAATGAAAAACATAAAAAATTATATGTTTTTAATAATGTTGGCGGAAATGCACTTTCTCCCTTTTTTCCCTTTTGGATGAAATTATTAATAATTTTTAGATTGGAATTTAAGATAAAATGGATAAATTTATCCATTTTATGGAAAAAAGAGAGAAAAAGCAAAGTAGGCGATAACGATCACTAAAAAGTGATGTCATACAAAATAAAAAGGAAAAATTAATAATTTTATTAATTTCCTCCTTCGACGAAAATTTGAAGAAATTTTCGACAGGAAGTATATTTGAGTCTAGATTTAATTAAATATTTCTAGAACTATTTTTGGTGTTTTTTGACAACCTTTTTCATTAAAATTTTTCAATTTTTGTTAATTTTCAGTTCTGTTATTAAATAATTAAACGATATTGTGTGTTTTAAATATTTTTTAAACTTTGGCTTTAGGCCCATACTTCTCTACCTTTTTCTAGTTGACATCAATCTATCAGTATTTAATAAATGGCTGAAAAAAGGAAATTGTTGAATGAAATTGATAAGTGTTACAAAAAGGTATTTTTTTACTTTTAAATATTTTTGGGGGAGAACCTTGACACTTTAAGGGCCTTTGACCTTGAAGACTTACATCTTTTGAAAGGGAACGTCAAAAGGGGATATCGAAGGATTTGGTGGGATTAAGGGGATATCGAGGGATTTGTATCATCGAAGCGGATAAAGGATGAAGGGGATGGATACTTTCCCAGATGATACACAGACAATACCTCACCATAGTTTCTAAACTTCACAACTGGGTACGGTTGGGTCTTATCCCATTGACCCCTCAATTTTTTTTTCAAAACGTGTAGGCCTTCAGAATCAAAGGGCTGGGTTGACCCCATTTTTAAATTAACTTTTTATAAGATTGAGGAAGGCTTTGAAATTTTTGATGATATAATGGCCAAAATGACAGAAGCAAATAGTGAAAATCAACGGGAAAAGTTTCAAGATGACCTCAAAAAGGAAATTAAAAAGCTCCAAAGGCTAAGAGACCAGATCAAAGGATGGCAAAATTCCTCGGAAATAAAGGTTTGTGTTTATATTTTTAAACAGATTAGGGGAATTTTTAACTTTCAAAATTTCAGGATAAAGATTCTCTGTCTAAATTTCGAAAGTTGATAGAACAAAGGATGGAAATCTTCAAAGACGTTGAAAGGGAGAACAAAATGAAACCTCATAGCAAACAAGGTTTAACTGCTGAAGACAAACTTGACCCGAAAGAAAAAGAAAAATGTGATACAATTGAGTGGCTGAATGTTTGTTTTTCAATATTTAATTTCGTACCCCCTCCCTTTTATTCCCTTCCCAAAATGACTCAAAATGGTCAGATTTCTTTCATCAACTTCAGACAATTTCTAGGTGGCTGGTAATTTTTTTACTGACTCACAGGGTGAAGTTGAGATAGATTGAGTCTGAAAGAGGAAGTCTGACCGTTTTGAGCCATTTGAAGAAGGGACGAAAAGAGGGGGTACGAAATTGAATCTTACCTGTTTTTTTGAATTTTTTAAAATTTCTTTATAATTTTTTCAAGTGTCAAATTCGTAGAATTCAAGATGAAATTGACAGGACTGAATCTAAACTTGAAACTCTTTCATCTTCTGCTGACACCGGAAAGAAAAGGGGTAAAAAAGAGGATGCCAAAAAGAACGAAAAAGAGGTTTTTTTTTGAATTAAAAAAAATATTTTTTTTAGAAGTCTGAAGAATTGCGAAGGCATTTGGATAGAGTAAAGTTTCATCTTTTAAATTTGGAAGTTTGCATCCGAATGATAAATAACGAAAAGATTGAAATAAAGGATGTAAATGGAAAATTGAAGGAACCTTTGGAGATGTACATTGACGCGTTGGACCCAGAAAATGATGATGATCCGGAAAGTTTGGACCCAGAAGGTTTTTGACTTTGTATGGATTTTTTGAGAATTTAATTTTTTAGACATTTACGAGGAGCTTAATTTTAGTACTTATTTGTCGCAACTTGGAGGAATTTCAACAAATAGCGTTGATGACGAAAAAGGACCAAATAATGATACTGGTTTGTATTTTTTATTTCATACCAGGGATGTCACTGGTTGAGGAAAAAGTTGGGCCAGGCTTCAAAATTTTCTTAGTATCGGGTTTTTGTGAAAAAAGTTCGGATTTTGGAGCTCTGGTTGAGTTCAGTTAGGGGGATTGAGAAGGGAAAAGTTCGGGTCTAGTTTTGGAAAATTCCTCGGGCCAGGTTTTGGGTGCCTCGTGACATCTATGCCCCTCATATCTTTCATAAATTCCAAATTTAAGGAAGTCACAAATCCTCGAGTCCATCTCCCGATTATTGGTCTAAACATCAAAATGGCGGAGAACTGGACACTTCTTCTCATGAAAAATCGCCATATGTCGGGAATGTGAGTACGCGTTCTACTTCCGAATCAGCCTCTTCACATCGTTCGGCAGTAAGCGGTGGTGGTGCTTCTTCCGTCACTTCACTAAAACTTACTCGGTTAGGAAGGTTTGTGTTTTTGATTGGTCTTACTCGACGACAAAGTGTCGCCGAGCTATAACTTTGTTTAAATTATTGAATCCGGGACGCCTTGTTGTGGTTGGATGCTCCTCAACGAGCTGAATCAGACCATACCAAAACATCTTGGATTAGATAATTTCGAAGGGAGTTATAGGCTCTGCGGCGCATTGGCATCACAGTTCGTTGGCCTGTTCGCGTTCTTGCGTGGGGGAGTTTTCCAAAAAAAATTTTCCTTTTTTGTAGAAAAAAAATTTTTTTCCCTTTTCAGTCAGGTCAGCAATTCTAGTTCTGTTTCATCTCCATTGCCTCAAACACCGCCTGCTATCCCAGGGATTCCTTATAATTCGGTTGCCGCGGGAAAAATGCATACACCACCAGTTCAATCAACTGCAGCAATGGCAATACATCCAATGCATCAAGCAGTAACAAATACTGCTTCAACACCAACTGCGTCAACATCAGCAAATATTTTAGCTTCTCCAAAAACAACATTGCCGTCACCATCAGCCGTAGAAAATACTTCAAGTAATGTTATTGTCCAACAACAACAACCTCCATCAACCATCCAAGCACCCCCAACAGTTTCACCTGTAGCTGAACTAAAAGAAGAAAATGCTGTTTCCTCCTCAGGAATGGCATCAACAACCTTAATAAGGACTCGATCCTCTTCTGTCACATCATCTACAGCAACATCTTTACATGAAGAGACAAGTCAATTTTCTACTGTTGTAGGAGGAGGAAATTTGACGTCATCACCAATAACTTCAAAAGCTCCTTTACCTTTAAGATTCAATTCTTCAGCTGCTGCTGGAGGAGGAGCAACAACATCTTCATCATCAAATCCATCGCCATTCTCATTGCCAACATTCATGTCGGCGGCATCTTCTGCTCCTCTGTCAACAACAACACCAGCAGGGAGAACAAGCGATTTATCGACGCCTTCAAGAAATTCTGAACAACACCAAGAAAGTCAACATTCGTCAAATGATGTTGGAAATAATATAGCTGATACTACTGAATTTAATGGAAAAGTTGCAAATCTGCTTTATAATTCTTCATTTGGTAGTCCAATGATTACACAACAAAAGAGTAGAGAACCTCAAGAGGTTTTTCTTTAAATTTTTTGGTAAAGGGACTTTTACTGACCCCTTGGGAAAAATGAGAAAGAAGTGCACTTTCGATATTTTAGAGTTTGATAGTAGGTGATCGAGTCTGTGAGTCCGGATATGAGGATAAGATTTATTAATTTCGAGACCCATCCGACCAAGCCTCGAAAATTTCGAATTAAAAAATTTGATTTTTGATTTTCAGTTGGAGACCTTGACCAGATTCTTGACCTTTAGTCAGAGAAAAATCAAGCTCTGGAGACCCTCCATTCAGGAAAAATTAATATCTAGATCCAGGCCGTTCTCAAATATCGAAAGTATCTTCTTTCTCACATTTTTTCTAGGCACCAGTAAAAGCCACCTGATTAAAACTAACTCGTTTAAAAAATTTTTTTCCATTAAAGGCTGTTATCCAACCATGGTTAGGTGCTTCTCCTCTTGGGATGGCTCCAATAAACGAAGAATTGAGTTTCCAACTGCAAATGTTAGACGCAACACAGCAACGTTGCCCTCTTCAAATGGACTCGGAAAAGCCTAGAAGTTATCTGCCAAAAATGCCCTGTTCAACACCACCTTACTATCCTCAGGCACCTTTACCAAATGCAGATAGCCTTGAATATTATCTTCGACTTTCTGTTGAAACTCTTTTCTTTACGTTTTATTATATGGAGGTTTTTTTTTTGGATTTTTTAGAATTTAAATTTTTTTGTCTCTTTAAGGGTTCACGTGCACAATTATTAGCTGCAAAGGCATTAAAAAAGCTTTCGTGGAGGTTTCATACAAAGTATAAATTTTATTTTTTATTAAATTTTTTTTTATTGAAAGCCTTGAGGAACAGTGCGGTCCTTTAGAAAAAAATTTTTTGGTGCCCCTTCAAAAAATTTAAGACCAAAATTATTTTCGCGAATAATTTTGGTATTATTTGGCCGTTTTCTTGTTTTCTATATACTTGTGCTTCCGTTTTCTGTTAGGTTGGAAAACTAACCCTCATATTTTGGAGGGAAAATCGGGGGAGTTGGTGGGATTTTGAGTGGATAAGGAGGATTTGGCAAGATTAGGGGGGATATCGGTGGATTGGTCAAAACCTTGAGGATCTATCTTCGTCAGGCTTGCTTTCTTATTTTCCTCACACTTCCTTTTTTCGGTAGTTTGGAAAAAATCTTTCCAGTTTTAAAAGCTTCAAAATATTTTTCCTTTCACCTTCTTCCCAACTCCTCAAGGTATTCAATCAGTGAGACTAGGGGTGTTCACGACCTGTTAATCTTTGCTTGTGGCAGCTCTTATGCTGTTATTCCTTTATATTCTACTTACTTAATATATTTTAATATTTTAGATATTTGATGTGGTTTCAAAGACATGAAGAGCCTAAACAAATAACTGATGATTACGAACAGGTTTTTTTTGATTTTTTAAAAATTATTTTAAAAGTGGTGTGCGGGTATATTGGGACGGATTTATCGGGATTCCTGTGGGAAAAATAACCTCTTGAGGGTCGGACGTTGATTCAAAAACATCCAAAAAAATTCTAGGAACGTCCAAAACTTTTTTTTCCAAAGAGTAATGTTTATCCAAAACCCAATGACCATAGGTCCCAAAATCAGTAGGGTAACTGTTCGTATATTGAAATAATCCCTCGATTTGTCCGTCGTGATATGTCCCCGTATGCTTTAAAATTATTTTTGCTAATTTTGTCAATTTTTAAGGGAACCTATGTTTATTTTGACTTTGAAAAATGGGTACAACGGAAAAAAGAGCAATTCACATTTGAGTATAAATACTTGGAAGATAAAGATTTTGAATAAAATAAAAAAAGAGAAAAAAATTTTTTTGTGTAAAAAATTTTTTCTAGTGAAAATTTTAATGAGACTTTTGGCTTCTCGTTAATTTTTTTTAATTATAGTATCTTCCCATATTTTATGTTTATCTTCTCGTTTGTATTTACTGCCTGTTTTTTAGTGCATTGCTTGACAGAAAGTGAAAGACATGTTTAGTTAAATTTTTAAAATCCTGTGGTTTTTGACAAATTGTAGTGTCACCGCCTGAGTGGCCAATGTGCTACTGGCGAATTGTCTTTTGATGAATCGTGTATTTAATAAATCGTTCTCATATTTCACCAATACCACATTTTGCCAATAAGAGTATAATCTCACGTTTTGCCAAAGTTTTATTTGCAAAATGTCGTTTTTAGCCTTGTTGGCAAAATGTTGTATTGGTCAAATATGGAGAAACCTTGCGAATTATTGGGAAATCGTGCTCGTCTAATGATCTCTTCGATTATAGTGTTCTTTTTTAAAATGTGTGAGAAGTGTTGGGGTCACTAGAGTCTCTTGGAATTTCAATTTGGTAGGAAGTATATAGCTGGTACTCTATTGGCCTAAACCTGACTTACCGCGTAGACACTATTTTTGCAAAAGAGCATTAAAATTGAAGAGATTATTAGACGAAAGATCATTATTGATTTTTGTGTACAAAGGTTGCGGCCACTTTGGTGCCAAGCATTCTTTTCTTTTCCTTTTCATTGCTTAATGTAATTTACCTTTCTTCTTTCTGTTCTAGATAATTTTTCAATTTTACTTTTTAAAAAATGTCTGACAATCTCAATTTTGGATCTGATCAAAAATTTACAATTGTTAAGGCGGTTGTTGATGCTGGAAAAGAAACTATCGAAATTGGCGAAAAAATTTTGGAGCAAGGTTTTATAAATTTATTTTTTGTAAGGATGATTCACTCTCAGCATCTAATTTTTCAATTTTAATTTTCTAAAACGGGTCCACCCAGGAAGACCTACACCTTAAGGACTTTTGGTATCCATTCTATATTTTAGAACCTATGTTATTGTATCGTGAGTTTTGACCATAACTCTATGTGAGTAGACCTGTCCGGCTAGCTCCGGCGGCTTTAAGGAAATCAGCGGTTCTAAGGTCTTCTGAGTGTAGGTCTTCATGGTTTATCCCTTTAAAGTAGGTTAGACGATCTATAAGGAAATCAGCGGTGTCGGGGTTTATCTCTGTCCGACGGCTAAATTTTTGACAGACTTTCTATTTACTTTTCTAGTGCAAGGAGAACTTGGGGATTTAACTAATTTTCAACAAGAACATGACAATTGTTTGTCTGATTTGGTTAAAATTGCAAAAACGATGGAGGGGGAACAACAGAATTTAACATCAAAAGGTTGTGTGAAGGGGTGTCACGTGTTGAGAAATGTCGAGTTGGGTTTAGGATTGAGTTTCTGGGTTAAATCCTAGCTTGGAAAAAAAGGTTTCTGGGCTATCCTAGACTAGAAAAAAATTTTGAAGCCAAATCCTAGCTAGAAAGACATTTTGTCCCACTTTAAGGGATTGTTCATTTAAGTCAGAGTTCGATGATTTCGATGTCATTCGATTCAGCTCGAAGAGCACTCTCGAATGATATGTAATTTGCTATAAAATGGAAAAAATAGGGAAAAAATGAAAAGGAAAAAGGGGCGACTTTCAAAGTATTACCGTGACATCCCTGTTGTGAACTTTTCAGTTTTCTCATTAATATCTCTTTTTTTAGTCTTAATTAATAGTTGGGACAAAAAACAACATTTTCTTTTGATTGCTAAGCTTCAGGATAAATTAAAAGGAATGAAGGAGAAGTTTGAAAATGAGGAAAATGTATTTAGTTTATGTTTTAGAGCTTTCATTAAATCTTTTATTTTCAGGAATATTTTAAAACTCAAGAAGAGGTCTCAAATATGAAAATTCAATTAAATCAAAAACAACAACAATTGGTTTGCATTTTGACTTAGGGTTGGCGGAGTCCGAGAAATATTCGGATATCCCGAACTGAAAATTTTCGGATACCTTGTTTTCGGGTCCGAATCTGCACTTCTAACAGTGAGTTTCAGATTTCCTCATACTCGTATTTAGTTTGTACTACCCTTATTCTGGGCTTTTATTGGCTCTACTTTAGGGCATGCGTCCCATCAGAGTATAGGCGTCTCAAAAATAGTATAATCAAACAGTAGTCTGCACGTAACTGGATCCCACAAGTCACCAATGGCGCTAAAAATTAAAGGAATCTGGGTCCTTGATCTTCCAAAATTCTCAAAAATTTCGCCTATAATGCTGGAAAGTTGAGGCCTAATGGATGCATATAGATGAATTAGGACTAATTAACAATGGATTTAGAGGGATTAACAAGATATCGAGGGTTTTTTGGAAGGAATCTGAGTCCTAAACTTTCCAGCATCGTACGAGAAATTTTTGGGAATTTTGGAATTCGGAACCGCCAACCCTATTTAAACTTATTTTTAACATTTTTTTCATCTCTATTCTTAAAAATAGGCAATTCGAAAGGCGAACATTCGAAAGTCTCCAACTCCAAAAATTACAACTCGAAAGCCTCCAGCTTTAAAACCTGTTACTCGTAGTTCTGTCTCTCCAGCTCCAACTTCTGCCATTCAAACTCCTGCTACTCCAAGAATGTCAAAGACTATGTTTCCGTCACTTTCTACTCCAAAACTTACAAAATCTATTTTGAAGCCAACAACCCCAAAACGTAAACGTCATGCTCCTTCACAATCTCCACCACCAAAGAAACTGCCATTAAAGGAAAGAGATCCGGATAAGGTTAAGGTTTTTTTTAATAATACTTTGGTTTACACCTCGTCCCCTCCCCCATTTTTCCGTTTCCCTGACCATTTTGAGCTTTTGGAACGAAATTCGAAAGAGTTCTTCGAGTAAGGTCGAATGCTCAAGGGATTAAAACAAACGGGGGCACTTGTGGGTTATCCCAAGCAATTTCTTGCGGACATATCCTTGTTGACTCATAATGGTCAGGTATGAAAGGAAATCATCCAAACTCCCAATATTTCCCCCAAATGGCCACAAAAATTTCCACGGATACATTGAAATAGTAAGAGTAATTGTCAACGCTCTGACCATTATGAGACTATTTTTATTATTAGTCTGCATAAATTATCCGCAAAATTGGGAGAGGATAATCCACAAGTACCCAAACGGTCATAACTTTGTTGCTTTTTTAAGTCAGATTTCGTTGATTTTGGGGTCATTCGACTTATATCAGCTTGATGAGCTCTTTCGATAGTTTCCGAAAAGGGAATCAGAAAAATTTGGCACAGAAAAATCTTTCCCCTTGCCTTCCCCCTGAAGAAAATCCTGGTTACGGACCTGATAGGTGTGTAAACTAAAGTATTACCATAATTTAAAATTAAAAAAAAATTTTTTAGACAATGGAAACCGACAATGACAACGATGCTGATGACTCTTTTAATTTTTGGAATGATTAAATTTTGAAGAAAAATTTTTGTTTGTTAAAAATGCTCCTTTGACTTTCCGGTTAATTTTAATTTATTTTTTAGGTAAAAGTTAGGTTTATGTGACCCCGTTTAGCCATAAAATTTTAATTTCTAAATTGTGTCGAATTTGGGTCCGGGATTTAAAATAAATAAAATTTTAACTCATATTCGGACCCAGCACACTTAAAATTACCTACAAGGGGTGTGGGGTTGGGGTATCTAAGGGTTGGCCCTTAGGGGGTGAAGTTTCCAATGTGGCGCCAAAACTACCCCGCGCCCTAATGTCAGTCCCAGGCGGGGTGGACGCAATTGAAAAAAATTTTCCGCAGCCGCAATCCGCAATTTTTATTTTAAAATCCGCAGACGCAATCCGCAAGTCAAAAAAAACACGCATTTTTACGCAATCCGCAATTGCGTCCAGCCCTAGTCCCCAGGGTGTGCGAGTTTCGCCTTTCGCCGATTTTCGCCTTTTTGGGTTTTCGTCTTTCGCTTTTTAAAATCACTTTCGGGCACAATCTCCTTTTTACCTTCTGGCAAACCTCTAAAATATTAAAAAAGCACTTCCTCATTTTTTCAAGGGTAAATGAGAGAAAGGTTCACACAAACCCAACTTTTACCTTATTTTAATTTAATTTTTTTGTTAATCTAAATTTTAAATATAAAATTTAATGTTTATTTTGAACAATTAGGAGCAATTTAGGTAGTCTTTTTTAGGGAGACTTGATCCTTTTTAAAGGTTTATATTTCTGTATTTGATCTAATTCCACAGCCTTTAAGTAAGTTAGCTAGGGCCTCTATTTTAGTTTGTCTTTGTTTGCGTTGTTAGCCTATTGCAGAGGGGTGTGCGCAAAAATTTTGACGAAACGAAAAACGTTCACACATTGCCGGGAAAAAAATCGCGCATTGCCGGAAATATTATTAATCTCTCCCTTCTATTGTTTAACTTATCTAAATAAATCTTTTCTTTTTCCCAGTTTTAATATTTTTAAAAGACCCCCAACCAGACGTGGGCGAAACGTTTCGTTTCGTTTCGTTGTTTCGTATGTTTCGTATGATTTTTACTGTTTCGTCTCGTTTCGTTACGAAACACTTTTAAATTTGTTTCGTTTCGTTTCGTTACGAAACACCTGTGATTTTTCAACGAAACGAAACAATTTTTTAAGCCTAAACTAAGGCCAAAATCTATAAAATTTACCATCTTTTATTGAAAATTTAAAAAATTTTCGCCTGCGGCGCTGAAAAAAAAAGAATTTCGGCTTCTTGGCTTTCCCAAATTGTCAAAATTTTCGCCTGCGGCGCTGAAAAAGGAAGATAGCAATTACTTATATACTACAAATCCGTTTATACTCCACTCCCTAATCCACATATACATATTACTTAATCGACGACAAATTCTATTACCGGACTCGCATCATAATTTAAAAATTGCGGATTGCGAGTTGCGGAAATACTGGAACCGGAACTTCCGGCGAAGCACTAGCTTATATCGCCTTCCTCTCGAAATGGAGATATGGAGAC